AGAGGAGCTTTTTTAATTTTCTTTTTAGCAGTCGCTGTTTTGCTTTTAACACTCAAAAACTAATTGTTCAAGTCCCGACGTATGATTTTTTTAAATTTTCTTTTTAACATCCGCTGTTTTGCTTTTTTTTATCAGATGTGTTTTTTTCTTTAAGTGGTCTCGTACCAATTTCATCAACTTGGGTAATATCATTTCAACAACTTCTACCTCAATAACGGCAGTAAAACCTTCGTCAGCTGAAATGTCAGCTTTTTTTAAAAGTACTTGTTTTTATTAATATTACTTGAACCGAAACGTTACAAGTCTGAAACCGGTCCAGTGTACCAGTAGACAGCATTCTGCAGGGCTCGGCTTAAAAGAAGTCTAGGGTCGTTTTTTTTTTTCATAGGGTCCGTCAACACAACATTTTTTCCTAGGCCTTATTATTATACATGTATGAAGTGGTGCATATAATTATTGGAACTAAGTTACCACAAATTTACTTGGAGTTGCCTGAGACATGGGACTCAATTTGTGTAACCTTAAACTAGTGATTGCCTCTCCAAATATGTAATGACTGTGTCAGTCAAAGATCTTCTGCTCGACTACTACTACTATATGACGGTAACCATATTTTATTTGACATGTTCATGGGCAGGAGTTGAGAAGTATTTCACCTTCATTAAGAACCAAGTAAGCACAGACTGGAAGGACCTGGCTGATCATCTTGGGTTTAAAGCTCCAGACACCAACAACATTGACACCCAACATCGGTCCGACAAGGAACGCTGTAGGGAACTACTGCAGCAATGGCACAAGCGGAATGGAAACATGGCCACCATACAGGTGCTGATGAAGGCTCTGGCTAAATCAGGTCTACAACTTGTTGTGGACAATCTGAAGAAGGAATATCCAGGTATGGGCATTTCTGTTATGATCAGAAGAAAGTTTTAAGATTATTTTAGACTGAAAGTAAATTCTTTCTGCCTCAAAATGTTGTACAGTGTAATACTTTAAGTGATGGTTTGAATTTTAGTATGACGATAGTGATGACATCTATATTTGTACCTTTTGTTACAGACGTAAAAGAAAGGAAAATATTAAATGCAAAGCGGCGTTGCCGTCCTAAGGAATCAACTAGTAGCAGCCCCAAAGGAAAAGTGAGGAGGAAGTCTCAAGGTAATTTTGTAGGAATTGTTTGAGACAGTGAATAGAACACCAGACCTATTGCACAGGCAGGCACCTCAACCAATGTATTAAAAATGAGTAAAATAAAGAAAAACATTGTGTGGGTCATTAAGTAAACTTTTTTTGTTTTTAGTCACTCCAAAATTGAATTTGATGTCGTAAGCTGCTTTAATATCGCAAGTCATGCTTTTTTTTGCTTACTAATGTTACAACGGAATTGGAAACGCTGGACGAAGAAAACGTTTTATTTTCCAATATGTTGAGAACAATCTTAAAATATTCACATAATTGAGTAAAACATATATGTATTATAAAATGAAGCTTATTTAAAAATGTTTCTCATTAATTATGCAGATTAGCCTTGAAGCTTCACTTGAAAAGTATCGCAACCTGATAACCATTACACTTGAGGAAATTTGGAGACTGCATTTGATTGAAATGATGTTTGACGTTGCATGTACAATACTTAGTATCAAACAAATATTTTTATTTTTTTAATCCTGTGCACCCACGAGAAGTTGTTAATGAAACTTGCTGGACAAGAGAACACCTCCAGGCAAGACCAGGCAGTGCAGAAACAACTGTCACAGAGGGAATGCTACAGGAAACACAGTCTTCTCTATTTACAGGACCTGGTATGGCATAATATAATGTAATATTTTGAACCTGTTGCAATTTTGCAAAATTGGTGTGTGTGTGTGTGGGGGGGGTGCTGTCCAAATAATTTCAATCAGTCAAATGTCTAAAGAGTGCTGAAGTAGAATGGCATTTTATAAACCTCTTAGACATTAGATTATTACAACTTTATTACTTTATTGGAGAATTCTGGTGAGTCGTATTATGACAGCTGCCTGTATGTGTATTCTTCAACCAGACGTTAGTGACCTTGTTAGACACACAGTGCCATCTTGTTATATTACACCTGAGTAATTAAAACTGTCAGAAAGATCCACTCAAACCATACACGTCAACAATTAATTTTTTAAGTTTTAAAACAATTGCACAATGTGTTAAATAAGATTACTGTAAAAGTTTGTATGATGTATTCTTTCCAGATTGAAAAAATGTATTCTTAATTTCCAAATCATAAATCCGCTAAACTTGATTTTGAGTGATGATAAAATTATTGTAGCCGTAGACTTACATAGCTTCCATTTATGATGTGATAGATGTCCAATGTAACTCTTCTTTGTCCAGTTCCATGCCTTCATGTGAACCTCTACCTTGGCCAGATGTTGATGCAACAGCCACATACAGGCATGCAACAACCACCTGCTTGGATGCAACAACCACTTGCTGCAGTGCAACAAACAGTGGTGGGGGTGCTACAGCCACATGGTGGGGTGCAAATATCACCTGCTGGCGTGCAGCAACCACCTGTTGGGGTACAACAACCAGCTGTGGGGGTGCAACAACCACCTACTGGGGTACAACAACCACCTGCTTGGGTACAACAACCACCTGCTTGGGTGCAACAACCACCTGCTGGGATACAACAACCACCTGCTGGGATACAACAACCACCTGTTTGGGTGCAACAACCACCTGCTGGGGTGCAACAACCACCTGCCGAGGTACAACCACTTGCTGGGATGCAACAACAACCTGCTGGGGTACAACAACCACCTACTGCGGTACAACAACCATCTGTTGGGGTGCAACAATCACCTGATGGGGTGCAACAATTACCTGCTATGGTACAGCAACTACCTGCTGAGGTACACCAATCTCCTGTGGGGGTGCAACAACCACTTGCTGCAGAGCAACAACTACCTGCTGAGGTGAACCACTCTCCTGTTGGGGTGCAACAACCACCTGTTGGGGTGCAACAACCACCTGCTGCTGTACAACAACCACCGGTTGGGGTACAACGACCACCAGATGGGGTGCAACAGCAACCTACTGAGGTGCACCAATCTCCTGTTGGGGTGCAACAACCACCTGCTGGGGTGCAACAACCATCTGCCGCTGCTCAACAACTACCTGCTGAGGTGCACCAATCTCATGTTGGGGTGCAACAACTACCTGCCGCGGCGCAACAATCACCTGCTGGTGTGCAACAACCACCTGCTGGGGTGCAACAACCACCTGCTGCGGTACAACAACCACCTGCTGTGGTACAACGACCACCTGATGGGGTGCAACAGCAACCTGATGGGGTGCAACAACCACCTGCTGGGGTGCACCAATCTCCTGATGGTGTGCAAAAACCACCTGCTTGGGTGCACCAATCTCTTGTTGGGGTACAACTACCACCTGCCCGGGTACAAAAATCACCTGCTGGGGTGCAACAACCACCTGTTTGGGTGCAACAACTACCTGCTGGGATACAACAACCACCTGTTTGGGTGCAACAACCACCTACTGGGGTGCACCAATCTCTTGTTGGGGTACAACAATCACCTACTTGGGTACAACAACCACCTCCTGGGGTGCAACAACTACCTGCTGAGGTGTACCAATCTCTTGTTGGGGTGCAACAACTACCTGCTAGGGCGCAACAACCACCTGCTGGGGTACAGCAACTACCTGCTGGGGTGCAACAACCACCTGTTTGGTTGCAACGACCACTTACTGCAATGCAACAACTAACAGTGGGGGTGCTACAACCACATGTTGGAGTGCTACAGCCACATGTTGGGATGCAACAACCTCTTGCTGGGGTGCAGCATGGTGGCATTGATGTCATGAAACGGATCTTGGAATTGGAGCGAACAATGTTTACTGCAGATGTGCTAAAGGATCCCGAACTATGGAAGAAAACTTGTAAACTTTTCCGCTTGCACAAGGCTTTCTTGATAGAAGCTGTGACAGGATCGTTCATCCTCCTCCTGACGTTCCTGCGCCAGACTGATGTGGACAGGTTCTACCACAACCACTACAGGGTGGGGGAGGGAACCCTGTCTCAACAACTCTCACACATCCTCATCTCAGACGACCTACAGGACAAGGTCAAGGGCGCCCAGCTGATCGTGAGGCTCCAGGTGAAGCATGAAGACTATATGCAAGTTCGAAACAGACTGGGGCAAGGTGAGAAATACAACTTACAGTTTAACAATAAGTTTTATCTACAAAGCTCACTGAAAGCTTTAAATTACATTGTATTGTTTATTACCCTCGCCAAGAAGGTTAATATGTTTTCGATAGTATCATGTGCGTGTGTCTGTCAACACGATAACTCGTGAAGACTTAATATGGATCGTCTTGATACTTGGTAGGTAGGTAGGTATCGATGAGACCTCAAAATTATTAGACTTTGGGACCCCTGGCGGGCTTGTCATGGTACCATAGTGGCAGAAGAACTTTCGGTTTTGATATCTCGTGATCTGCATACGTATGCTAGGGTCACATTTTGGATGGTAGATAGCATGCTTGGCAAGAAGTGACGTCGACATGAGTTTGGGAAGTTATAAACAGATTGTTCTGGAACAGCAGGGGCATTTGAAATCTTTCAGAGGGGATAACTAAAGAACTGGTTAAGGGATCTTCATGATTTTTGGCATGTAAATGTATGTAGCCTAAGTGATGATTGGCATAATTAAATGTCATGCAAATCAGGATCTAAAATGCATAATTAATGAGGAAATTCTGCAAATCTACTTCATTCCATGATAAGAGTATTTAAACTTGCTTGTGGCTTATGTAACTGAGAATGATAGGATAGCGGTAGATATAGAATATGTAAGTGAATAACGTATTTGCATAATTAATGAGAAAATGCTATAATATCATAGTGGTAACTTCTCACTTGCAATATTTGGAAGTTAAGTGAATGGTTAAAATCACCAAACATAACTTATTTTGTTTACCAGTGGAAACCGGTCGAACCATGCCTTCAACAGTTATGCTGCTTAATCCACTGTCTCACACACTAAAGCAGACTGATTTAATTTATACCATTTTGACGAAGGCAATAAGATACTGCATGAGAGACATGATCAGAATATTGACTGTTCATGTGTTGATGAGTCAATAAAGTAAAATAAATAGATACCTAATGCTTTTAATTTGAAAACAAGGAAACAAGCCTTCAATGGGACTAACTCTAGATATAGATCTGCTCCTGCCTTAAATTTAATGATGACATCATCATCAGTCAGCTGTGGCACAGATGGTAAGATATTTTCCCAATTTTGTCCGTTTGAGGGCCCTCCATTCCACAATGTATGCTAAATGCTCTTTCATTGCTGTATTTTTCCTGATGAGCGCAGGACTGGACCGTACCACTTCTGTTGACAACCTGCTGGCCCTCCCATCCCCTAGCAGACAGGTGGACCATCCCAGCCTGAGAGGTCTAGACCTGGCTGTGGTCAGTGGACAGGACCAGTCCTGTAAAGATGAGACCGATTATGACTCGCTAAAACTCACAGTCAGGCAAGTACAGACAGCCCTACGGACAGGTAAGGAAAAATCTCAGCAAGAGACCAGGCAGATGATGCAGGAACAGGTGAGCAACCTGAAGAGGGAAGTGACAAGGTTAACACTAGAGAACGAGGGTTTCCAACAAATTCTCCCTGAACAAAAACAAGAAATCAATCAGTTACAGGACATTAACGAAAAAATGGCAGCTAGAATAGAGGAACTGCTCATGCCCCCTGCCAGCCAGAGAATGGAGAGTGAGCGTCAAAGGACATATGCTGGGATGGAGAGGAGACAGTCTGAGCCAGAGTACAGAGGAAGTAAGATGAAACTGTATTCAATTTTCTAAAAGTAAACCTAGGCCACAACAAATAAATTTTAAGAATGACATCCTCAGTTTACAGTCTTGCCATCAACTAATGCATAAAAATGCACAAAAAATGCATTAGTTGATGGCAAGACTGTAAACATCTATTCAACAGTCAAGTAAACATGCAAAAAAGTCTGCTCCCCTTGCATAATGGTTTACTCTCATAATGGTCTTTATCAATATTCTTTAACAATGAAGTAAAGACTGATTGGGATGGTTTTTCAATTATTGTATCATGCTAACTGTGACATTATGGCGTCATAACCAATATGAAACAAAGCTTCTGATTCGTCAACGTCACCTGCTTGCTATAATGATAATTGATACAATGTAGTTTTAAGTCTCTTTCATAACTCCTTTCTATAAAATATGACCTGCAGTAAGACATAAGGCCAAGGACAAGGATGAGTTCCTGCGGGCTGCAAGGGATGGAGATGTAGAGACTGTGAGGAGGAGTCTGGAGAAAGGGGTGGACGTCAACATAAAGTCCATCACCACGGTAAGTTGGGCTTGGAGAGATTTTCATGTCAAGAAAAAGTGGTATATTTTTGGTCCCACTAGCATCTTGTTGTGAAACTGCACGGTGTTTTTGATCAACTTCATTCAGCCGTGTCTTCTTTACAGTGACCTTTCCTTTGACTGTTGGGTCTGTAAAGTAGTAACATGTGACTTCACACACCCGTATCTTAGATCTTTGTAACGTTTGCTTTAACTGTTGTGTTACAGGACGGAGACACAGGTCTGCATGTAGCGTGTAGAGAGGGTCATGTCAAAGTTGTGGAGCTGCTCATTAAGAATCAGGCTGATCTCAATGTAGCCAACAAGGTACGAAAAAGAACAACTTTGAACATTTGTATTTGTACAGATACAACGCCCAACTACAACACTTACTTTTACAGCTTTTTGTTCTTTATAACGTTTGCTTTAACTGTTGTGTTACAGGACGGAGACACAGGTCTGCATGTAGCGTGTAGAGAGGGTCATGTCAAAGTTGTGGAGCTGCTCATTAAGAATCAGGCTGATCTCAATGTAGCCAACAAGGTAAGAAAAAGAACAACTTTGAACATTTGTATTTGTACAGATACAACGCCCAACAAGAATTCCGAGACTTCATACCTCCATGAAATATGGGCTTAATATGTAAATGTAAATTTCTTCTTTAATTATGCAAATGACCTCTGCATTAACATGATGTATGCATCGTGATGTATGTTAACTTTTGATTAACTTACAGATGTCCCAAGTATGACATTCCCATCATTCGCCATTTTTTTTTAAGAAATCATAGAATTTTCGCATTAATTATGCAAATTAGGTCATCATTTGCATATTTAGTATCTGTTGATGTTCCGCCTGCCATAGGTTACATTATTTATTACATTACATGTATGAAAGTAGTATAATGTAAAACACTGTAATTATAGAATTCCCTCATAAAGTCCTCATTTGCATAGTTTGCATTTAATTATGTACATCTCTCTCTCAGCTACCTACACACCAAAAATTATGAAAATATGTTGTTCCTATCTGGACTTATTGGCTTTGAAAGTTTTTACCAGAAACTAACCTGCAGTTCCAGAACAAGCTGCTAGGGGGACCAACCTTATTCCTGACAGGATAAGCTATCTGTCACCAAAAAGTCAAGACCCTAGCTTGTTCAGGACAAAAGATACAAAAACCGGAAGTTCTGCTGCAGTACCAAGGTCATCCACCAGGAGGCCCATACTTGACCTTGACCTTTGTCTTTCCAAGACTTACCATCATACCAAATATCATCACAATCCATAAAAGCGTTTTGAAGTTATGCTGACTACAAAGTTGCGAAACACACACAGACACACACACAGACAGACAGACACACACACACACACACAGACATACATACAGACAGACACGCCAAAAACACCATTTTTCATGGAGGTAACTACAACACTTACTTTTACAGCTTTTTGATCTTTATAACGTTTGCTTTAACTGTTTTGTTACAGACCGGAGACACAGGTCTGCATGTAGCGTGTAGCGGGGGTCATGACAAGGTTGCGGAGCTGCTTATCAGGAACCGAGCTGATCTTCTGAGGACTAACAAGGTAAGAACGTCAAATATGATAAACAGACTAAATAACATATTCAAAAAAAAGAAAGGGGAGTAAGTAGAAGTTTTAGTCACAAAGTATACAATACCATACAAAAGAATTTAATCTTTTCTGCAATCTAGGCGCAAGTGTGCTGCGTTTAACCTCTTTTAGCTGTTTTTTTTTACTTCAGGATGACGATCGTCCGATGGACATTGCTACTGTAACATCTTCTTCAATGGCAAGGCCACTGGACCGAAGTACAATATTATTGGTAGAAGTAAGTTATCTATGTACTAGGCGTAAATGACTGCTCAATGGTGGAAAACATTTGTTTGTCTTATGACAACACGGATACAGTGCCTCAAGCATTAATATTGTTGGGAATTGGTAGCCAGGGTATGGAACTCGTTTCGATACAGATGTCTTAGCGATACCCTTGACTAACGCCACATTTCTGGAGGGTACGGTGTCAGAAGTAGCTACTGTATTCTAACCCAAGAAAAAAACAAATTGTCAGTCAAAATCTGCTTCTATTATTTTTTGCATCTAGATTTTTAAAAAATTGACAAAAAAAGAATGTATGATATGGACTATAATAAGGAATTTTCTAATAGAATGTGAAACTTATTACTTTTTTTACATTGTATGATTAACTCACATGTGCAGACAGAAACACGGAAGCAGGCAGAGTACGGCGAGATGGTCTCCTCTCTGGGTTCTGAAGAAGAAACAACAGTCAAGCTGATTCTTTCTGGAGATGGGCAGGTCGGAAAAACATCCTTAGGGGCCATTCTAAAAAAGGTAGGTATAGTCAAGGACATTACTAGTTTATAGAAAGTATGGTACTAAACACACTTCACGTTAACTGCTAATAGTTTTAAACATCCAATTCTAATGCCAAATGTTTCAATGAACAGCACTATAATAATAATTGTGTATCAACAGTTTATTACGTTTTTTTTCAGACCTGTTCTAGAACTTTATAATTTTCAAAGATACACTGAGGAAAAAATAATGGTTTAATGCTTCTTCCAGACTGGCTTCTTCCTGGCTGTTTTATGGAACATTCGGACGAAGGTCAGAAAGGAAGACTTCAACCCCACCCCAGGAGTGCACGTGTCAAGTAAATACGTGAAGGGGATCGGGAGACTGAGTCTGCATGACTTCGCAGGACAGGCGCAGTTCTACGTCACACACGCCATGCTGCTCCGTACAACAAACGCCATCTTCCCGGTCGTCTATAAAATCACAGATGGGGAGCAGGAACAGGAACGTCAGGCATGCAGACTTTTTGTCAATTTTCTTGCTGTTTTCATATAACTCATTAACATGATGGTCTATACCTTAAGATGCAAAACATTTTATTCAAAATCCTAAAATCCTTCACCCATTCTATGTTCATATTGTCAAGCTCCACTGCCTCATACTGGAACCAAGTATGATGCAAGTGACGGCGAAGATATGTAGCAAGTATATATTAACTCTAAACATTACATATTTTTCTAGGTCCATGGTTGGCTAAGTTTCATCAACCACAGTAACCCAGATCCCACCAACATGCCCCGGATCGTCTTGATCGCCAGTCATGCTGACAAGCTACAAGATAAGATAGCAGGTAACGCATCAGCTTCATCGTAACGTTACGACCACCAAAAGATACGTGTTATGTTCATGGCCACTCTGATACAAGTTACCTGCACTACAGCCGACCTTGAAAGCGTCTGCAGGATGAATGGGCATTTTCATTGCTCTGCGTCTTCTGCAACCTTGATGCAACATAACCGGCATGTTCCCTTTTTATGCCCAAACGTTCAGGTCTCCGCCGCGCCGAAGCCATGGTTGAACACTACAGGAAACTGTTCGAGGGGGCACTGGTGGTGTCACCGGAGGTGTTCCTGATGAACTGCCTGAAAGCGGAGTCAGCTGACATCAGACGACTGCGACACGTGCTTGCTGCTATCAAGGAAGAAATTCTGCAGGTAAACAACTTAAAGAGCACGAACATTCGCTGACATGGAAATGAGAGGACCACCATGTACTTAGATATCTGCGTGTGCGTAGCTAGTCCAGTGGTTAGCGACCCTACCTCTGGACTAAGAGGTTGGGAGTTCGAATCCTAACTGTCACCAATTGGAAAGGGTTCGCGGTCCTTAGGACGGGACGTTAACTTGTGATCCACTGTTTATTGCGCTTGTCAAAAAGAGCAAGGGGAATTTCCCCATCATGAACCTGTAAATACTGTACATAGCATTTGTCTTCTCTGTTACAACCAGTGGGGGAGTGAGCTAAAACTGGATCGAGGTCACTTGCGTTACTTTCCATAAATTTTGTAGATCTGTATTCTTTCCTACTTCACAAAAACATGCAGGACCGACAGGCTGTTCCAAAGGTCTGTGTGCAGCTGATGTCCAACCTGGCATGCTGGAGGGAGGAGAGACAGACGTTCCCGGTACTGCAGTGGGAGGAGTACCTGGCAGTTGTTCAACGGGACATTTCCGTCAGCCTAGCAGAGAGAACTGTGCAGCTCGCGTCATCATACCTGCATGATATTGGAGAGGTAAATCTTCAAACGCTATTACTTATGTATGATAAAAAGATTTCAGACATATATTTAGGAACCTGTGAACAAATAGTGAACAAAAATGCGTTAAATTAAATTCCAATGTACTTTTCTTCTTTTTCAAAACTTAGATTATCTACCTTCGCCGCGATGCCACTGCTGTGGTAGTTTTGTCCCCCCAGTGGTTGTACACGTCAGTCTTTGGCATTCTCCTGGCTCCTGACAACTTCCCCATCGACAACATCAAGCGAACTGCCCAAGATCACGTCACCTATGAGGAACTCCAGCGGGTCTTCGGCACTGTTGCCGACATCCCTCTGCTCATCAGGCTGCTGCAGGACTTCCAGCTCTGCCACACGTTCGACGGTCACACCTTCATCCTCCCCAGCCTGCTGAAACAGGAGATAGACGAGAGGGCGTGGTCTCCTGTGTCCGGCAAGGCTGTCTACTTCGGGATGCAGATCCGCTGCCGCACGGAGATCGACAGCTTCTCGTGCGACCTGTTCCCCCGGCTACAGACGCTGCTGCTGCAGGCACATCCAGACAAGCTCAGCCAACCTCTGCTGTGGAAGAACAGCGCCAAATGTACCGACGGGAAGGCCGAAGCGCTGCTGCAGATCTCACAAGACAGGAGGAAGCTCAACATCTTCGTCAGGAGCAACGATGGCGACAGGGAGGACTGCAACTCCATCATGGACCTCCTGACAGACATGGCGTACAAACTCCTGCATGAGACCAGCCCAGGAGCCAGGTCACAAGACATGGTGCTCAGCGCCCTGGACCTCCGGGAACACAGTCCGCAGCCTCACGCCTACAGCAGGGAAGAGGTGGAGGAGACGGCGGGGGCGGGCAGGGACGTCGTCCATCCTCAGAGGAAAGTCCCGGAAAAGGTCAAGGACCTCCTGTTGCACCTCGGAAACCTGAAAGGTAATATTGTATCAACATCCAACACTGGGTTTTAATGTGCGATTGTCTAATATTTCCTAGGACGAGATATATGATCATATTGGTATATGCCTAAAACCCATTCCATGTACGCTTTAAAACTGATGTTCATAACATCATCTGTAAAACCTTCCTCCTATTTGCAATGGTCACTTGCTATATTCTCTAATATTTCAAGAAAGGGTGAGGAATGACTTTTACTAAAAGCTTGTCCTTTGTAACACCACAGGCATGCTGGGAAGAGTGGCCCGGAAGCGTCCCCAGCTGGTGGAGACCCTGCGTCGCATCAGCCCCATCCTGGACCATCTTCGGGCCGAGGACGTCATCAGCCCGGAAGAGAACGACCGCATCCGGGCTACCAGGACTGCCAGGAGTCCCCAGGATGCAGCGGGCGAGCTGCTGGACATCCTAGAGGCCAAAGGTGAACAGGCGTGCATCGGGTTTCACAAGGCTTTGAAAAATGTTGACCAGTTTGCTGCCAGCCTCTTACTAGAGGAGGAAGCAATGCATATTAGGAAATAGGCTGCAGCAAGTTAGAGCAATCCGGAAAATAACTGTTATGTATCATATTTTGGCTAAAAGTGTCAATTTCAAATTGTTGATTATAGACTGGAATATGTTCAAAATGTATTAATTTTAAAAATAAAGTTTTGCCACGCAGACCCTGTAATTGCATTGGATGCCTTTCATCAGCACATTGAATTTCATAGTTTTAAATAGCTAACGTTCAGTTAGCAGCAAGGCTAAATCATCAGCTTTGAGTAAAAATTTATGCAAAACAGATTTTTGGCTTCTTCTGTGAAGATTTTTCAATTTGGTTTTGGTACTACATATCTCATAAATTTGTGGTGTAGAGATAGAAACCCCATTTTTATTTCTTCTTAATTTCTTCATAACTATACATTGCCATTTTAGTAACTTGAAGGAAGCTTCTTTCCGTTCATTGAAATGTTTTGTTTCTGTTTCCTCTACATCAAAATATCATGTTTTAAAATAATCATCCAATGTATCATTTAGTTCATTACAGTGCATAAAAATACGTCATTAGAAATGAGAATTTGTAGTAGGATGCCACCCAGGTCTGTCTAAAGTTTGAAATGGCTACAGTGCCATGTTACGTGTACCATAGCCACAGGTCATGAACTTGAGGTAGGTATCTCAGACAATTCTGATGCAATGTGTATAAAACTAATATTCTGTAGAATCTACAGTTAGAAAGCTTTAGTGTAAGAGACATTAACATAAACTTTTGCATTCGTTCCATAATCAGATCTGTAAGTCACAGATACTAGAACATGTAGTTCATCTGACTAAGCAGGCTTGTTAAAACAGTGTATACAATGGCCATGTATGAAAGTATGCTGTAATCTAGCCTTCCACTTTTTCCTTAGCAAGTAGTTGAATCCAGTATAAACGTTATAGTGGCATGCATGTCCCTCTTTGATATATGAAAATCAATTGAACTTATTTTAGTTACCAGTATATGCATGCATATAATTGTTCTGGTTAAAACACTTGGTATCTCTAAACTTATTTATAATTGAACGGTTTTGCCGGTTCCCGCTGGCTTTCCTGAGAAAGTAAATGGTTATATTTTTTAATTTATTTGGGATGAAAAAAAGCCAAAGGTGAAAATGAAGACGGTGATAGGGAAGAAAGTTCAAGGTGGTCTAGCGATGGTGGATTTTTCTATTAAATGTAAAGCCCTTAAGGCGACATGGATTAAGAAACTTGAGAAAAGTGAAAGTTGTGCATATATGTTTAGTAAGTGGGGTGGGAAACTATTATTTAAATGTAACTTTGATATATCATGTTTAGAACTGTCTAATTTACCGATGTTCTACTGTCAAGTACTGCAGGCTTGGCAGTCGATTGTGCAATCAGTTCCCAAATCTAAAGACGACATAAGTAAACAAATTATTTGGAACAATAGACATATATTAGTAGGCGGGAAATCTGTATTGCACAGCCGGTGGTGCCAAGCTGGTATTTTGAAAATATGTGATGTTATGTCAAGTGATGGTAACTTCCTAACATTAGGTGAGCTGGCTCAGAAATATGAAATAACCTTTACACCTGTGGATATGCTTAGATATTCTAGCCTGAAATCAGCTATTCCTAATGTTTGGAAAGATATAGTAAAGAAGGATCAGCTTGATAACTCGGTGGAAGAAACCATCGCTTCACATACTTTTTCTTGTAAGCAGTTGTATGACATGTATCTAAAACAAACATTTGAACCCCCAACGGGCCAAGACGAACTGTTAAAAACTTTTGAACATGAAAACAGCTTAAAAACATGTATACTTACTACCTTTCATATGTACTAAGAATGTTAAATTACAGTGTTTTCAGTATAAGATAATACCTAGACTTTTGAAGACAAATTGCTATTTAAAGAAAATTAGAGTTATAGACACGGACAAATGTCCTTTTTGTGATAGTAAACAAGATCTAAGCCACTTATTTGTGGATTGTTGTTATGTTACTAAATTTTGGAATGACTTTCACTTATGGTGGCTCAACACTTTTTCTGAACATATTGCACTAACGAAAACTGATATATTGTATGGTATAATTGAAAAGCTGGAAAAGAATAGACACCTGAATCACTGTTTACTTTATGCAAAATATGACATCTATAAGTTAGAGTACATCATCGAATAACAAACCTTATTTCTGTAATGCATTATTTTCATGATATTCGAGACAAACATTCTTCGTAAAATGTCACACCTCAAATATGTATTCTGTGTATTATTATATTCGTATTAAGGGGGGCTTGCCACACTGTTTTTCGCTGTATGTACATTTCTTTGATAAATGAATAAAAAAAAATATGAATGCATTGCAAGCACAGTATGTTTGTAGCATTGTGCATTATTTTGTCAGTATTAAATTCTTAAAGATGAGCAACTAATGTCTTTCAAAGAAAGCCAAAGGACAGTCAATGTTCTGTTAGTCTGTATCAAGCCCTTGTTTGGACAGTTCTAGGCATAGTTGATGTTATGAGGATTGTTTTATGCAGCATTGTGCAATAAAGAAATCTCTGCCTCTCAATATGGCCATGCAAATCTTACAGATTTGAAATGGCAGTATGCCACGCGGAAAATGCAAATTTACAAGCGGTTTAATTTACAGGTAGAAATCGAACTGTTTGAAGGCTGTTCCTTACATCTAGGGAATTATTACACTAGAATTTCAGCATGATGTACCCCAACATAATTTTTGGGAGTGGCTGCTGTCCCTTTCCCCCCTCCAGTGCCGCCAACACTGCTTTAATGCAGCTGCAACTATAATGCAGCTGCATTGAACTCTACATGTATCTACTCAACAGCTTCAAAAGTTTCAAATAGCTCATTCATTAATATTAGTCAATTTGTATATGCCTTAGCATTTGTAACAAGTTTTTTTCCATGACGGGGCCCAAACAAAACCCAATGTCTGCCCATTTACTTCCAATGCTCAATACGCAAGAATACATAAAATTATACATGTATACATGCATGTACAATCCCCACCCCTAAATCCTAAATTGGTGCCACCCAAAACAATACTTCCATCCCAGTAGTGATAAACCATGAGTCATCACACAGACATGACAACAACAATTTAATGAGCTTAACTTTCCTTTTGCACCCTCTGAGTCTCTTGTTGTGTTTTCTTTTCCACAGCGTAAACAGTCAGGGTCTCCTTTGTAACAGTAGAAGACAGTAATTGAACAGAACTTTTAGTTTCTAGTGTGATATGCTGAGGAGTGGTTATAATGTATAGTATTACCCGCTTTACAGATACAGTCTAATGGTACAACAGATTCAAAATGATACTAGAACCACCATAGCAACTGTTTACTTTAGAACATATTAATGTTACAAGAGTATCTTGGCCCATTTTAAGAAATTTTGTGATTCTTAACACAGGATAGGGCCCACGATAAAGCACAACATGTACGTCACTACGGCCAAAGTGATGTTCCCTGTTAAACAGTATTGACTTAGAGCTGAGAACCTAGTACAGGGCTGGTGCAGGTTATGTGTAGATAGACTCCAATATACAATGTCATGTAATTACCTCACTAAAGGCCTGGTCACATAAAGTATGTAGCAATCAGAATCAGGACGACTCACACCATCGAAAATCTGGTCAACTCGGCCCAATACGCAGTATTTCCAGTTCCAGAGAACAACACCCCCTCTTCTGACCCCCCAGTTGTCAAACACATCAGAAGGACACCTTCCCCCCTCTATCTTCTGACCCCCGTCATAGATCCCATCAGAAGAACAGCCCCCTCATGCGCCGGCCCATGCCTGGTCGGTCGTACAGCAGGCTGAACTTGTTGATAAACTGGTTGATGGTGTTGCAGCCTTTAGTGATGGCCCCCAGGTAAGCCATCAGGCTCACGTCATTACATTGCTGCAACAAGACATGTGGAAAAGATACAGTTACTGTAGTGTAAATGATCTATAGTAAGCAGAACATACTGTACTCTGCCTTTAATTTTTCACGGTTTTCATTGGATGTTTGGTCAACATCGAATCAGAATGTTGCCTGTTGCAGACAATATTTTTTTCTCACAGAACATTTGAAAACTTATAGACATAATTTTGTCCTAAAATACATATATAAATACAACCTTAAACAAGACATTCTGCCAAAGTGTACTGCATGTGTGCAAAATTCATAATTCATGAGTTTTGCACACATGCAGTACATTCTGCTGATGTGTCAAAATAATCAAATAAAGAGTTTTCCGTGCGACAACATCCATGCATTCTCTACCTCACGTTTCGTTCTTACCGTGCCTTTATTTTTCTATATTTCTATCCTACACGTAGGTCCAATTTTCCCCCTGTATGAAAACCCAGGAAAGAGTTACTCCTTACATTATAGAAGTCTCCAGTGAAGTTAGGTGTGTCCAGTACAGGTAGTCGGTGGCACAGACTGTAGGCCTCACGCATGATCTCATGGTTCCTTGGTACCGCCCCTAGAACAAATCAGAGATTTTGGACTTAGTCTAACAGATATTTTCGGTTCTTGTGACCTTCAAGTTCATCCCATTTCCTGTGTCTGACATTATGACCTGTTCATTCTGCCTGTCAAATTTCCTCCCACCCAAGTGTTGTCAGCCTTATCTAAGGCCACAGCAAGTAATTTTAATGGATGACATCAGCACAGACATTAATTTTTGCTTGAAGGTGGATGGCAGATAACTATGAAGAGAGAAGATATATTAAGAAAAGGCTCTGAATTAATGTTTTGTTTCTTATATTAGCTTACTTTGATGCAGTGATATGTGATGTTCCCACTGAATAAAAACCATTTGTACAATGATTGAGTCAAAATTTTAAAATGTAGGAACCTTGTTTTTTTTGGCCTGCTTTTTTTTTAATGCTCGCATTAGATTTGGAGTCTGCGGAGGATGTCATCCATAAAATTTACTTGCTGTGGCCTAATGAAGGTTAACACGAAAACAATCACTTGAAGAAATTATGCACTGTGATTACATGTGTAATATCAGCACTACTGGATAGAAAGACATAGATATTTGCTCCACTATGATAAGGACAAGTGAAGTCCAGAGAACCTACATGTATATAATATGATATAATACCTCTTTGAACATCCTTGATGTACTCCAGGATGATTTTGACCCGACAGTGTAACATCTTGATGGCACTGTGCTGGGCAACCAGGTGTTCAGCAACTGTGGGGGTGGAAAAATCTTTATTTTAGGTTTAATTTACCTAAAAATGTTTACATACCTAAAAAAAAATCTAATTTCATTTATTACCTCCATGTTTGGAGTTTTTGTCTGTTTCCTTGAGTTTCTGTAGTTGTTTAAACATGCTACATAGGTACACATGTATGTTGGCCACACTGACAGGAAGCTAGGTCTAAGGTCCCAGAAAAGGTTGTCGCATTTCCTGTCTTCGAATTCCTGCTATTTTGGTCTCCATTGCCTTATAATTATAGAGCCAGTGGAAGATGTAAAAGAAACAAGATCTTGCAGCACGTACAAAATAAGCAAGAAATTCTCAATAATGAATAACAGGTTTCCATAGAACAGAAGTCATACAAGGAAGACACAGGGGTTTTTCTAAACAGGGGAATAAGGGCACTGCTCCCTCATGTAACCAGCCAGTGCCCCAAATTAATTTTCAGATTGAATCCTTAGTGGCTACTTATACACACCATTTAGTATTTCTCAAAATGATCTTTTCCCAGTAAAAATGTAAAAACAATACAACATAACACTACATTCTAGCATTAGAATCTGTGTTATTCTCATTAAAAAACCCCCCTTGGTCCCTTCATTCCCTTGCCGTGCTTGTGATCTGCTCCTTCAAGCTAAATTTTTCTAGAAAAACCCCTGGAAGACATCCAACGTATTTGCAGTGTCATGAATTTGTGATGGAGTGGTCACTGCAAAAACTGTGAAAACAAGGGAACTGCAAAAGTGTCTGAATTTACAGTATATACACCTTTACCTGTGGAGCTATCAGATGTGTCGGCGTTGGACATCCTGGCGACATGGTCCACCCCTATCCGCTCAGCCTCCTCCGTAGCCAGCGTGTACTGCAGCTCCACAAACAACATGGTCGCCTCGCCTTTCACAAGGTCAATCACTGACTCATATATACTCACTGGGAGCTGAAATAGTGATTAGACAACAAATTATTATATACTAGTATTATTCTGACCTTCAAACTCACAGACAAATTGTTTGTTATGTACAATGTATTGGAGGGGGATTGTATATGATGTAATATTATCGGGTATTGCACCCCTTACTGAATTCCTCCACATACCACCCAGTCACTCTCCCTAGCACTGACTTGGTAACCTTCAAGCGTGACCTCCCTATATATCAAACTGTCAAAATCACCTCCCACCCACCATGTAACCAAATCTATTAGTACATAGAAACCCACAAACAATACTTACATTCCCAAAAGTAGAAATAAAGAGTGAAAACTTACGTCTGTGTGTCGGGCCATGGGATTGAGTTTCAGTAGGATGGGGCTCTCATTTATCTCACAAACCTGGGGAATACAAATGGGTTTAAAAGACCAAATGACACAAAAAAAGTCTGTAACATACAAGCTTTATACAAAAGTATACATACAATATAGTCACTTGAAGTTTGTTTCAATCATGTTGACTGAGAAATTGAGTCTCTACAGGCATCCAAAGTACATTTTTGGAGATGATCTGGCAAGCTTCCCAATCGCCCGCCTCAGGCATCTCTTTTTGCATCTGTATGTTTTATTTTTGCATTTCTGTGCTTCTCCTGAGCTGATGTCACCCTGTGATGTCAGCTCAGGAAAAAGTACAGAAATGCAAAAATAAAACATGATGATATTATGCAAGTCATCTGCCGGAACTGGCTATGCTGATTTTTATAATGAGCAGTTTCAACAAAGCCTGTGGTTTGAATCCTGGTCTAGCTGTCAGTGACATGAATTCCAACTACTACTAGTACTAGAGTGAGATGTTTGAGAATGATCACACCTCTAACATGTTAAACAGAAAATGAGAGACTTAGACTTACTGGAAGTGTTTGTGGCTTTTGTGAGCTTCAAGTTCACCTCATTACCTGTGTCTGACATGCTGTCAACTTAGACTCTTTCTAAATAAACTGACATTCCAAAAAACAGCCACAAAATAGTACTTGTACATGTACTTCATACCCAGGAAAAACTCAATACATTTTACTTTGTACTTGTACCTCCTATCACACAGAAACTTACACAAAGAGACATGCACATTTATGCACATGCACACACACACACACACACACACACACACACACACACTCACACACACACTCACATACTCACACTGACTCACACACACTCACACTCCTACTCACCTGTCTGTGTACTTTCCTGTCAGCCTCAGAAGGGTCTCCCCCTGTAGTGTACCAGCCCAGGAAGTCACACTCACTCACTCACTCACTCACTCACTCACTCACTCACTCACTCACTCACTCACTCACTCACTCACTCACTCACTCACTCACTCACTCACTCACTCACTCACTCACTCACTCACTCACTCACTCACTCACTCACATACACACACACACACACACACACACACACACACACACACACACACACTCACACACACACTCACATTCTCACACTCACACACACTCACACTCCTACTCACCTGTCTGTGTACTTTCCTGTCAGCCTCAGAAGGATCTCCTCCTGTAGTGTACCAGCCTAAGAAGTCCAGCTCCTTAAACACCTGACGAACTGAACAGGAATACTTGTGTCATTTTGTTACCAAAACTTAGAAGTAGCTGCATTTAAATCAACAAATAAATCTATTGCGTTCAGGTAACAAAAGAGTGAGGGAGGTAATCGGGGACAAAATTCTGCAGTTATCATATATATGTTAGGGAAGAGACTCCAATCTGGAACAATTCTACTGCCAGGTAGAGATCCTGATCAGAGTCGATCTGTCAACAGAAACTCAGATCAGGATCTCTACCAGTACCAGTAGATATCCCAACCAAAATCTGAATTTAAAAACATTCACTTGAAAGACTAAAGATCAATGAACTGACTTAAAATTTAGGATTTGCAAATGGGAAGCTATCCTAACAGTAACGCATTAGCAAAGATTAAAATGAGTTCTCTGAGTTGTAACTTGTTAGAATAGCTTATTCTATCAGACTCTCTACCCTGACATAATTATTTTAATTTTTGGTCCCAGTTATGTAAGAGGAAAAATTTATCCTTGTTGAAGTTGTTCTGTAGGAGGAAAATTCCAGGATCGGTTCTAAGGCCATGACTCACATTGTTCCTCCTTGGTGCTAAAATAGTTCCTGTTTTCATAAAGTCATTGGAACAACCCAATAATGAATGACGTACTTAAATCCTAGCTATGTAAGAGGGCCAAAGGAGAAGAGGAAAACTTTAACCCTAATTCTGTAGGGGGAAAATTCCAGTATCAGTTCAGTAAGACATGACTCACATTGTTCCTCCTTGGTGCTAAAGTAGTCCCTGTCGATGATGATGTCTCCATCGATGGTGTCAAACATCAGTTCAAAGGAGTTACAGATCTCCAGGTTCCTCCCTGACTGCTTACCCAGCAGGGCTCCCAGAACTGGGCAGAAAAACATTTCAGACTAAAATCTTTTCTAAATATGTTTGCAGTAGTGTTGTGCTTTGCCGGCGTACATTTGAGAAAAATACCGATTACAACATCTGAAAGCCCTGTTTTTTGTTGTCACCAGGAACAACAGGGAAAATGAACTTTATATGGTGAAATTAATGTTTAAGCAACACCAATTCAATTGGTTGGTTCTCAGATTTTTTCAGAAAAAATATGAAGGGACAGGGCGAAAAAATATTTCCATGGGTAACTTTGCTACTACTAGGAGCAGATCATTCTTGCATCGCGAGTGCGGGAAAATGCTAGTAGTAGTAAATTTACCCAAACCACACGAAAGGTCTAGACGATTTTCTCTGTACCCTGGTAGCATTGGAATACCTATTCATACATGTAGACTCTGTTTATTGTTTGTTTGTTTATTGTTTATTGTTTGTTTATTGTTACGTAAATTCATTTATTTTCTTTTTAGGAGTTAAATTTTGCAGTATGAGAGGAGAAAAGAGGTTTTTACTGCAATGAAACAATCCTAATAGTAACCCAATGGTTAGGCTACAGCAAGTAGTTTTTATGGATGACATCAACGCGCGCATTAATTTTTGCCTGATTTTGGAGACCAAAAAAATTGTTGCCTTCTGACAGTGGTCAACATGCCAAAAATGGGCAAAGATGTCTGTTGCCATGCCGGAAGGTGGATGGCAGATAACTATGAAGAGAGGAGACAAGAAAAGGCTCTGATTTAATTTTAAATTTTTTAAATATTTTGTTTCTTACTTTGATGCAGTGATATGTGATGCTGGCTGTGTATATGTGATGTTCCTACTGAACCAAAACCATTTGCACAATTTGATTGAGTACAAATTTTAAATTGAAGGAACCTTGTTTTTTTTGACCCGCCTTGTTTTTTTTTCACCCTCTCGCATTAGACTTGGAATCTGCAGAGGATGTCATCCATAAAATTTACTTGTTGTGGCCTAATGTATAATTGCAAATAACTGAAAGATCTATAAATAGTATGGTATACAACACGTTACCTTGTACAGCCTTGCCCTCCTGAGCGCGGATGCGGGTCCAGTGTTCTGACACGTTCATGATCACCAGGGGGTGCAGCTGGACTGTTACACTTCCCGCTGTTCCAGGGGCTGCCATCACCCCCCTGGATGTACCTATGCAAGGATGGGACATTGGAGATTAAAAAAAAACTTATCAGAGAATCTGTACAGCCTTAACACATTCTCCATTGTCTTCCTTGATTTAGTTATCATGTGATAATGTGAATCTCAAATCTGGCTTCAAAATTGTATTTAAGCTATCGCCTCATCATCCTAGAAATTTAATTTAAACTTCCCTGCTTGAACATACATGTAGAGCTGTTGTAACAGTGGAGGTTTATAGGCACTACCAACTGACCCGGCCGATGGACCTTTTAGCTGAGTGGTTAGAGCATCAGCGTGTGGACTGATGCCTGGTTTGGTCGTGGGTTCGAACCCCGGCCCGGGACCAGGGGTTTTTATCTGTTTCTACTCGCTGAGCACTCCTGTTTCTTACACTGTTTTTGATATTATAAGTGTTTCTGATCACGTATACAGTATACATCATATACGTGTATGCAAATTATATGACGACAAATGTGAATCATAAATTGGCACACCAAATGCCACCCGCTTTTCGCTGGCCGTGACCTTGTGGCAATCGCTAGTGTTGATCAACTGCAGTGCACAAATTCAGGGCAGGTTTTTGGCTCCCTAAATTCTACTAATTCCAGCCAAATATTCTAACACAAAAAGGGTCATCAGTTGTTGCCTTTCGAAGGTGCCACATTCTCAACAACTTTGCACTTCAACCTGCCCGGAAGGTGTCAAAGTCGTACACACTTTTCAGACAATATCTATTTTGACTTAACAGCTTAAAGAACTCTGACTTTGCAGTTATTTACACAAAGGTTTGGCCCATGTATAGTTCTCTTTTTAATATCGTGTCTTTTTAACACCCTTGCACATCTAGGCAGTTACTTTCTTACAGTTAATTTGCAAAGAAGAAAGAAATGTAATTTTTTGCTTTTGACTTTTAAAAAAAAGATGACAACAAGGTGAGATTTGTCAAATAGCTCGATGTATTTCTTCTTTTTGCTACCCTCTTTACTGGTCTTTAGTCTTGGCCAGGGTTGCAAGTAAGAAGATGCCCTCGCTATCATAATTCATATTCATAATTCAGATAACACAAGTTCGAAACTGCGCCCCCTTCCCCATGTTTCTATTCCGTTTACAAGAAAGATCGGATCAAGTGTTACACAAACTGGCTTTTTTGTGATGTAAGAGAAACGAATACTTCAAGTGTAAGCCAAACTGGTACATTTTAAGCCTGTTTTATGGACATAAAGCAGGTTTTTACGTTACCTTCCTCGGCTCCCCCAGTCGCACCTTGCTCGTCGACCTCCATCTTGAAAATATAACCGCAGGAAAACGCTAAATTCACAAATTCAACGATGACAGGAAAAATATGCCACATCTAAATAACATAACTTAGTAAACACATATTAGTGATGACATAAAATAAGTAGTTATTGAATTTAATTAAAATTATTTTTTTATGCAGCTAAGTATGTTTTGTCAATTTTCTTCGCGTTCATACGTTTGGATGACAAGCTAAGGACATGTCAGTGCAGCAACGACATCTAGCGATTTGGACTAAAAAGGTAATTCCATCGCCATCGAATCAAAATGATGACCTCTACTCTAGTGACAGTATACATAATAAGGCATTGGTCATCCTCGACTACAAGAGACGAACAAGAGATAGTAAAGTGCAGGATAGAAATTGGGTGATTATCAGTTTTAACTGGGAAAACTTAAATGGGAAAGTTCAAAGCTCAAAGGAGCGGACCAAGAAAAAGTGGAAAGGGAGAACCAAAATGGGAAAAAATTCAGGGTGGCAAAACAAAATATATTTTATATGTAACAGATATGTAAATCTTTCTGATATTAATTACTCCGTGAAGGAGGTCAAGACTAGCCTGGGTACCATCCTACAAATCAAATCTATACAATCACCGCTATTATAAACACGTAAAGATACAACAATTTGAGCAGAAAATTGCCATTTGTAATGAAAAAGGACCCCCTCCACCTCAATATCCGGTCACACATGTTTTTGTAAATTCGTGGGGTGAACGAAATCCGTTTTTCAGACTTTGATTCCAGTATTCAGTATACCAATATCCAACAAGGACGTTTGTGTTTCAGGTCACAAAGAAGTTACGTCTGATTCATAATTGATTGAACAGTCCACATCAAGAGTCCATAGCAACAAATCCAAAATAAATGCTCTCACCAAATGTACACAAAACGGTATCTCTTGATTATACTTTTTTCATTCTTCGTGATCTAATTATGTAACCTACGTTGAACGCTAATCCTCTGGGTAAGATTGTCCGTGTACATGTAGCTTTTTAGGTTTCTGTCATGACAACCAGGTATACAACTTGTCTTTCTACTTCAATATTGCTGTGCAACCTTTGATTAAAAGCCAAAATGCCAATTTGCAGGAGTTTAACTTAAAACGTGGACTAAGGCCATGTTGATTTGATTATATGGATGACATCCGCGCGCGCATGAATTTTCGGCCGTTTCCAAAAAAAAAAAAACGTTTTCAACCATACTGTAAATCGTACAAAACAGTTGCAAAATGAGCAAAAATATACCATAAGTTACAAAAAAAAATAATAAAAACTATACCAATGTCGTAGAATGCCAAAATCAAACGAAAAAAGACGAAATTGTAAAGAAATGAACTTGAAGACTAGATTATTCGCCAAACCATATTCTGTGCCATTTGCTCAACCTTCATGACCACGTAGATTTCATAATGAAAAGAACTTTTTTTTTTGCAAAACTTTTTTTTATTCGCACGCGCGCATCAGTTTTGGGGCTCCCGGAGGATGTCATCCATGTAATCAAATCAACATGGCCTAACTGGTTCAAAATGTATTTTGCACGACAGTACAGGTCTTTGATGCAGTGTTTAAAACGTGGATTGGGACCGCTTTATTGACTTAGGCCGCATAATCCGCTTTTTAATCATTTAGATGGCTGTTGCGCAACGCGTTAAATTACAAAAACCTGATTTTCCAAGATGCGAACTTGTATAAAACAGGGATTAAGTGTTCCCTAGGAATAAAACCCGTTTCAGAACCCCCACCTTGGCAAAATACTGGCTGTGCTGTGGGCTGGACGTTCTGTGGATGGTTAGCGGTCTGAAACATAGTCAAACCTAAACAGGTAGGCTGGTATCACTATTCTAAGTATCATTATGCATGCTAGATTCTTACGAGCTGACAAAGGTGTGCACATCAATCATATTTACATCATACAGCTTACGACTAAGGTCACGCCTTTTTAACTATGCAGCAATTTTGGTACAAAAAAAATTTAACGTTTTACGCTCTTTTTTTGCTACAATAACGTCCAAGAAACACGCCTTTATTGTGCTTCTTGTTGACCAGACAGGACGACAGGACTGGAGTCCTCATCATGAAGAGGGCGGCTGTATTCGCAGCTGTGGTACTGGTGTCTGCACTAAGGTTCGTACAGCTTGTTAAGGCCCTGGTCACATATGTCGTACAATCGTCGCACGATATAGCAAACTGAAGTAATTCTTGGAAATGTCTTATTTTTTTGCATATGTCGTGCAAGATTCAGTCGTTTATTTTAGGCCACACCGATTCAATTTTATAGATGACATCCTGTGAAGACCCCCAAACTAGTGCGCGCGGGCGAATAAAAAAAATTCCGGCCAAAAATAAAAATGCTACTAAAGCACAGGAATACAAAACTGGTATTGTGAATATGAAGCAGTACATAGCGACGTATACGACAAGCCGGCACATGCTGGCTTTTTGTGGAATTTATGAATCGGTACTGTAAGTATGTACTGAGTTCTTGAGTCGTGGAGCTTCAGTATCCTGGATGCTCGGCTCCGTATTGTCGCTAACTACAATGGACTACCCAGGCCTAGAGCCAGGCCAGAGCCTCGGTGGATGCGATCTTTTTTTCTTTTTCAAGGCGACAGGCGAAAATCAATGCGCGCGTGGATGTCATCCATAAAATTAACTCGGTATGGCCTAATACGGAAAAAGCTGTCTGCGTGACCTTAGATCTAAGTCGGTGGTTACTAGTAGTTCTGTCGCAGCCTGCTTGAAAATCCTAAATCCTAAACATCAAAATCGCACGACGACTTACGACGAGTGTGACCACGCCGGTATACATGAACAACATTAAATATGTAGTAGCAACTGCAAAATGCCCATATTTTGCCCTGAACAGTGGAAAAAAGTCCTTTTCATCCTAGTTGTTACAGTTATTCCATCTTTCAATGCAATGGTATCATTAAAAGTTCAAAATTCATTGTTTAAATTTTGAACCAGCCTGGTGTGTTGACTACATGGCTCCTATCGTACCATTTTGGGCCATAATAGGATGCCTAGGTCTGTTTTTTTCGCCCGCCCGCTCCATTATTTTTCTACAAAATTCCGTTAACCAAGAAATTAAATTGGTGTGGCCTTACAGTACTTTGAAATATTACAGCGTGAAAAAAAAGCGAATCGAGAAGAAAGAATATTTTATGAGTTGAAGTTTCCTGTGAAGAACTTAATCTATCTATGTGCATGCCCGACAGCGCCGCGGCAGTTCGTTGCCCGGTGTGTGTGAAGAAGGCCTGTCCGCCCACACCGACATGTCGGGGGGAGGTCGTCAAGGATGCGTGCGGCTGTTGTGACACGTGCGCAAAGGTAAAGTCCCTGTTACTTACACATGCAAAACCTTCCCCCGAACACCAAGGTTCGGGAACAGTCTGAGCAGCTTAAAGCCTCTGTTACACATGTATAATATCCAAGCAGATCCAAGACAGTATCCATTAGCCAGAGAAAGTCGATCGCCGGCGATCATTCCCCTACAACCTCTGCTTGGAGAGTAACATACGTACACAGTCGAATATAATGTCTCGATCACTACTGTGACACTAGCCGAGAAAGGTTCGGCCATGATTTGCTCGTGTTTGGCTGGTGTTCCGAGGTAGGTCGGGCGTGGTTGGCAGGAAAATTTGACTCAAATTTAACTCAAATTCGAATAGATTCGTACAGAAAGGTAGACGTGGCCAAAATCTGACCAGACTGCTCCCGACCTCCTTGGTCGGCTGGTGTTCGGGGGAAGGTTCTAGAGGTGTGACAGTTTGCTTAAACGGTTCGGTCACATTCGTCGTAGGCCGTCCTACGTTTGTCCTCTGCGTTGGTTGGCATGAAGTTTAGTGTGCCATCACCATGTCTTGTTATAAACGTTGGAATTGAAATATAATGGAATGTTGTATGGCACATGCACGATTATACCAAGAATAAAGACGACCGTACGGCGAATGTGACCGAGCCCTTAGATGAAATCAATTCAAGCCACCTTCCATCCCTGAAGGCGACTGTAGCACCCGTTATTGTCTTTTACAGCGTCGGTAGTCATTGATATTGTAGTTTAGGTAAAGTAGAAGACGAGGTACATTTTATTGTGGATTGTTCCATGTATGACAACGAAAGAAACATTCTTTTCGATTTTGTGTCAAGCAAATACTCCCAGTTTAAGTATTTGAATAGTATAGAGAAATTTATATTCCCTGCAGTCTTTAACAAACCAGCTCTAACTACTCATACAGCCAACTACATTTATAAGATTACCAGAAAGCGAGAGGAAGTTGAAAGTACTTGTGTACTATAGCCGTTTTATTATCAACATTATATATATTGATGTACTTTGTCAATATGTGACCTGTCTTTAGCCCAGTGGGGCAAAATGTACAATAAAGGTCTTCATTCATTCATTCATTCATTCATTCATTCATTCATTCATTCATTCATTCATTCATTCATTCATTCATTCATTCATTCATTCATTCATTCATTCATTGATAGGATTATGTTGGGGAAATGTGGCCATGTGTCTATTGTTACCCTCTACCAGGCTTTGGGAAGCGGCTGGAAAGAGTAGAAATCGGTAAAATAGAGAGATAACATGCCAGGAGAGTTGGTCTGCTGGAGAGAACAGTTTGCCGCTCCCGGGTGGGTGAGACTATCTACTGTGACCTCTGGGTGGAAGTAGTAAAAGCGGGAAGGATGGGAAGTGGTGTAATACCTGCTTGAATTACATCATACACACGAAGGACTGTTGAACTTGCAAGTCACGAAAACCTGTGGCCAACATGATTCCCTGAAGTCTGAAATCTCCGAATTTCTTCTTCTCTTATGCTTTAGATGGAGGGAGAGAGATGCGGAGGACTCGGGGATACTGCTGGGACATGCTCGTCCGGACTGACGTGTGTTAAGAAACGATCTACGAACAGTTGGTTGAGAACATTTGCGATGGGAACCTGCGAAGGTAGGGTCGTTATCAGGGGCAGTGGTGTCACAGAAGAGAAGTGATTTATCGTCAATTCGGCGCGAAATATCACAGCCGTGCCCTTGTGTTCATAAGGCCATGTTATCATTATATAGATCACATCCTCTAGCGACCCTGAAACTGTATCTGTATAGCTACGGTCACAACCCGCCGTACGTGCTTCTGCGTGCTGTCTACGTGCAAAAACGTGGGCAAACATAGGGCATCCGTGCGTGGTGAGTACCGCCTCCGTACGGTATCCTACGGATTTGGGAGCACGCAGACATGCCGTAGAACTTTAAGTGCATGTAAAACTTTTTCTGCGTGCGGTCTACGGATTCACCACCCGTGCGTGCGAGTACGAGCGACGCGCGTGCCCCGTACGTGCCGTGCGGAAGACGCATGTGTGAGTACGGCCTCCTTCCGGTAAAGTTGCAATCGCACAGAGATCGTACGTTGTAAGCACGTACAACTCACTTACCACTTACGCAACGTACGATGCACGCAACCGCTCACGGCCAGGCTTGGCATGCAGACCACACTCTTACACTTTGCGCAACCGTGCGAGTGACGTGCGAGTGACGTGCCACCCCTCGATGCCACTCCTTCCCCACGTTTTCAGAAAAAACGTAGCAGACGAAGTCTCCCAGGAAACGTACGGAATAAAAAGCACGTACGGCGGGTTGTGACCGAGGCTTATCTGTATAGCCGGTATAACCGCCTTTCGGCGTAACACACCAGCTTCGCAGGCACGCGGCGCGGCGGCAGCTGGCTATATTACACCGATCGACTTGTTACACCTAACCCTTGAACTTCTAGCTCAAACTGATGCGAGCGTGCGAACACAAAAAGTTTGCCAAAAAGTTGCTTTCATTATTCAAGATTTTCTTCACACTTACTTCTCTTCCTTTGGAATTGATTTTGGCTTTCGCGGCGGCATTGTTTTCCAATATTTTTCTTTAGCAATTTACGTTATACTTTTTGCAGCTGCTTTGTACCACGTCCCCAACATGGAAATGAAGAAAGGAATGAATTAGAGACCTTTACCCTACGTTTATGCTCTTTCAAGTTAAGCACAGGTCTGCAGGTCATGTATAAAGCAGAGACAACAATTACAATAATATCTCGAACTACACATACTGAAGTGAACCATTATTTACAGGTTCAATTTCCGTTTCGTTTTTAAGGCAGTTGTAGAGGTATACAATATGGAGCTAATGATATATGGTTTGTCTAGTTTCATAAGGAATACGAATCTGCTCGAAATGTCTAAAGTATATATAATTATTATATAGAGTGTATTTTCTCATTTCTATACAGTCAACTACAAAGTAATACTCATTCTTAATCTCATCTAAATCAAAAGATTGGAAAATAATTTACTTTATAGGAATGCGGTTTATTTATGCAATTTTCAATATGGAGTTTGTCAGAACTAATAATGTCCATCTTGAAATTTAATATATAGCTTATTGATACGTCGCTCTCTCTCTCTCTCTCTCTCTCTCTTTCTGTCTGTCTCTCTCCCTCTATTATCTTCCTCTCTCTTTCCTCACCCAGCAAGTTGCCGTGTGGGAGATGGGGCGTCCTATCGAGGAACCGTCTCTGTGACAGCAACAGGCATGACATGTCAACGCTGGGACAGTCAGACACCTCATAGACACACCATGACACCCGCTAAGTACCCATCACTGGAGCAGAACTACTGCCGGAATCCGGACGGCGAGTCAGGAGTTTGGTGCTACACCACGGACCCCAGCGTCAGATGGGGGTATTGTAACGTACCGCCGTGTGGTAAGGTCTGACTTTGTAACCTCCACTTTGCATGAGGGTGTTTTGGAGACAATGCATTCGTGTATAGGGCAATTACCTTGATAATATTCCTTATTCCATAAAATTCCATTTTGTAGGGAGGTGATATTGAAATAGTCCATTTGCGGGTAGAAATAACTTTCAACCATTATTAGGTAGAAGTTACTTTGCACCACAAATGAACTTCCATGCGAAAGCCATAGTGTTTAACTTAGATAAAATGCACTTTATAATGCACAAAACACTACGGCAATGAAAACTAGGATTGATGGAACGTGAGCAAGAATATACGTGTCTAATGATGAGTTGATCCGTGCTCATCATGCAGAGGCTTTGCACCCGAGAGCTAATTCCCTGGTTCGCCAATTTATGTTCTCCTCAGTACTGAAAGTGCAAGCGCCCTTTGTTCAGTACATATTGCTCTTCTATGTATTGTGCCCAGTTGTGGTTACAATACACTATGGGTGCAAACTGATTACAACAACGTTTTCAGAATCTTGTTTGCATATGGAAAATTCGAGGTTGCCAGCCTAATGTTTGTGTCACCTTTGATGCCCGTAGAAGGATATTAACACACTCAATTGTTACTAGCCTCCTCAACTCTAATAATGGTATCATGAAGCTTACAATTCACTTTTATATATTCACTCTCAGTAACTACTGGCAGCGGTGGTTCGGGCCGGCCTACAAACGGTAATAAATTCATTTTTTAACACCACTATACTGTATCTCAGTTTTTTTTACCTGACATTGATGCATTTATCTTTGTATGTATAGATGTACCTTTCTGTTTTTAAACCTATGCAATTATATGGGCCTTTGGTGCCAGAAATAAAGAATAGATAAGATAGTTAATTTGGAATTGTCCATTCAAACTATTTCGCAAGCTGGGCCATCACTTAACTACGAATATGACTTTATCTAAAACGTAGATAAGTGTGCTACATGTATACAAACCCTTGCCAACGTGGACGCTGTGTGAATTTTTAAGAATTTAAAACATTTAAGAACCCTGAGTTGACAATCCTATGCAGTAACTGTTGCATTGACTTTTATAAGGTGTGTTAAGTACCGTTTTATCCTATTGTTTATCGTTACGAAATGCCGTCTCTATATCTGCTAGTCTTAGAAGGAGAGACAAAAATGATAAAAAAAAAGAGCGAGATGCATAAAGATTCTAAACGAGACCATTACATTTTTGCAAGTTTTCTATGGAAAATGGGAAAGAAAATATTTTACTCAAAATTTGCTCGTTTTCATTTTTTTCTTTTTCAAGACAAAACTTGGTTATATCCCACTTGAAATCCAAGGCAGCGTTACGTATACCCTATATGTTGTGTCTTCGTATACCTTCCCCCGTCCTCAACTTGATAATGTTCCACTTCAAGGCAGCGTTTATCAATTCCTCTCAAAAATGTCATCACCCAGCAAGTTGCCGTGTGGGAGATGGGGCGTCCTACCGAGGAACCGTCTCTGTGACAGCAACAGGCAAGACATGTCAACGCTGGGACAGTCAGACTCCTCATAGACACACCATAACACCCGCTAAGTACCCATCACTGGAGCAGAACTACTGCCGGAATCCGGACGGCGAGTCAGGAGTTTGGTGCTACACCACGGACCCCAGCGTCAGATGGGGGTATTGTAACGTACCGCCGTGTGGTAAGGTCTGACTTTGTAACCTCCACTTTGCATGAGGGTGTTTTGGAGACAATCCATTCGTGTATGGGGCAATTACCTTGATAATATTCCTTATTCCATAAAATTCCATTTTGTAGGGAGATGATATTGAAATAGTCCATTTGCGGGAAGAAGTAACTTTCAACCATTATTAGGTAGAAGTTACTTTGCACCACAAATGAACTTCCATGCGAAAGCCACAGTGTTTAACTTAGATAAAATGCACTTTATGATGCACAAAACACCACGGCAATGAAAACTAGGATTGATGGAACGTGAGCAAGAATATACGTGTCTAATGATGAGTTGATCCGTGCTCATCAGAGGCTTTGCACCCGAGAGCTAATTCTCTGGTTCGCAAATTTATGTTCGCCTCTACTGATCATGAAAGTGCAAGCTCCCTTTGTTCAGTACGTATTGCTCTTCTATGTATTGTGCCCAGTTGTGGTTACAATACACTATGGGTGCAAACTGCTTACAACAACGCTTTCAGAATCTTGTTTGCATGTGGAAAATTCGAGGTTGCCAGCCTAATGTTTGTGTCACCTTTGATGCCCGTAGAAGGATATTAACACACTCAATTGTTACTAGCCTCCTCAACTCTAATAATGGTATCATGAAGCTTACAATTCACTTTTATATATTCACTCTCAGTAACTACTGGCAGCGGTGGTTCGGGCCGGCCTACAAACGGTAATAAATTCATTTTTTAACACCACTATACTGTATCTCAGTTTTTTTTACCTATATTGACGCATTTATCTTTGTATGTATACATGTACCTTTCTTTTTTAAACCTATGCAATGATATGGGCCTTTGGTGCCAGAAATAAAGAATAGATAACTTAAGATAGTTAATTTGGAATTATCCATTTAAATTATTTTGTAAGCTGGGCTGATCACTTAATTACGAATATGACTTTATCTACAACGTAGATAAGTGGGCTACATGTATACAAACCCTTGCCAACATGGACGCTGTGTGAATTTGTAAGAATTTAAAACATTTAAGAACCCTGAGTTGACAATCCTATGCAGTAACTGTTGCATTGACTTTTATAAGGTGTGTTTCGTACCGTTTTATCCTATTGTTTATCGTTACGAAATGTCGTCTCTATATCTGCTAGTCTTATAAGGAGAGACAAAAATGATAAAAAGAAAGAGCGAGATGCATAAAGATTCGTAAACGAGACCATTACATTTTTGCAATTACTTTTCTATGGAGAATGGGAAAGAAAATATTTTACTCAAAATTTGCTCGTTTTCATTTTTTTTCTTTTTCAAGGAAACACTTGGTTATGTCCCACTTGAAATCCAAGGCAGCGTTACGTATACTATATGTTGTGTCTTCGTATACCTTCCCCCGTCCTCATCTTGATAATGTTCCACTTTAAGGCAGCGTTTATCAATTCCTCTCAAAAATGTCATCACCCAGCAAGTTGCCGTGTGGGAGATGGGGCGTCCTACCGAGGAACCGTCTCTGTGACAGCAACAGGCGCGGCATGTCAACGCTGGGACAGTCAGACTCCTCATAGACACACCATGACACCCGCTAAGTACCCATCACTGGAGCAGAACTACTGCCGGAATCCGGACGGCGAGTCAGGAGTTTGGTGCTACACCACGGACCCCAGCGTCAGATGGGGGTATTGTAACGTACCACCGTGTGGTAAGGTCTGACTTTGTAACCTTAGGTAACTAACAGCTGATGTTTGTAACTGCCATGTTAACGCTCTATGTAGTATAACATCACTGCTACATCTGCTCCTCGGTATTTCGGCGTTTTTGTGCACATCAATCGATGTCGTTTATTTGCTTACTAGTTAAGGATTACCGCGAAGCAATGGAAGCTCCTTGGTCTTGTCTTGTCTTGTTTAGGTACTGCACAACACCCCTAAATTGGGGTAAGGCGTGCAGGGGAGCTGTGCGATGCGCTATTGCTGCGTCCTCAGGTGTTGTAGTACTGCAGCGTTGAACTTCGTGGGTTCCGCAGTATCAGTTATCTCTTGGGGCAAAATGTTCCAATCTCTGACAGTTTGTGGAAAGTATGAATATTTGTAACAGTCTTTGTGAAACGTTAGTGGCTTGTATGAGTTTGAGTTGAAGTGTCGCGATTGGCGCAGGATAGGCGTCAACAAGGTTTTGACTGGAAGGGCTGTTTTTGAGTGTCTTGCTTTTTGAAGTAATGTGAGTCTACTTGCTGTAGCCTCCTTCGCAGTCTTGTTGGGCGTCGGCGTTATTTTTTCTCTGAGCGACGCGAGTAATATGCGGCCGCGAGGGACGATATGCTGCCGAGGGAGTTTTTGCCACGGAGAGAAGGTTTCGCGCGAATCGTGTAGTGGAGAGTGTGGAGGAGGATTTTGTTCCCTGGAAAATGGGGGAGCAAATATCTCAGAAATTTTCTTTTTAAAGATCTAAGAAAAGACATTTTCTTTGCTGCTCTTTTTTTCTTTGTCAGAGGCAAACTGCCCCGCCCACAGCCACTGGTCACAGCACGGTTCAGCCTGCCGGCCATCCTGCGACGACCCTTCTCCGAGGTGCACCAAGGGCACCAGGACGAACGTACCCGGATGTCACTGTGAGACAGGACATGTGTGGGAGGGCGATGTGTGTGTTCCCCTCACAGACTGCCCGGCTAGGAGCTGTCAACAAGGTGGCAAAACGTACCAAGTACGTATATTCTTCCTCAATCCTAGTTCACATTGTTGAAGTGTTTTGTGTTTTATAAAGTGCCTTTTATCTAACTTAAACACTGTGGCTTTCGCATCAAAGTTCATAAGTGTGTTGGCATTAATGGTATGTGCAAAACAGGATTTGTTGTGTTGCTATCAAATCGTTGGTACAGAGTGCTATTGACAAACTATAGATACCACCAGGCTATCCAGGCACGGAAGTATTGTTTTGAGCGGGTTTTTATGTGGGTTCGTGTGTATATTTCTCAGGGCATGTCGGGTTGACAGTCCCTGGGTGTTGGGAAGGTTGACAGGCAAAATAGTAGGAGGTCCAAAAGTTAGACATTGCAACTGGGGCAAACTTTGGGGCCTTTGCATTCCACAACATCGGGCATGTCTGGGGCTCGAACCAGGGACCTTTTGGTTCCGAGCCGAACGCTCTGACCATTACGCCACACTATGCCACTAAATTAACAAAAACGCAAAATAATTTCCCAGCGGTCTGAAATCTCCTGTTTCTTCCTGGTGTAGCTCGGTGAGACCTGGGCCCGGCAGGACGCTCCCGGTACCACGTGCAGCTGCTCACAAAACGGAACAGTCCACTGTGAGCAGAAGAAGTGTCCACATGGGGAGCTGATCGGGGAGGACGGGAGCTGGGAGAGTGTAGCTCCAGGCGTGCCTTCTTGTGTGAACACGACCCGTTCGAAACCAGTCGCGAGGACTGATTCCAACTTGTACAATGTCAATGAAAAGTAAAGGAAGAAAGCAAATTCCAAGAAATGAGGACAGGATCTAGATCTACGAGTACACTTTCCTTGATTAGAATGCGCTTTCGCTGGGCAGAACCCTAGAAGCTTTATGGCCGTCAATTCAGAGAACATCATTCCTGTTGATCTATGCATACATACCAGCTAACTATGTCAGGCTGAGTGAGAACTGTCTGTTACCATGGTGCTGGAAGCTGTGACTGGTTTCTATGGTGACAAAGAATCTACAGATCCTATCATCCGGGGTAGTTCTCAGGAATGGATCTCTCAAGTTAGAGGTGTATGGTCACAAGCTCTGTGAGAGATTGCGTAACACAGGCTACGATTAAGCTCAGATATGTAGAAAGTTGACATCACCACATTGTAGGGTATACTCATTAAAAATTGAAAGAAATCTTGTGGTGTCATCATTATTAGTACTTGGATGACGATACAATATCTGATGACCATGGAAATTACATACAAATTCCTGCAATAAACGTTTGGTTACTTCTTTTAAAAATAGGCTGTAGATTTCCACGATAGAAACATCTTTGGTTCGAAAACGCAGCCAACTTTACCAGGGATACTGTTAAACATGCCCTCTCACCATTATGGCGGCCATAGTCGTAGGTTGTCGCCAGCTGTGAAAGAACGGGAGGAAGACAACTGAATCATGCATGACTAGCATAAGATCGCGCTCAGTTTGTGATTGTACGAGGAATGTGACCAGGTAAGTGCGGAAGTTTCAGCAAAGAGAAAAATTGACCACGCGAGTCAGGTCGCGGAATATATAATGCTTGTCAAACCCATGGTGGGAAAAACTCCCTGGCAAATGTTCTTCTTCAAATAATAATATTTAGTTAGTCTGGTAGAGACTACGGAAGTTTTGGTGTGTTTGTAGTTAGGCTCTTGTCCCCTCCGTGGTGCTAGTTAGTTCGTCCCTGACTCCCATCCATACACCATGATTTAGGCCAAAGCAAGCAAATTTTATGGATGACACCCTCCGCAGACTCCGAAATCTAATGCGAGCGGGCGAAAAAAAACAAGGCGGGCCGAAAAAAACAAGGTTCCTACATTCTCAAATTTTGACTCAATAATTGTACAAATAGTTTTCATTCAGTGAGAACATCACATATACACAGCCAGCACCACATATTACTGCATATATATAAGTACAAAAACAGCAACACAAAACACAAAACATGAATCAAAGTCTTTTCTTGTCTCCTGTCTTCATAGTTATCTGACATTCACGTTCCAGCATGGCAACAGACATATTTGCCCATTTTCGGCATGTTGACCACTATCAGAGGGCAACAAAATTTCTTGTTTTTTTTTTAAATCAGGCGAAAATTAATGCGTCATCCATAAGAATTACTTGCTGTGGCCTTATTTTGTAAACTTGCTCATTGATCCCAATCCCACACAGCTGCCGTCAAATCTGAACAATCGCGAGTTTTAAAAAAAATCAATACCACAAACCGACCAATAGAAAAACGCTACGTAAGCCAGTCCCGGATGTGTGCGTATTTGCTCAGCTAACTAACCAAAGGGGGCGGCCATTTTAGTTTGGAACAGTGAAAAACAGATACGTTTGACTTTGAATTACTTAAAATCTAGAAAACTTTGACTCAAATGCTTGGCAGCTAATCATTGTAGGATGACATAACGAAATTTGAACAACGTGAGAAGGCCATAAAATTAAAATGCAAGACAATGGTAAACCCTGGTAAGATAATCAACGTACGGTCCGGTAGACATATCCACTATACGTTAACCAGGGTAAAACGGCTCGCCCCCTTTATTCAGCCGTATCCGTGGTGTTTCGGCATTTTCACCATGCTCGGGTACTTTCAAACGTTATTTCTCCTTTAATACCACAACAAGAAGGGCCAATCAGCTATCCATAAGACGCTAGACGTATAGGAGGAAAATCCAACAGGTGTTTTTGCTGAGGGACTACAGGTGACACGTAGAAAATGCAGCTGCTGCTGGTGTTTTTGGCGGTGCTGCAGATGTACATTCTGCCGCGTGGTGGCGCTACTGCCGGGTCGGTTGAAAAAGGTAAACCGACCTTTGACTTTTTAATAACTTCTGTATTACTGTCGGAATTCTTTGTAAACTTTTCTTTTGACCTTATACCAATTTCTCTGTTTCTTCAGGAACTAGTGTTAAAAACATTTCATGGGGCCGTATATGCGTACGTAGCTTTCTTTCGTCTTTGCATTTGTTCCTTTCTTGTCGTACGGTCCGGTCTGATGAATTTTATTGATCCAAAATGTGAGACTTAAAATGACAATCAACGAGAGTTTTAATTGTGTTGCCGGTATTATTCTTACTCTCTAAACTCCCGATTTCAGAGCCTGAACAGTTTCTTTCTCGAGTAGAGGGCCGATAATATATTTCTAGGTCCTGTTGGAGCTCGTTTTCAATCAAGCTAATAATTATACATTGTATCTTATAACGATATCTATTAACGATATTAAGTTAAAGATTTAAATGCACACTGCATCAAAGTAAAAGACAACAATAAATCAGAGCCTTAATGCTTGTCTTGTCTCGTCATATTTATCTGCCATCCAAGTTCCAGCATATGGTAACATCTTTGCCCATTTTCAGCAACGCTTGTCCTAATGCTTCTTCTCAAGTGCATTGTCAGAGGGCAATTGCAACAAAATTTTTGTTTTTTTTTCTCCAAAATCAGGCGAAACTTAATGCGCGCGCTGATCGCTGTCATCCATACAAATTACTTGTTGTGACCTTATGTGTAAGTCGGTACTCACCCCAAACCTTGTTTTTTTTGTTAACTGTATAATGTAATATTAATGTGTATTTTACTACTCAAAACCGAGAAACTGAAAATTCAGTCTTTTTGTAAGTAATAATACTGTTCAATGTGGTTAATTATTGATATAACACAATGACGTTTATTGTATTATCATTATCATACGTCAAATGTTGATAGGACAAGTTTATTTCTTGAAAGTAGTTAAAAGTGTATGTACATAATAGTATAATGCTGTATTTTATGTAAAGGACTCCAGGAAGAATAGTGATGTATTATCACTAATGGGAGCAACAAACAAACAAACAAACAAACAAACAAACATACCTTGTCTCCCCTCCCAGAGGCCTGTCCAGGCGGAAACTGCGAGTCAAGTTACAGCTTCAACAACGATGACGTCCTCATCCGTAAGCAGCGGTACGCCCGGGGCCCGGGCGGGGGCCGGACGGACTCGGACCGGCAGGACGACTCGGACGGAGTGCAGATAGAGACGGTGGAGTGGGATGAAGATGATATTGATAGACCTCACTATCACGGACAGTCAGGTAAGAATAAGGAGTTTGTACAGTAACGGAAGCTCTATGTAACACAAAGAAATGCTCAAAGAACGTTGTTAAATCAACACTTCTTTCTTTCAGAAATTTACAAAGCAGTCCTGTTACAAACCGACCCGGAGGACGACCAACCCGCCCAGAAGCCCCCTCTAGCGGAAAATGATATACCTCCAGATCAAGATCTGGACGATTTCAAGGCCCGAAGTGCCCCCATGGCAGAGGACAAGGCAGACGGTTCAACTGACACCGTCATAGACAAAGACAGGGATGAGAAAGATGAAACACTCACATCTGAAGCTTCAGAAGACAAGGGATCGTCAAAAAACAAAAATGTGGAATCAAAGAAAAAGAGGAGAAAATCAGGGAAAAGAGATCATGATGACTTCAGTGATCTTCACTTCCACAGGATGTCCAGCCTGTACCAGACTGTCATGACAAAAGGGGAGTTGGAGGAGGAAGAAGAAACCAAAGGGTCAGAGGTTACAGGTCAAAGCAATGGAGAAGGGCAAGATGATGACCTTGACCTTGACGAGAGCAAAAATGGTGATGAAAAGGGTGATGACAGTGGACTCGAAGAGCCAGAGGATCTTTCTGACACCACTGCCAATCAAGACAATGACTTAAATGTCGACAAAGAATCATTTAATGTGTCGGAAGACAAGGGATCGCCCCAAAACCTGGATGTGGAACCAAAGAAAAAGAGGAAGAAGAGAAACGCAGGGAAAAGAGACCACGATGACTACACCGGTCTCCACTTCCACAGGATGTCCAGCCTGTACCAGACTGTTATGACAAAGGGGGAATTGGAAGAGGAAGAAGAGGTCAATGGGTCAAAGGTTACAGGTCAGACCAATGATGAAGGTCAAGGTGATATCGACAAGGAAAGCGGAAGTGATAAACATGAGTGTTCTGAAAACTGCAACTGCCCATCTTGTCAGAAAGGACAGCAAGAAACAGAAGAATCTTCAGAAGATGAAGATAATGTGGATGATAGAGGAGGAGCTAAGAACAGAGGGGAGGATGTGGGAGGAGCCAAGAGGAGTGAGGAGGATGGAGGAGGAGTCAAGAGCAGTGAGGAGGATGGGGGAGGAGTCAAGAGCAGTGAGGAGGATGGGGGAGGAGTCAAGAGCAGTGAGGAGGATGGGGGAGGAGTCAAGAGCAGTGAGGAGGATGGGGGAGGAGCTACAAGTGAGGAGGATGGGGGAGGAGCTACAAGTGAGGAGGATGGAGGGAGAGCTACAAACAGTGAGGAGGATGAAGTATACGAGGACACTGACCAAAGACCTGTAGAGAAGCTAAATGAAGAAGAAACCCAGGACAAAGAAAGAGAATCAGCTGAGGAGGATACACCAATAAACGTGAAAGACTACATTTCCAGGATGTTAGTAAAGTATCGGGACGAGCGATTGGTTCACACTCACACGGATGACCCCTGAGACACAGTCTCACCACGGCTCAGTAACATTACATATCATACAAACTGGCTATAATTTAGTAAAAAGAGGAGATATAGTATTCAAACAAGACTGTATTTTGATGACTAGAGAATTACTACTAAAACTGTATTTTTCTTGATGTTTTCAAAATCATATCCAGTTGCTTGAGTAACTGCTTTTTAGTGTATTTTTCTTGATTTTTCTAAACTGTTCTGTCAAACGCTTTGTGACCTCCAAGTTCACCCCATTTCCTGTATCTGGCCCTCTGAACTGTCATTCTGCCAGTCAATCTTCCCCACTCACATGCTATCAACCTACTCTGTCTCAACAGACACACAAACCCAAAGCTCAGCCACCCAAAATAATACTTAAATCCTGGAAGTAAAAAAACAGTAGAAGCAAATTCATCAATAAAATACTAAGGAATACTCTTGTACTACAGAAAAAAAAAACCTATTCACATTTAAAACAGAGTAACTGACAAAACTGACAAATTTTCTTTTCTTTGTAAATAGCAAATTTTATGCCAGAGAATGCAATAACTAAATTAAAAGTATGATATACAAAGTATTTTGTTCTTGTACATAAAAAAAATTATCAGCATATAAAGAAACAACTAAAACATTATGTGTCATTTGTGTTATGTTGCACTTCAGACAATTCAACCTTAAACATGCTCTGACCAACATAAAACACCACATTTCTACATGTACTTACATGTAGTCAAAGTACTTCTGTCTATAAACAAAAGCTTTATTTACTGTACTTTCTCTTAAGGTCTTACAAAATTTTGTTACTCAGCAAACAACAGAAACTTCCAATAACCTTAAACCTGTAGTCGGTGTGTTTAACAATAATAAATGTACATGTCTGATTTTGCCTTCTAGTGTGTTAATGTAAGGCTTTTAGGAGTTTCATTGCAACAATTTAATGCAATATTGCAATATAAGAAACTAGTACTAAGCATTGCCTTTACAAAGTATAAGTATAAATGTCTGAGCAGATGTAAGGTGATGCTCACTGTTTTCAACTTTTTGCGGTTTCTCTTTTCCTTGTGCTGCAAAGAAAGCCCCATGGAGATTAATGTCATAATTACAATATGAATCTTTATTTCATATTCCTGTTTAGATGGACTAAATGCACGTGATCATTATAGTAGACTACCATTCCATAACAGTTTGTTTGTAAACGATATCATTCTGTATTCTAAGTTTGTGAAATTCCTGCACTACAAACTAGATTATACCAAATCCCAAGTTTACCTTCAAGTGCACACGGACAATCCTGACAATTTGACACCTAATGTCCCAAGTACTGATGACGTATGACTTTGGTATTCATGAATCTTACTCTGAAACTACAAACAGAGCTTTTCACTCACTTTCCCATATCAGTTAAGTATGCTGGCGGCCATGTTGGTGTCCTTGATTTGCATTTCAATGGATCATAGCTCAAAGGTACATTATATAGCATTTTTGTATTTTATCTGTTAAATTGTAAGTATTCTTTAGATTTTAAATTCAAGCTGCAGATATTTAAAAGTGGTTATTGGGAAGGGTTTAAAAGCAGTGTTCTATCCAGCCTTAATTTTTGTAATTTCAATTTTGTTTGATGTACATGTACAAAATGTAACATCATGTTGAGTGCTAAAGGCACGAAGCATCCCGCCACAGACAATACAATGATGGCCCTGGGACATGCTCTCCTGGCAAAATGTTTCAAAATACTTGACCCTCTATTTCCTGCATTTTGAGCGGCACATTTTGCTGGTAGACTAAGTTTAGTTTAATGACATCTCATTCCATATCTTTGCATGCCAATTTTTGTCTGTCAATGATGACAGATCGGACAAAATTTTAAACTCCCATCCACGATAAAACTTTGTCAAAATGATAGGAAGACTGACATTAGTACACTGGTCTTAAAATGTTTACAAACAGCTACACTGAAATACAAATAGGAACACTGACATGGCAGCAGACACAGCTTTGTCCTCAGTTTTGGGAAGACATCAAGTTGACCACGTCTCAGACATTCTTTGTTGTTTTAATAACAGCAGTGTTGCAGTTGGTGGGGTGAGAAATTTTCCTACTTCCCGACTGCTGATTCAAAGTGCCTCTTCCCACTCAAGTACAGCATGGACTCTGGAAGAAAGAAGAGTGGTTCAATCTGCATAATCATCCTTGTTGTTTTGCATAACTGGTAAACTGCCTTTATAGGGGAAACATCATTTCTGTAGAGATCAAATAGTTAAAAAATTCAGCAATGAAAGAAGAGACTATTATTAGAAAATAACAGGGGTATTGAAACCCTGTCAATCAACTGAAACCCTACATGTATGTCTGCCCACTTCCAATCGTTGCTGCTGGGAATGAGATACATTGTACATATTAAAAACTCCCCATAAAGCAGCAAGCCCAAAACAATACTTAAATTGTATATTTCGATGCCATTAAAGGCATCGAAATATACAATTTCAGGGTAGCAAAACTTTCATTTTTTAATGACTAGAGCATTAATACAAGTTGAATCAACCCTATTCCATAGCATACTGACATCTGTGAGGCCAAAATGTGATGTCACTTATGGAAAACAGTAGCTTGTTTTGTACTGTAGGCTGGTTCTGGCTATTTGTAGGCGGTACCAAAAAAGTAAAGAGATGGCTCACATAGCTTGTTTTGGAGCTATTTCAAAAAAGGCTTTGAAGATAAGATCATGAGGAAGATGTAGAATGATGATATCAGACAGATTACCCATGCCTGTAGCCAGGATTTTGAATAGGGGGGTTCTCTCCACTGTAAGAGGGACCAGCCAGTTTCGTACAGGGGTCCAGGGGCATGCTCCACGGAAACATTTTGAAAACTGAACCTTCTAAAGTGGCATTTCCCCTGATTTTAAGAGGATTTCAAAGGAAAAATTTAGACATAACTTTTTAGTCAATGACAAAGTGAACAGTTTTTCTAGGATTCCAGTTCCGCTGGTGATACTTGTTTATTTGTTTATTAAAATTTACCAGCACATGCGTGGAGGGGGAGGGAGAACAGGTGGGTCACCTTTACCAGCTCCCTCCCCTAATTACATCAATAAAAACAGTATAAAACAGCATTGGATTTAAACACATTATGAAAGCGATATGATTCAGTCCATCTTTTAAAGAGAAATCTGGACCTTTAGAATGAAAAGTGGACCTTTGAGCCTTGTGGGGCCTTCCGAACCCCCCCTGGCTACAGGCATGTTTCCTAAGCCAGAATATATATTTTTTTTAACGGGGTCGCTCAATGCAAGGCCAATTATTTTTGGCCACTTCTAGGCATAGAGCTAGACTCATCGATATGACGTCACGCATATAATTTGCATCTCATTTGCATTTGCACTCGGGCGGCCAAAATTGCGCTTTTTAAGTGCGTTTTAACATAACTTCGAGTTATGTCACAAACAAGATCTCATTTTAATCACAAGACAAATAACTTCTTAAAATCGCATAAAAATACGGATTTCTTACAGTGTACCTAATTCCAATATATTTCAGTAAAGCTTTAAGTGAGTATAATGTAGTTATGTCAGGAGATGGCGGTGGACCTTTGTTTTGAAGCTTTGTGGGTTGTAGTCGGACGGAAAGCTGCATCTGTTTGGAATTTTGGAATGTTTTGCCACCTGGAAATTGCATTGGATGCCTTTATCATTTATCCACACAAAACTCACCTGCATATGTCCTAGGCAGGACCTTGGGGATAGGTTGGGGACTGCTGAAGGAGAAGTGAAAGATGTTGGTGGTCTCATGTTCACCCGTCTTGGGGTCAACAACTTCAGCATGAACTCTGACCTGCAGGTACTGACCTTTGGTGTAGACAACCTGCGATGATGATGATCAAATACATGTCACATTTTAATTCATTATTCATTATTTCAGGGCATCTTTACATAGTACGTAAACCTCCAAAAATATTTGGGTGCACCTGAAAGAAATTGGGTGCACAGCTCAAAATTTGGGTGCACTAAGATGCACATGCACCCAGTATTTCGAGCTCTGCATTGTATACTAGGTGTGAGGTAACGCATGATACTTTTTTAGCTACATGTAACTATAGTGCAATACAGGTTGGCTAATATTTTTCATTTTCATAGGAGAACACACTGGATCACCTCTACTCTTTTTGACAAGTATTGAGTTCTGTAATTTGAAGAGATTTGACAGTTTTACACAGTGCTCTAGCTGTCTTTCCGTCATTTAAAGATGGACAAAAATTTTGCCTAATCCGTCATCTTTGACATATAAAAATTGGTGTGTTAATATATGGAAACAGATGTCATTAAACTAAGCTTAGTCTAACGGGAAGATTTATCCCTTAAAATGCAGAATAAGAGTGATTTAGTCGAGGTTTCAAAATTTCATAGGGAGAGCATGCCCTTGGACCACACTAGTGAATTTTGAATTTTGAATGAATGAATTAATGAATTTTAATTAAGAAGTGTTGTTAAAATTGACATCATGGAATAAAAAGTTCACTCCGGTTAGAACAGTTGGTTTAACACTAATATGCTAGGATGCTGGCTTCAGCCAAAATGTCAAATGCAACCTCACACCATGCCCCAAGCGGGGTTTGAACCTTCACCGCTAGAGTAAAACAACTTAAGTTGCGCAGACCTCTGATGACATGAAGAGCAGCGAGCCGACCTCCACAGGTCCTCTGAACATGATGTCATCAACAGCTTCGATGAATGGACGAGATTTGCTGCAGAAATAAAAACAAGAAACCAGAGATTTCAGACCTCCAGAAAGTATTGCCATAATTTAATCTGACCATTTAACCTGTCATTCTGCCTGTCATTCTGCCTGTCAATCTTAAATTATTCTAAGGCAAAGTTGAACTAAAAGTTTCCATATTAGACTTTTACCTAAATTTTCAACAATTTGCAACAAATTTTTTTGTCCTTTTGTCAAATAGCATGAGCACTCCTAGCAGATTACAAAAGAACTGCAGGTATGATAACATAGTATGAATGCTGGGGACTGTATAACCAACCTCACCAGTAGAGGCAATCATTAGATCACCCCATATACACATATTTCAGTTGCTATTACAGTGACTGTCTTAAAAGTGAACGTCTGGTTGTTAGCGCTCCTAGCAGATTACACAAGAACTGCAGGTAAGGACAGTGAATACTGGAACAAGTCTGTATAACTCACCAGTAGAGGCAAGCGTTGGACCATCCCAGCTCAAATGCCTGTCTCATCAGGAAGCCACCAAACATCTTACTGTACAAGTTTCTATTCTAGAGATTTAAAAATGAGTGAATAACAATTATAAACAGATTTTGAAAAATTGAAACAAATAAAATAAATTACAATACTTTGTGATATTCATAGCATACAATACCGTACATCTCATTATATCATACCCGGGCCGCGATAACGTTCGATAACGGGTTCCGGACCGGGCCGTACGTTACGGTACGGCCCGGTCCGGAACCCGTTATCGAACGCTTCCATGGCTTCCATAAAACGATTCGAACGCGTTTCGTCCTAACCGCGTGTGCCCCTTTCGAAAATTCGAATACAGAATCCGGACGTTGGAACTGATGTTGTTGCATTTGAGGGTTTAGGGGCACCAACTTTTGGCTCATCTTGCATTGAAAGGCGCGTTTTCTTGGGTGGGTATGATATAAATAAAATACAACACGGTGTTCCGCATCGCCCTCGGTCCCAGCCCTCCCGCGAGTCGGATCGCCCGACGGCCTCACGGTCGGGCCGATACCTCGGGCGATACGGAATACCCCGTGTTGTATTCTATATATATGATACAATATAAAGACATAAAGTATATATTATACAGTACTGCATATAACCAAAAATTTTTATCATTATTAAGCATCTGAATATAACATACAATGTACTTACGTATAATATGTTTTATTCAGATGCTTCATATTATTGGATATATGCAGTTAATATATATCGCTCTATCCAGTTTAACGTCTTTTCCCCCCCGAAACTGGGGGTTAGACGTGCTTGCATCAATATTGCAAGTCTTTTTTCTTTTTGAAGCAAGATTTTTTAATGGCTGGATGCCCTTCCTAATGCCAACCCAAACCCTAGTAGGGCCCAGGATTTACTATGTCTTGGATTATCTTGTTTAATTTCTAGTAGGAGGGTCTGTACGCCATTGGGGAGATCTTGGCAATGCTTAATGGTCAAGTAAGAAGGGCTGGTGATTTCAGCCCATGTCACACATTCAGTACCTTCCCCAGTGCCATTGTCCCTGAACACCAGCTAAACCAAGCGGCTATTCCGAGATCAGGGTGCGCCAATGGCATCGTGCATCGTTATGTCAATCTTACTCTGTATTTATCGCATTCTGTTGACATTTATCAAACTTGTTACACTAGTACAGTTATTTTCCAGACAATCAGGAAGAGATTTGGTGTTAAGATGTTTAAAACTTATGCTATGGCCAATTTAAGACCAGAAATTGGCATAAAATCTATGTTATGCTGTTGCACTTGAAAACTGCCAGTTTTTGAAATATGCTTTTAAGTAATTTGGGAACAAAAAAATGGAATGAAAAGATTTGCAATATGTTCAGACATGCTCAGTCTGATATGTTTTGCAAAAAACCTGATGATGATTGGAAATTTCTCTTTTCTAGAGCGCATTTATCAATATGTTGTACACGTTATGCAAAATTCATAAATTAACACATTGCAATTAACTTATCTCCCTGTACTAAAAAGGATGGTGATAGAACTGGCCATTTTGCATGTTATGCAAGGTACATCCATATATGACACAAAACATGTGTTTTTATGTTGCTTGTCCTTTGGGTTAATATGGCTGATGGCTTACAGTTACCTGTCTTTTTTGTCCGAGAAAATGTGTAGTGTCCGTTGCTCGGTAATAACTTAAAATAGAAAAGCTGTGGGTGCATATGATTTCAGGTGTTGAAACAGCTGAAGATGCTGACTTAAAACACAGTAGCTATTTCAGTCTATTGCTGTAATTATATGAAATAATGTCAAAAAACCTCAAGGGTGTAGTGTCCGTTGCCATGTAGTGTCCGTTGCCAAGTATACCATATAGGTACATTAATTACATTTTGTTGCAATTTTGAAGTAATTTTGTCATTTATGTTATTTCTGTAGCATTTTGGCAACCCCTTAATGACAGGTCTTGCAAGATTTGGTGTTCTTGTCATGTACTTGAGCGGCCAGATGTGGCCGGCAACGGACACTACAGCTTAGCTGTAGTGTCCGTTGCCGGCCACATTTGAAATGAGTGGGCTAAGTTTGGATAGAGCACAACTTTTGAACTGAACGTCTCTATCCAAAAATTTTTAAAGTGCAATGTATGGCAACACCTCTAGTGCGATTTTCTGCACTGAAAGTAGAAAAATATAAAACTTGAAAAATTGGCCCAAGTGCAACCCTTTGGCGCACCCTGATCTTGGAATAGCCGAAGATCATACCTTTCTACCTTTCTAAACAATGAATTTGAGTTAATTTGAGTCAAATTCAACTGCCAAACACACCCCTAACACTGCTGACCTACTCCCAGATTGTTGACTGGCATTCTGCTGACTTACAGCCGAATGCCAAATACAAAGTAGCCGACCTCACCAAAGACCAGTCAACCACAGCCAACCTTGTTCCCGATCTACTCGTAACCATGAGTTCGGTCAGGGTTTGGGAGGCCCCATTTGTGAATTTGTGACAGGGACTTCAATGGTAAAAACTCTATATTATCATTTAATTTGTTTGTTTCGTTGTCACTTATTTTACAATACACGTGTGTAAAAAGAGGTCATAAAAACAATTGGATTTTAGGAGAACCCACTCGATATAAACCCTTAGGTTTCTTGGGTTCTCCCGCACATTTGGTTGTACATATTCATTACATATGTTTTTATTTTTATGTGCAAACTGGCAATAAACAAAATAAACAAATTCAGGAAGGCCAGCAACTTTCCATGCAGAGAGAAGAAAACTGTCCTTACCTCTGGATGACAGATGATGACGTTCTTCAGTATCGTGTCGTCCAGCCAGAGTGTGTTCTCCGGTTTCACGCGGTCGCGAAAACTCACCGACCTGCATGTACAAACAATGCAACTGTTAGTTCCTGGTTTTAAGGAAATAATACAGGGTTAGTTTGAGTTAGAATTTTCCCTTCAAGTCCTCTGTTTTCATCTTGTATCTGTAATAGCCAGCAGGCATGGGGCGTGATGCCATCTGGCTATATTACGACTTCTGAATCAACTCCAAAATTCTCACATGTTGGCCCCAACAGTTGAAGAAAGTCCTTGTTTTCCTAGCTGTTACACTATTCTATTAAGGTGGTGGTGTGATTAAAATTTCAAAATTTGCATTCAGCTGCAAATTCACTATCAATCACATCATAGATTCAGTTACTTTATCACCAAGTAAAAAAAATTGACTGTAACATTTGGTAAATGTTTTACAAAATGTATGGCTTTGTATACTAGTTTTTTGGAGCATTTTAAATTTGTTATTGTGACACAATGTTTGTACTAGTAATACTTGTAGCTAGTCTATACCTTTCCTTTTTACTAACATTATATCACACATGTCAGGTGTACTTATTATCAATAATAAGTATAAAGTCATGTTGCATTTTGTTCTATACGTGCAGGGAGCATTGAAAATTGCCAACATGGTGACATGTAAAGCCTGCGTAAAAAATTCATGGTTTGAATCATAAACCAGCTTGGTAAAAATGTACAATGTATGCTGACTTCATTGCTCCTAGCGTAGCACTTGGGGCTATCATAGGATGCCAGACCTGTTCTTATTTTTTGGCACTGTTGCCTCATATTTTTTTCATATTCTTTTATCTATTTATTACGGATGATAAAGCAGTCCTTGTCATACTGACATACAAACAACACATTTATAAAGATTTCCCACATATTTGTGGAAGGACGTCACTAACCATGTCAAAGCTACTCATCTTCACCTGATGTGTAAGATCCTGATGTGTACGTTGTAGGTGTGAAGTGCCAAAGGACACAGCAATGGTGACTACCAGGGATTTGAACCCCAAACCTTTGGATTCCAAGAAATAAAAACCCTAACCACAAGATAACTTTGCCACCATAAACCACCTCTTGTTTATTGCTGTTTTAAAGACCCAAGTTAGTTACTGTTTCTTTGGGACTTGTATATTTTGTTTGCATAGATAGTGATTACATGATTATATATAATATTTTATATCATCATCATATTATATATAATATATATATATAGAGAGAGAGACTGTGTCAAGAAAACAAGGACATCAACATGATTTCTGTACTTTGTTCTTTATTAGCACAATCAATGATGTAACGTTACCTTAGTCATGTGCAGTGGTTGATGTCAAATGACCTTAAAAATTAAAGCCTTGAAGGCACTCTGTAATTTGGCAATACAGGACTTGTAATAGCCAGCAATTCAGGTGAGCCATGGTTTTATTCTTCTTTTAGTTAGAAAGTTAGAAACGCTGGTCATATATGAGTCGTAAATGAGTTCAAAGTTTACCTTCTATTATAATATAAAGGTTTCATTTCATGCATTTTCAGCAAACTTAAATCCAATGGTATATTATTATATAAAACATGCATTATAATCATGCATAACAGAAAAAACTTCTAGAGGGTCATCAATGGCTGTAACGTATTTCTAGCATCATTTTCACTTTCAGTTTGCAATATTAGCCCATATGCATGTAAGGCAACACTGACTTCATTTTATAGATGACATCCTCTGAAGTACCCCAAAGTTGTGCGGCGGGCAAAAATCCAGCCAAAAAATGCAGCTAAACCACAGGAATACAAAGCTGGGATTGTGAATTACATTATTTTTACGACAAGCTTGCACATGCTGGCCTTAAATTTTTTTTTAAACCGAATTTAACGTCATTTTTCCCCAACCGGGGGTTAGACGTGCTTGCACCAAGTACAAGTCTTTTTTTGAAGCGGGATTTTTATAGCTGGATGCTCTTCCTAACGCCAACCCAAACCAAAAAAAAATTTGCAGCATTAATTTTAAAAGTTGGCACTGTACTGAGTTCTTGAGTTCCATGGAGCTTTGGTAGCCTGGGTGCGGTCCTTTGTTACTTTTTGTAGTTATCGCTGGCTGCCTATTGTTTAACAGTTAATGGCTATATAGCTACCATGGACCATGGAGGATGGTACCCAGATCAGAGCCTCTTTGGAAGTGATTTTTTTAGAACAGGCAACAATCAATGCGAACAATGATGTCATCCATAAAATTAAAGCAGTGTAAAATTGGAGGATGCTTGTTGTACATTTGACACAACAGGGGAAGGGCCATTTTTTCAATTTTGTGATGATTTTGTTGGCAATTTTGACTGGAGAAAATATTTTTGAATGTATGATATTTCTGCCTGTATCACAGACCATATCTGAAATACAATTGGAACGAGCCAAGTTCAACATACATGTACAGCACAAATTACATCAAGTTTTTCTAACATTCACTTAAGCCACATATTGGATCTCATCCCTTCAATGGTTCACTTTTTCCTACGCTTAACGTCATTAGACAAGAAATTGTCTTCAGTAAGAGACCAAAACGATCCATCCATAAAATTTCCTAAGACTTAGTGCAAGATAAACAATACATTTCTACTTTCGATGAATTTCACAACCTCAGATATGGACAACTTTTTCTACTACAAGTTTGTACTTCATGAAGCTACAATTGCTGGATGTCATCCCTGCAACTTAATCACTTTTTCCAACGCTTAACATCATTAGACCAATCAAGATGGGTCTAGGAAAAATTAATGTTGTCTTTTCAGATTCAATTCTGATAAAATTAGGGTCCGTTAAGGGCATTTTCTTTTCTTTTTTTACTTTTTTTAGATTTCGGCGAAAATGGTTAATAAAATGTTTAACAATGCTTCGGGACTGTCTCACAGACCTGTCCACCTATTTGCTTGTGAAGCAAAAACTATTTCATAGATTTATATTTAAAAAGAAAAAATTGCTTGTGAAAATGTGTTACATGACGATTCAGAATTCAGAGGGTTTGAAATTCAGATGGTATATCAACAATTTGATAGCCATACCAGCAATAATTTTGATCAAAAAAAAGGCTAGGGTCTGAAGATTTTTGCTAGGATCTGTTGCGAAACTGGAAACACAACATTATTTTTCCGAGGCCACAACAAAAAACGTCTTCAGTAAGAGACCAATTCCACATCCATCCCTACATTGTTGTGTGCATTTCCTGGGTGCAAGATTTTCATTTCTGAACCTCATTAAGATTTGGGGACACATTTTATAACTTTTGACTTCTCTTTCTTCTAAATGCAGGATTTGCAATTAGCCAATCCTTGTGCATGAAAGGCCTTGATTAGTACAATGTTATGACAGTTGGATGCCATACAATACAAGTCCAGTATCTTTGGAAATAAAGGGACGTATAGTTTGAATGAGAATTGCTTGTTGCATGCGCGTGCTTGCTGGAAAGCCTTGTTGGTTGTACATGTATGGCTGTAGAGTTTAGAACTCAGTTGGATGTAGTCTAGAGTAGATATACAATGTACAATACCAAGTAACTCTGGAAATAGAGGGAAGTAATATGAGAATTACACGATTGTATATTTGAATATGTGATTTGATGAATTGAAAGCTTGCTCTCATTTTGTGGAGATAAATTTGGGCAACATGGTTTTATTATAAAGGGTCAGAATTTCAATTTCGTTTCCTCAACATGCAGTAATATAATTATGAAGAGGGTAAAGAAAGGGTTGTGTCAAGGAGGTATGTTGTTTTTGGTGACCTGAACATGAAACTGACCTTTGCTACAAATGTATCACCTTGCCAGTGTGCGACCTTGAGGAATGGTAATGGCCCCTAGAAGCCTGTTGACATGTTTGAGACAGTGATTCTGTTTTTCTGAGGGTTCAGTTTTGTAGCCTGGTTACCAAACCTATTATAGCTCCCAAGTCCTACAGCCTATTTGCGGAGAGGATGTAGGACTCGGGAGCTATAATAGGTTTGGTAACCAGGCTATCAGTTTTGAGTACAGCCTAAGTACTTTGCATTATGCTAATGTCTGTTGGACTGGGAAAGGGGGTTGTTGTACAGAGGCATTCTCTGCATTCTGAACTTTGTACTTCTCAATATTTTGCTTTTAGTTGCCGATCAAACCCATATATCCTGGGTCACTAATACTGCGTGCTAGAGGCATTTTTTGTGACCTTATGTTTGTATTACGTCCCTGTGCAGGTATTTTGTAGTTCTGTGGGTCTCTCCTAACTTGTGGGACTGTATCGTAGGATGGGTGTTTACCACCTAGCCGGGTTGATACAGGGTTCTGGTAGTTCTGAGGGTCTCTCCTAACTTGTGGGGCTGCATCGTAGGATGGGTGTTTGACACCCAGCCGGGTTGATACAGGGTTCTGGTAGTTCTGTGGGTATCTCCAGACTTGTGGGGCTGTATCGTAGGATGGGTGTTTACCACCCAGCCGGGTTGATACAGGGTTCTGGTAGTTCTGAGGGTCTCTCCTAACTTGTGGAGCTGTATCGTAGGATGGGTGTTTGTCACCCAGCTGGGTTGATACGTTCTGGTAGTTCTGTGGGTCTCTTCTGACTTGTGGGGCTGTATCGTAGGATGGATGTTTGTGACCCAGCCGGGTTGATGAAGGAAGGACAACCACATGTGCTGCAGCTCTCATGGTTTTGCTATAGTTGCCGATTAAACCCATATAGCGTGGTTCACTACTACTGCGTGCTACAGGCATTCTTTGTGATCTGATGTTTGTATTGCGTCCACGTGTGGGGATCTGGTAGTTCTGTGGGTCTCTCCAGACTTGTGGGACTGTATCGTAGGATGGGTGTTTGCCACCCAGCCGGGTTGATGAAGGAAGGACCACCTCATGTGCTGCAATGTTAAATCTTACAGTCTGAGAGTAGTCCTTGTTGTTGTGAGGCCCCCTCAGAGGGTATGTGTTGTAGCGGTTGTAGTACTCATCTGGGATGGTGTTGTAGTAGTTGTAGTACTCATCAGGAATCTGACTGTAATCGTTATCAGTCTGTGGTGTGGTCGGCGTCGCAGCATTTTGCTGGTTGTAGTACTCGTCTGGAATTTCACTGTACTGTTGCCCAGGTGCTGTAGCATGGGCTCCCGCCAGGTGGCCTTGTTGGTTGCCCCGTGACCAACAGTGCTGCCTTCGGATAACATAGGCTACAAGCAGTTCTACCAGCACTACCCCTATTACAGTTACCATACTACTAGTGATTATGATGATCGCAACTTGTGGGGATCTCTCCTTGACAGTTCCATTTGGACAGGGACTACGCATAGATGTAGTCTGATTTGGACAGGGACTACATGTACCTGTAGTGTGATTCAGGGTTAAGTTTGTTGCCTTGAGCTTAGGCTCTCTTGTGGTCAGAGCCGACTCCTCTGACATCCTTCCCCCAGGAGTTGTGGCCTGTGTCTTTTCTGGACACACGGTGGCATTGGGAGTACTGGACAAGGGTGTGGAGAAGACATGTTCAACTTGATATTTTTCCGCCCAAGTGTTGACCAAACATGTTACATTCATCATTTCTTCCTGAGTCATGTTTTCTTTAGAGATGACATCTGATAAAACTACAGCAACAGTCTGGGGACTGGAGGACTTGTCTAAACTCATGGGAACAATCTGCAGAGTAATGTCTCCCCGTAACGCTACCTTTACAGTAGAGACATTTTCCCAAGCATGTTGGCACAAGTGGGTGATGTTTCTAGCATGTTTGTCTGATTCTGTATTGTTTACCGATATGATAATCAATGGCAGACTGTACTTTGTTTGGCTTGGTGTGTGTAGTTGAAGAAAAGTACATTGCCTTTCTGGTTCCGCACTTGGCCGAGCTGCCTGTGTGTGGATGTCATGTTGCATCTGGACATGATAGAATTGCCCCATTCGGCAAACTTTGGTGATACAGAAGAGCACTTCATTAACCCTTACTGCAAATTCCCCAAGAATATTGGGATATATATAACGATGGACAAGTCGCCACGTCATTACCAAAGTATGGAGAGAAGGCAACCTGTTCCCCCCCAGTGACATTACATCTAGTTCCCCTGGCCCCTCTACAGTTTCCCTTGACAAACAGGTCAACAGGTTCATGCTCAGGTCTAGGTCTCTCAGCCGGGACTGGGACTTAAACGTCTGTGGAGGAATGAATTTGATAGCATTTGATTTCAAGGAAAGTTTGCCTAGCTTTTTCAGATTGTGAAACCAAGATGGCTGGACACTTTGCAGAGAGTTACTGTCTAGTAACAATGTGCTCAGGAAAGGGAGGTTTTGGAAGCAATTTGAATCCATCTTAGTTATATAGTTGTGTGTCAGTGACAGGAAAAAGTAACGCCAGGTTTGATAATGCTCATCACCGAACCAGCTTCGCTTGACGTGGGTCAGGTTATTGAAGTCAAGGTATAACGTATGCAACCCTGGAAACTCAGCCAAAAGACCCTGTTCTAAATCGGTGACTCCAGATTCAATGAAAGCAAGTTGATTTACACCTACTTTCCACTGCGGTGGTGGTCGTAGTTTCTCAAATGATAGTATCCCAAATGAGAACCCCCGAACGCCTAAGTGGTCGTTGTTTGGAAGGCATGTTGTGTTCGACTGGGAGGAGCTGTTTTTATTTAGTACTGGCTGTTGCTGTAGCTGCATGGGGCATAATATACAGGCACCCTTCATTGGGGGGAGGTGAGGATTTGATGGTGGTTTAGAATGATCGGGAAGACAGGATGACCAGGAGTTTGTGTTCTTGCACCCAGGAAAACACGTCGGGTCTAAACTTGCACAACTCACAAGGATGGTGAAAACAAATATGACTACTTGTACATTGAACATCATGCTAGATATGAAAACTAATAGTATATAATATGATAACAACAGTTACTATAAGTTGTAATAGCAGTCTGTGTGGCTGTCTGGTGCAGGGTTGTTACCCCCCAGTTGGAGCCAGCAAACAGCCAGCCAGCTGGCACACCTGAAGAATGAAATAAAACATAATTATGAATGAATAAAGCTTTTTTTATTAACAGTTTTTAATTTTATGCTTTTAAATATGCACACTCAGTTAAATATTCAAAATATAAATCATGAGAACATAAAAAAATAGAATATAGAAAATAAAAGACAATGAAGATAGAGTAAAATTAAACCTACAATAAAATAAAAAGACACAACCAAGTATTTTATTCAGCTGATGTTTCAGTGACCGTCTGTCACCTTCCACGGGGCAAATGCTTCTACAAGCTAATGATTTGATCACTCAGATATCAGATTAAAATGTATCTAATGTCCCTTGCCAGCAGTTGACAAAAAAAAAGGCTAAGTGCAAGTTTGCAACTCAGATGAGAAACACCACATATACTGTTACAGTAAACTGTAACATTTTTTAATTTGCTATTCTGTATATAATGCTCAGCTGAAACAGAGACTGACAGTTAGAAATAAAATCTTTGTAAAATGAGTAAGTAATAAACTCCAGTAAGTTGAAATTAAAGTGAGTTTCAGAGCCTCACTTGACAAATTCCAATTTTACATGTACATCAGATGTACCTTAAAGCATCCATAAAAAGGCTCTATTTTCTGTTAAAATGAAGATTGAAATTGAACTTTTACGTATCCTTAACAGTGTGCTAAAGATCAAATTTCATGCAGTGTGTGTGAAAGACCTCTGAGTCAGTGGGCTTGCACAATGGTCACAGGCCCTGGAAGTGACCTACATTTGTACCAACTCTGTCCACTGAATGGTCTATCAAACTTTGTGGATAAACCAAGTGTATAGGCGGAAAATAGGACTTGTGGATACTGCTAAGACTAGCCTGGACACCAGAATGTGTTTTCAGGGCCTGCACAGGCCTGAACTGCTCTGCTAATTTTGGGCTAGAAACTCAGGGTAACTCCGGGGCAAAAATTTCTTGGGGCCCGTTGTGGGCATGTTGGCCTTTAAAGAGCAGAGGAGCTGGCCTGTGTGGGCCCAGGAAACAGTCTGGCACCTAGGCTACATTGTACATTAAGGAGACTCTTAGACTATAGTGTGTATGCCCTTTGAAATCTGGCTAGCAATACAGTAATAAAGGCATACAATTCAATTTCTGGGTGGCAAAACTGGATTTCCAAAAACAATTTTCTGGTAATTCTTCTAAAATAAAATGTGGTTAAATTAACCATACTACTGCATACTGATATCAGTGAGGAACAAATAAATTTATTTTGTATAGGATGGTTCTTGCTATTTATGCATGATCGGTACCCAAAACATAGAGCCTCACGTTGCTTTTTTTGGGGCTATTTCAAAAGCTTTAATAGTGTCAATATCAGATATGATACTCTTTTTTCCATTTTGCCACCTGAAATAGTATTCTCTCGGGTTTCTTTAACACTCCCTTTTCATCAGAAAGCGCTGTGACTGCTGAGCAACAAAAAAAAATTACTCATTCATTGACAATGAATTGTTAGTCTTAGGCTTTTCAATCATACTTAATCAGTGTGCCAAATTCCATGTCCATTCTGTCCAAACATGATTGAAAATGAGGACCATTTTATAATGGATTGTACACAATACAATGATAAGTGCCTATTGTTGTTCACCTTTCTTTCCGCTTGTTCAACTGATTTCAATACGTTAGATCCTATGGATGAATTCAACTACATTCTCAGGGGAAATGTTCAAATAGGAAAATACATTAAAGAATGTTTCGATCTTATCTTAGAGACCACATGTTAGATGATAGTTAACCTTTATTGTTACATCATACATATACTCTGTACGTAAGATAATGTTATCCGTCATGTATTTGTTAGATCTTTAGTAAGTAGAAGACCATACAAAAGTCCCTGTACTTTTTTGTTGTGTCAATAAAGAATCTGAATCTGTGATACATGTGAAATCAAGCCTGATCACGCAGTTATTTATTACTATGTGACCATTGAAGGAGAATAATACGATTAATAATCATATTATTCTCCTTCAATGGTCACATAGCAATCAGTAGTAGAAAAGGGTTCTGAATTATCATACGGAGTGAGAAGGCTTCTTACCGGCTCCGGAGGGCGTCCGTTCCGTCCACCGCGGCCTTTCGAGATGGGGGCCTGGCGCCTCGACAAGAACAGCTCGGAAAATGGCCAGCAGTCTCTGGAAATAATTTAATGAAAAAAAGATACAAAAATTAAACTCTACCTTTGCCCGTCTTAAAAAAATAAGGCTGTTTTGACCTAAAGTTGATTCCTTCAGTACTTCACATTTTCACGATTTGAAGCTGACAGCTACACATGTGCCAGCCGATGTACATGTATATAGAACACCAGTCCTACATTTTGTATATCAGGACTGGTAAGGAAAGAAAGGTTTGGGGTTTGAATCACTTGCAGGCTTTTTTCTCCCCGCCTCAGGTAAAAATGAGTGCCTAGCGTTCGGTTAGGGAGGTCCCCTCAAATAGGATAAGGCTGGTGGTCCCGTGTTAAAAATCATTAAAAATCCTCCAAAAAAAAAAAAAGGGGGGTCCTTCCTGGCATGAATGGTTTAAACCTTAAAGTCTGGTCTTACGCAGCTAGTACTCACTGTATACAAACACGGGCCGTTTACGAGTTTTGTGTATAAACAAACAAACAAACAAACAAAAAAACAAACAGACTTACCGGTGGATCAGGCGGCGGCGGTTTTTTGTCCTCATTTCTGCATCTTATGTTTGTCAGATCGTAAAAAGGAAAGTTGTTGTCTCCGCACCCGTACCCTCCTGTTTCTGGTCAGTTCCTCACGACGCGACGCACGACTCACGATTCTCTCAGTCTGTAGTCATGGTAACACTACCGTGGTCCAATGGTGGGCTACATGTATGTTACAAACAACGTGCCTCGGAAAGTTGCTGCAGCCTTCAAAGGAAATTCTTTGCAAGCTTGGCAGCCGCACACGAAGCAGTTTGTGATATTCATCATCATGGTAAATTAGACTGGTGTAAAGATCAAACAACTTTATTTTCAGCGGGAATTTTCCCATTAATTCACATTCTTTAATATGTAATTGTTTTCAGACTTACAAAATGTAATTGTCTGTGTTTTGAAGTGCCAATGTAGGCACATGAATAAGTATAGTTTTCCTTTGTTCACACCATCACCTTTGTTATAGAGCTTATATTACTGAATAGAAAACTAAAGTTTCAACTGTAAGGCCACACCAATTTAATTTGTTGGTTCTCGGATTTTTTCAGAAAAAATATGAAGCGACAGGGCAAAAAAAAATAAAATAAAAACAGGTCTAGGCATCCTATTATAGGCTTAAATGCTATGGAATGAGCCATGAAGTCAACACAAAAGGCTGGGTTAAAATTTAAACATTGAATTTTGAACTTTTAATCAAACCACTGCAATGATAGATGGGAAAACTGTAACAACTAGGAAGAAAAGGACTTTCCTCAACTGTTGGGGGCAAAACATGAGCATTTTTCAGTTGATTCAGGACCAGAATCAATTTTTTTTTTTGCAAATCAGAAAAAAACGAAGAGGCGAATCCGAGAACCAACAAATTAAATTGGTGTGGCCTAACAGTTATATAAAACAAGAATTACATGTAGTAACAATTACATGTATTAGGTTTTCTCTAAATTATGCCAAATGTCTCTACCAGACTTATTTTGGGGCCTCAATTAGATGATAGAAATTGGTCAAAGTAGAGTGTTGACAGCCTATCTCCTTTTAATTACTAAGCTTTTGGTCACTACTCTTCTGGTGTTCAGGGTCGAAATAGTGTTGCTGATTTTTTTATGGTACTTTTTTCTTCCTGGTTTTTGTGGTCTCTTCTGCGCTGCAGACTTATCATCACCATGTTTAAGAAAGTATTTAGAAGTCTTTTCAATGTATGTTTGTTACTATTTTAATTTGTATTATGATTGTACTGTATATTTGTAGGGTTGTGTGGCGTACACAATGTTTCTGTAGAGTGTTCAACTCAGAACCAAGTACTAGTGGTCCGGGGTTCAAATCCAGCCCGATGTCACCAATCTTGTGCCCTTGGGAAAGGCACTTTACATGACTTTCCTCAGACTCAGACACATATATTAGGGAAAATATTCTATCGATGATTCTACCGGTAGAGATCCCAATCGGTGTTCCTGTCAACAGACATTGACTTTCCATGATATATAATAGGTACAAAAAGGTATTGCACAATTATGGAACTCTCTTCCAAACAGCTGCTTTCCGTCCGATTACAATCTACAAAGCTTCAAAACAAAGGTCCACCGCCATCTCATGACATAGCTACAATATACTCCCCTAAGTACCTCTAGCTCTATGCCTAGAAGTGGCCAAATATAATTGGCCTTGCATTGAGCGATACCGTTAAAAAAAAAAAAGCTGCAGCTACCCAGCACGTTGCCAGAACGTACTGCGCCTGCGCAGTACGCTGTATTTTCACGATTTTCGGTTGATTTTTGATCAACGTTGCATTTTGGCTGTTGCAAAGGATATCTTTTCCTATATAACATTTGGAAACTACAGACGGGATGTTAACCTTATATGCGCGAGTACGACCTTATATGAGACGTTCTGCCAAGTGTTATGTACAATACATTACGGGTTTCGCGCAGGTGCAGTGCGTTCTGCTGACGTGCTCAGCTACCCACACTGTAGGTGCAAGCCAGCGGCGGAAGGTCTAACTTACTTGGGATTGAGTGTACTGAGGAATATGTCGTGGATGGACTGCCGCTCCTCAGCAGTTGGGGGTTGCCTGAAGAGTGACTGCAAAGTCTGCTCCTTTCTCATCTTCTTATGACCTGTGACGGAACAAAATCATATTATATCAGATTGTTCAACTTACTGAAACTTCATTGAAGTACATGTAACAGGTAAGTTGAACATAAAATGTAATTTCAGGGCAGCTTATAAACAAAAATTTATTGTATCTACTGTATTGTATAATAATTATTGTGACTTTGTGTTGAAGAGGTCATTATGAAAACTGCAAACAAACAAAAAATGCTGTCTTCTAACTTGAATGTTTATTTTATCTTATTCACATTTATTTTTCGAGGATTGGGCAAAAAGTTATGAAACTTATGTCAGCCCTCTCCTCACACATAAAGGGAAACAATAAAACAAAGTAATAATTAAAAATTTATAATAATAATAATAATAGGTACATAATAAGCTGGTGTACAAATCAAAATCTTAATTAACTAAATCAAACAAAACGTCCTGTCTGCAAAATAAAGTTTAACACCACATTAAATATTTTACAGTTGTTGACAAATGACAATGAGGGGCTCGTGACCCCTGAGAATGGTTAAACATAAGGTGTTGTCGGTGACGTTGTTTATGTCAAATAGCAGGATGTTAGTTAAAGATGATAACATGTCAATACGTTCGTGCTCGTGTCTTCTTGTTTGTAAGATTTACTGTATTCTAAGATCTACAGTACAGTAACATTTTCCTTACTTTCTCCTAGTTGGAACAGTGCCTTGTCCTCCTCAGTTTCAGGCACCACCCGGTGGACGAAGGCGGAACTGCAGGAGAACATCATGGTCAGCCTGAACGTCTGATAGTCTCTCAGTTGATAGACTTCACATTTTTTCAATTAATTAATAGAGAATACATTGTAGGATGTAATTTATTTGAGTATTAAACCATTTTCTGACTTCCTACCAATATTGCCCACTTATTCCCACCTGTCATCTGTTGAGCCACTTTCAGATACATGTGTGTATGGCCTTCCTATCAATTATAGCTACATGTATCCACTTTTAAAATCACCTCCCACCCACCATGCAATCAAAGCTATAAGCTTAGCCATAAACCCAGAACTCAGCCATCTAAAACTAATATCCAGAAGTAATCAAAAATTATATGCGACATTTAATGCAAGTTACTAAAAATTAGATGCAACAATGCAAAATAGAAATCTCACCCTTTGTTGATGGGATCCCTGGCCACCATCACAAAACAGGCATCCAGCATTTTGTGCCACTTCTCCATACGGAGCTGAAATTATCATCATGGGGAAAAGATGTTTTGCTGTCAGAGATATACAATGTATAGGGCAGAGAATTGCTCACTGTCACACGTTGTACACAGACACATACAAAATGTAGAAACACACACACACAGGTATAAATTACAAGCAAAACACACACACACACACACATTACATTCCTGTGCGATACTAGCTAAGCTAACATTCTTGAAGCAGACACATATTAATATATGCCCGTAGCCAAGGGGGGTTCAGGGGGTTCGGAAGAACCCCCCACAAGGCTCAAAGGTCCACTTTTTGGTCCACTTTTTATCTAAAGGTCCAAGATTTCTCTTTAGATGGACTGATTCGTATCATCATTAGGCCTGGAATCGTATAAAACTGCCTATTTTGTCATCATTATCTCTGATTTTTTTTTCTCTGAAATGCTCTAAAAAAACTCAGGAAATGCCATTTCAGAAGGTTCATTTTTCAAAATTTCCTACGGCGCTCACTGGTCCCCTCAAGCAGTGGGAAGAACCCTCGCATTCAAAATCCTGGCTACGGGAATGTAATATACATGTACTGTTGGTCTTGCCTCTGTGGTGTTGCCAAAAACATGATGGACACCAGAGATATTTCCCACCTGTTCCAGCTGCATGGTGACCTCCATGGAGGTTTTCCCTGTCCAGGTGACGTTCCCTGTCATCCTGATGTCACAGTCTGGGTAGATAAACTGCTCATGCATTCCTACAGAATCATCAAATGTAAGACTCCCCTTAAAACAAGATATCTAAATCTGGATTGGTATAGCCAGTATACTATAACCACCCTTCGGCATAACACACCAGCTAGTACAAGTCAGAGACAATTTCAGACTGCTGGGAAGTGCTTTTTGATTCAGAGAACTATTATTCCGGAAATAAAACATTTATCATACAGAAAGTGTGTGTCGCCATTTTATATGTATTTACAAAATGCAGTGTGTAAATATACCATTACCACTGTGACAGTTATATTGAAACAGTGGCGTAGTTATGCTTTGAAATTTCGTCAGGACCAATAGCAAATGGGGACCTCTGATTGGTCAACGCTATCTGGCTATATGATAATAAATGATAATATGTATTTTATATATTACATATGAGCATGTAACTTGCCCTCTTTAAGCCAGCCATAAAGGCTGATCTCAGTGTCTATGATGACTGCATCATTATCAACTACAAACCCAGCCTTTGCCAACTCACTTCCAATCCTCCCTACTTAAGACAAGATACATACAAACTCCCCTTAAACCAGTGCTACCAAAACAATACTTCTGTCCCAGAACTACTAAACATTCCTTTTGTAACTACAAATGTACATGTACATGTATAGTTGAAGAAAAACAGTAATAACTGTTATCATAAGATAGCTCAATTGTCTTTAAATAATAAAAAAGGCAAGGTTTATACACTAAATGCAATGAGAAAAGAAACAAGCAAACAAAAAAAATCTGACCTATCCTGTCGACCAGTGCAGTGACAATAGACAGGGCTGATTTCTGCCCCTCCGCCTTGTTCGGGTCCTTGTTGTGTTGATAACTGACCCACACAGCAAAGGTGTCCAGATCTTCAAGGATACGGCCAAACCTAAAACATGTAGGGAGAAAAAAACAACTTCAACACAGAAGTGAGTGGTTCAAACCTTACAATCCAGTCTTACGCCCAAAGGCGGTTTACCAGATATGCGAAACAAAAAAACTTCTCGACTTACAATAACATGTATCTTATTCCTGTACTATTTGGAGTACTGGTACTTTCGAACTGAATCTAATACTATTCCAAAGGCTCCGCCCCTAAGGCATTGCCAAAAATAAATCATTGAATCCTCATTCCTCATGATCACCTGATGCCCTTGAAGAAGTTGATGTACTTCTCACGGAGACGCTCGTTGGTGGACAGCGGGATGACCGCCTGCTGCCGGGAGTCTGCTGACCGGCGGGGGGTCAGCTCGTCCTGACTGACCGGCAGCTGGGAGGCCAGCTTTGACCGATCCTCCGCTTCAACACTGAAAAGTCGATATAATTATTTACTTATAGTTTCAATATCCCAAAAAAGCATATTGTCACATTTGCATTGGAGATATAGCCAGAACATCTTAAGCAGGGGTTAATATTGGGTTAATGACCAGCAGTGAGGTGTATATGATGTCAAAAAGGCACAGTCGGTTCCTATAACCTAGAAATAAGCCATGAAAGCACATTTGAGTGAAGCACTTTTGAGTTACTAGTATCCTATATGGAATTGTGATAAAATTATTCTATGAAAGCCTATGGTAACATTACAAAAAAATGTATCCAATGGGGAAACAAATGCAAAAAGTGGTCAAATATGAAGTAATAACGACCAGAGGCTATGGCAAAATGGAACCATCTCATTGGTCAACATCAACTAGCTATAGTATATGTAAGGTTATATAAGAATGGAGAAGATTTAGTAATGCATTAACGATTAAATATAACAATGCACATAGGAATAATGACATTTCAAACTTTTAACAATGTTAGTATCAGTTTTTGGCTATATAATTATAGTGTGGTTAATGACCTGCTTTTCCCTCGGCATTTATGGTGACATCCGCTTCGCTCACTCGGTGGTTTATTCAGTGGTTATAGGTCACTGGTCAGCTGTTATAGGTCACCATAAACACCTCAGGGCAGGACAACACTGCATCATAATATAATATTATCATGCATTTTACATACAAAAATTACTTGTATGTATAATATAGTAATTTATGATTGACAACTTATTGAACTCATACAAATGTTTCTTGAAATCTACAGTCCTCAATTCCTCACCTCCAAAACTTCTGAGCTCCGACAAGGTCCTTAAGCTTTGACCGCACTTCCTGAATGGATGGCAAGGTGGCGCTGCTCACATGTCTGACAAGTACAAATCTGCTTTGTGTACCAGCCTGGTGACAGAGGGAGAACAGTCTGAAATACAGAAGGAATACAAAATAATTTAACTAAGTTATTTTTCTTAAATACTGTAAACCTTGAAATATTACGGGTGGTTGATTTTCACAGTTCCTCTTTACTGAGAATCATGACAAGTTGCGATCATGTGTTGTTGTTTTTTGCTGCGGCAATGTTTCACGTAGTAGACAAAAATCTCCTGTTCACTCCTAGTGCTACTGCGATATTAAATCCCTGAATTTACAGTAAAAAATGGTAGATAATCAGCTTGCTACAACACAAGCTAGCTATCCTTTGTCTCATCATCTGTGATAATTGTATACATCTATATTTAGGAACAAAATAAATATTATGATAACACTACTAGTGTTCAGCAGACAGCTGAAGCAACTGCAACTTGTTGTTTTTCATCCTCTTGGCCATTTACTTATGGTAGTCACAACAACAGATAATACAAATCTTGTATAATACACTCACACACAGTATATACTTCTATACAAATTAACACTACCCTAACGGCGCACATCGTACGCTAAAGCTACTGAAAATGTATTTTCCAAGCAGAGGTTGTGGGGGAATGATCGTCAGCTTTTTTTTCGGTGGCCGGCGACCTACTCTGGCTATATACGTAATGGATACTGCCTGGCCAATTTGAGTTGTCTTTTCGCCACCGAAAGGGATCTGCTTGGAGATTACTGAAAATGCTGCAAAATGAAAGTCGGTGAGATTTTAGGAAAGGAGCCTAACTGGTGCATTCCGTACTAATTCCGTACCACCTTCTTGTTTATTTTTACATGGCTTAGTCTTTTGTAACCTAACCAGTTATATACATTAGGGCTGCGGACCGGTACACTGTACCGGTCCAATACCGTAAAAATCATTTCGGTACAGGTCCAAAATACCGGATCATGAAGTAACGAGTATATACCGAAATAGCTAGTTTACACCATGTATATGACTAAAGATAGGTAAATCCTACCACAAAGACGAAAAATTAGCACTGGAAAAGACGTAAACACCGTCGATTGATTTGAGATCCTCAGTCTCACGAGACATCGCGAGAGTGTGGCTGATCCAGGGTTGTGATTGGTCAACAAACTCAAATCAGGTCAGAGGTCAGTCATTTTCCCTTCCCTCCAACAATTTATTATTGTTTCTGTGTCATGATTGAAAAAGTGAAGAACACGTGTTAATTTGTCAAATTGTTCAGGTACAGGTACAGGTCCGGACCTGTACCTAAACCTCTGTACCAGTACCTGTACCTGTACCTGATGTTACGTTTAGGTACGCAGCCCTAATATACATGTATATCTTTGCAGCTGAAGGACTCCCGCTAGGACCCCTAGCCTCCCCTTCCAACTGAAGCCCTTTATATCAAGTTTTCTAGCGATAACAGGGCTGTAGACTGCCCAAATCGATTTATAAATATCGCCCTTGCCTTGCACTTCATACCTGCTTAATCCTGTTGCTTCAGTGGAAGAAACATGGACGAATTTACGGAAAAACTGGACATAAACAAAACCAAACCTACCTTCTGGCCGCCATCTTGAATAGCCCTCACCTGCGGTAACCCCTGCACCGCATCAAACGCAAAGTTGTCTGATAAAAGCAAAGTAGTGTCTACAACTAACCCAGATAGACAAAAATGGTCAAAAACAATTGCATTATTTATAATATTTTATCATACATTCAACATTTGCCGATTAGTCAAACAAAATCCTTGTACCACTGAAATGCATTTTGATGCGGTACCGGTTTGTAAAGTTTTATAACTGTGCACTGTGCTAGGCGTACGTGCTGTGTAACACGTCGGACGGCTGTTCGTGTTATTTGCCGGAAAAGTTCCCGGCCTCAAATGTTATAGTTGACATTTTTGTAAGACGGCACTGATGTGGAGTAATGCCTGAACTGAATGTCAGTCAATGATACCAACAGCTCAATGGAAGACACCCTGTCATACTTTTTTGAGTGATCAACTTTATCAATCTGAACATGAAAGACCTTTTCAAGGGCAGTTGAGAATACATATAACACTATTTTTTACCGCAGTTATACCGGCTATACAGATACAGGCGGACGTCAAGTACTGACACGGGCAGAGCTTCTGCACTGTGGAGACTGGTGTGGAAGGTACCTTCAGCACCATTGACAGATAACAAAGGAACCCGTTAGTATAATAAGCTTCGATACTTTTACTAGCCTGTCTAACTCGCACCACTACTCGCCCATTGTGAAATTGTTGTTAAACGTTGGCAGTGTCTGTGTTAGCAAGTGTCCACATGTATAATTGTTGACTTACGAATATCAGCCCAGCTGCCTGTAAGTCAGTGTAATGTACTGTTGCATTTGAAACTAGAGTTCCACGATCTCATACCTTCGCCAAATGATGTTAGCCTTTATGACTAAGACATTATAGATAAATCCCCCTGATTGTGCGAATAGGATCCTATATTGCATCAATTATATCTGTTGATCATATTCTACACCAGAAGACAGTCTTATCTTATCAATGCATGCCATTATAGCATGTCCTCATAAATCATGCAAATGAGGTCCTTATTTGAATAAATTATGTTTAATAATGTTCACCTTCACATAACTTTCAAATATCCCAAGTATGAAATTCCAGACATTACCACTATGTAATTATAACATTTTCTCGTTAATTATGCAAATTAAGTCTTCATTTGCATAATCGATATCTGCCTGTATTTCTGCCGTTCTGCATTACATATACCACAAGCTTGAATAGTCCTATCATGGAATGCAGCTGATAAATAGAATTTCCTCATTAATTATGCAAATTACATTAATATTTGCATAATTGTAATAACATTAGTCAAGCATCACTTCAGCTACCTACATGCCAAAAATCACGACGATCCATCAATCGGTTCTTGAGTTATCCGCCTTTAAACATTTTTCAACTAATGCCCCTGCAATTCCAGAGCAAGCCGCTAGGGGATCCAAACTCACGTCACTTGTTTCCCAGCACAAGAGCTACCTACCATCCAAATTTCGTCACCCTAGTATGTCTAGATCACGAGATATCAAAACCGGAAGTTCAGCTGCAGTACCATAACAAGCCGTTAGGGGGCCCAAAATCTAATCAGTTCCACGTCTCATGAAGACCTACCCACCTACCAAGTATCAAGACAATCCATCTTAGCCTTCTTGAGTTATCGTGCTCACACACACACACACACACACAGACACACGAACGCCAACGAAAACATAACCTTCTTGGCGAAGGTAATAAATAAAGCAGCAAGTTTGGCTAATGTCAGTCAATTCAACACTGAATATTTATTAGAATAGACATCGGCTTCTGTATCTGTATAGCCGGTATAGCTAGAGACAGTTGGCTGTCATTTTGACTCGAGGCCAGGGACACCAGGACTCGGCATACGGTTAAGTGAGTCAAGTCAATAGCCGTATAAACGCCCTTCGGCGTAACACACCAACCTCTGTGTGTGTACATTGTGTATAGCCGGTATAACCACCCTTAGGTGTAACACACCAGTTTCTGTATTTATATTTGCACGGCCGGTATAACCACCCTTCGGCGCAAGCTTCGAAGGCATGCGGCGCGGCGGCAGAGGGCCACTATTTTAACAAAAAAGACGTATTTGGTACTTTCCCAGTGATAGCAATATGTTACTTTTTTGGCAGCATTGTTAGTTGTCTTCAGTAAATAGTCTTTGCTGACTTCAGATCATCCATAGTAAGGGTTTGCTTTTCGCTAAGCTAAAATCACTTGTCACAGTGTGCAGTGGTTGGCAGCAGGCTAATACATGTACGGCCATGTACATGTATGATTTCAAAACACTAATTCCTATTGGCTGTCACATCCCACCCCCATATAGCGGCTGGATCAGGGAACATAACAAAATTTGATTAGGCCACACCAGTTTAATTCCTTGCTTCTTGGATTCAACTGAAGAGGAATATAAACATAACAGATTCATAGGAAAAGTCTTCACCTCCATCATAAGTATACACATTTTTAAGACCGTAGTCAGAGTCTCAGACTCAAGTTTTCCTAGCATCTCTCTGTCTCCGTCTTGTTCTCTTGATCATTTTTGTTAAGAACTGCCCAAAAAGCAAGAAAATAAATTGGTGTGGGCTTTCGGTGAAAAGAAAAAAAATGACATCCAAGCATACAACTCATATGTCGTCAAGATGAAAAGAAATGAAAGAAAATTTCAATAAGTGCGTATTGTTTCATCACGCTACAAGGAGTTCTTTTAAAGTCTACTTATTAGTCTAGCAGTGAGTTGAGAGCACCACACCTCAAATTCACCCAGAGCAGATTTCTCCTGCATGCCCTGAAATTATGCCAGGAATAGTGTCCATTCCAGCTGGATCCAGCTCAGTATTACTACTATCAGTTTTCAAGGCTTCACTTAAAATAACGGTAAGTGTTGAGTCATGAATTACATTCCCATATAGACTCTTTCTTATAATGATTGACGATCATTGTATTTTGGCCAAATTTGGAGATTTGAGTACGGCTGTTTGAATCACTACCACATGCGCTGTGGGTAAGGGTACCATTACCAAAGTCTTTAAAGATGGTACATACTGTTTCCCCGCTTAGCATTTGGGAGGTACTAATAGTACGGGAGTTGAACAAACACCTCTGCCAGTGGACAAGCCTCCCTGTGTAGTACAAATGTGTGACCCAAGTGCTATAAATACGGAAATAAGTGCCACCCTATTTGCGTTTCTCCACGTTTCCAAAATGAAAAGAAAGCTTACACTTAGACACTCCACCTAAAACCACAGAACAAACGTACATGCAGTATTACAGAAAAGGTGGGGCCCTTTGTCTTCCACCGTACCGCTTCCAAAACATGAAGTAAAACCCAAGAAACTTACACCAGCAATGTCGTTGCCATTTTTAGACCTGGAACCAAACATTTTGCACCCAGAAGTGAAATATTTTAAAGGCATGTACAGGTTTTAAGCCCTGGAAACCTGATTTAAGCCAAATTTAAGCCAATATTCTGAAACCACACTATAAGTATATTGACCCTCATGGAGCGAAAATTCACAAAATTCTGACGGAAAATGGTTACTGGTAGCGGCCTGGGCTGATTTTCAGGGTACCGCCCAGAAAATAGATGACTAATCTTGTGGCTTGTTTCTGCAATTTTAAATGCTCAAAGTATGAAATGCTAATTTAAATGCGCTAATGTGAAGCATGTGGCAATATCATAAAAGATTGCCTTATTCAGAATATTTCCAGTTTAGCTGCCCTGAAATCGCATTGGATACCTTTCAAAAATTCTTGTGATTATTATTGATTTCTACTTTCTTAAACACATTAGTGCAATCATCTCACATTTCTGACATTAATGGTTGGTACTAAAACAGTCCACACGACACGCCTCTTTGTGCTACCAACACAAACTAGCAGAATATAATTTATTATAAACAAACATGGCTGACTGTAGCATTTCAAACTTTTAGCCGCACTCAATTTTTATCACCTTCACTTCCTGAATGACACTTATTTGCAATGGAGTAGGGTTGATTCAACTTATTTGTTAAGAAATGTCCAGAAAATGTACTTTTCTGACGTTATTTTTTTTATGACGATTTACCACATTTGTGGAAGGATTGACATAACAGGTGACTATCACCTCTTCAAAGATGTCAACCCCGAGACCAGACTGTAAGGTTTGAACCACTCACACCGGGAAGGTCCCCTACTCTTTTCGATAAGTGTGGTGGGTTCTTTACCGTGCGTGGGGTGTGGCTCTCCCAAACACGGGACCTCCATTTAACGTCCTATCCGAGGGACTTCCCTAGCTAGCCGAAGCTAGGTACTCAATTACACCTGAGTGAAGTGAGGAAAGTCGTGTAAAGTACCTTTCCCAAGGGTACAATCCCGTCGGGGCGTATGTTCGGACTTGTTCGGGTACGACCCGGAATCGAACCCGGGTCTCCCCGTTTCATAGTCCAGTGATGTACCACTACACCACACGACGCCATTATTACATAATGCAGATGTAAACATTGCATAACACCAACACTTCTCAATCCTATAATTAGTCTGCCCCATACAGAGCTGGATCAGAACTGTTTTCAGGTCTTTTGAGATCATAAACCTTGTTAAGGAAAAATTGTTCAAGAAAAATTGTGGCGACAAAACATGATATAACAACCAACATTGAGGTTTATTGAGGAAATATCTCCTTTGGCTGCCCACCCGAGGGTGACAGCTACTCTTCCAGGAGAGATTGGGGTACATAAAACATTGCAATACATTAGAAATACAATTACATACATGTAGTTATATAAAAGAAACTATGTGTAACATCGTATGCCCGACATATATATTTATTTATTTCTGTTTTATTTAAACAAGGTAGAGACCTCAGTGCTACTTAAAACCACTGCTTTTCAGGAATGCCCTGTGACAACAGGTTATACATGAAAACAATAAAACCAACAAATTAAACAATACATATAGTTACAAAACAACCAAGCGTCAAAACGAAATCATTAACCATAAATCAATGTCGTTAAGCCAGGGTCAGGAGGTCAGAGGTCAGCAGTGTTGTACATTTTGATTTACGAGAAGAATTGTAGAAAAGAGCTTTCCGTACCATAATGGGCAGTTACTACACTGGGTATTCATATATGGGAGTAGTAGTAGTAGTAGTAGTAAGCTTTTAAATTTATTTATTTAAACTCGAAAGCTTGTTCGGCACATACATATATGACCGCTTTTCAACAAGGTCGAGGGTGAGGGCGGGGTCACGGATTACAAATCAAACCAAAATGTAATACAAAATCAAAACAAAATGCAAATCAAAATATAATACAAAAATAAATAGTAAATCATCAGTCCGTTATCAGTCCAATACTTCTAAATGTTCCCAATGACTTGGCTGCTCGTACATGTGGTGGCAAGGAGTTCCACACAGTCGCCCCCGAGTACCTCAGTGACCGCCTGTACACTTCCAGTTGGGGCCTCGGTATGATGAGGTTGTCCAGTGTGCTCTGTCTGGTGGATCTGGAGGTTTCATCTCTATACAGGATGAACACCCCTCGCATATGTGGTGGTAAAGAATTGTCCAAGGCCCTATACACTAGCATGGCTTTATGTTGACGATGTAGAGTTCTCACGGACTTCCATCTCAGACGAGAGAGGACTTCCCGTGATGGTGTTCTGTACGGGGCTTTCAAGATCAATTTTCCTACTCGGTTCTGCATTCTTATCAAATTGTACCGAAATGGCACCATCCCAGACAGTACAGGCATAAGTTAAATGCGGTAAAAATATGGTGTTATATAAGGTGACGAGGATGTAACACCATAGAGTTTAGGTTTCCAACACTTGCCATCAAATGTGAGTAACTGTACCTCTTGGGGGGTTCTCAATAATTTCTCATTATTTCTATTGTCCTTATTGTCTACTGGTTCTATGTATTAGTTTTGTTGTCATACATGTGCGTCATGAATTTTGTTGTGCCATGTTTTTGTTTTTCTTATGAAATGAATAATAAAACTAGAAAGGCCAATATTTGCTTTGGAGCAAATACAGCGATGGGTTCACCACATTTTACCACATGGCAGGGAAAGAATGAGAAACACAAGGGAAAACAATGATTTACATTGATATAACTATAATATGAAGTAAAATACAACTAAAACAACAGTTGGATAGCTATTCCCTACTTTATTGGTTAGGATTTTTAATTGCATAATGCAAACTGTTGATTTTCAAAATAAAAAAAAAACGTCCATGCCCGGCATTCCAATGCTGGAGCAGGAAAGCTTGAAATACCTACCAAAACACTTGAATACAGACATACTGTCAGTATGGAAATGCTTCTGTGCAGGTGTTAATCAAGTTAAATCCCAACAGCCAATCAGCAAGAAGTATAGAGGAAAGCTGCATGCCTATTGGTTGATGCCCTGCATTCCATCGTGATGACTCATGCCCAAACGTGGTAAACAAGGCAAACTAACACAGTAATACATTTGCTATAACACAGCCAACAAACTCAAATAAAACCATTCTAAAAGCCTGTATCACAATAATTTAAAAAACGCCTAGGGGTATTTGCCCACTGTACCTCCATACCAAATTTCAGGACCTTAGGCCCTAAAATGAAGAAGCTGAATCCATTTAAAAAATGGCAGGAGAAGAAGAAGAAGAAACATCAGAAAAAGCAATATGGTTTCACCACACCACTTCGTGGTGTGGTGAACCCATAATGAACTTAAAAAAAGTAACTGTACCTCAAGTTTGATGGGTCCCTCATGGTCTTTGAGGCGAAAGACATTTACCACATATTTAGTATATAATACCCATTTTCTTTCGGCATGTTGATATATGTTGATAACAACTAAGATTACTTGTTTGTTTGCTTTTTTTTCGAAATCGCGCTGATGTCATCGATAAGATTTACTTGCTGTGGCCTTACTTAATAATTATTGCACCAAAGAACATATGTCCTCATCTTGTCTTTCTCTACAGAGTCACAATGAACCAGTCCATCGGAGGAGAGAACAATCCTATAGATGTTGATCTTACAAACCATCCAGAGGAGCCGACAAGTTCCGGGCAAAATGAAAATAACCTACGCTCTGATCAAAATCTACTGTACACAGAAAACGCTGCAGAGCCAACAAGAATGTCAACATGTGGTCACGACTCACCCAGTAGTCAAGGTCAAGACACAATGGAGGTCACGTACGTAGCTGGCACTGAACCGACGCGTACAAGTCAGCCTGGTATCACAGACAGACATTATGATACGGCAGATAATTGCGATATTCCCGACCCAGCAGCCACTGATGTTTATTTTGTATCTGACACGATCCATGCTGAAAACTCCGCCGTGTACACAGCCTCGGGCGAAAATGAAGAAAGTGGCAACGCTAATGGAAACAATGACGAGGAAACTCAAGTCAGGCAAGCAGGCAGTACAGTGACTGACGATGGTGATATCGAACCGTACGCTGTTGGAAACATGAGCGATCACGAAAACTATCTCAACAAAACAAAACACGTTGGCCAACAAACAGATGGCACCACTGTACCTGCACACAATCTTCACAATCCTCCAAACGAAACGGAATTTGAAAACCCAATGTACAGAGCAGACGTGCAACAGGCCTCTGATGACAGCAGGTCTGACTCTGATGCACACAAACCTCGCGATCCTCAACACGTCAAACAACTTCACGGTAACACGTGTCAACTTGTTTTGATTCTCCCCATTCTCTATTATAATAATGATTTTGGTAAAACCTGTATAATAATCTGTAATAACCATTCTGTCTAAATCCCACAGTACATGTATATGGGTAACATTTATTTGCACTAATACTGGGTGTTATATAATGAATTATTATAGTACACTTTTTTCTCTTTCCTTCATATTGCTGAGCCTACATATACATTATTAAGCTAACAAGCTTGCGCGTTTCTGATGTATTTTAGTCTGGAAATTGCAGATTATAGGTGGGTGCTTTTAGCTTTTTCAGTCATGTTGTTTAGTCCACTGTTCTATTACTATTCTTGGGTCAGGTTTTAAAAGTTACTTGCACTTTTGTTCTTGATTCAGAAATACTGTTTCAATTAATATTAGTGTTTGTATCTTTATAGCTGATATAACCACTTTTTGCATAACGACTGCCCAGTTTCATTGGCAGCTGAAAGACCTGATACACAGAACCTTCCAGTTCTAATTGGTTGTTCAAAACTATCTTGTGAATTTGTATTGTGTTTTTATCAGGATTGTGGATTATTATGCAACATGTTACTTTATTGATTGTTTTGATTAACAACAGCTAATATTTACTATGAAGTCAATTGATCATGTTTATTAATTGTCTATTATTTAATAATTATGTTTTTGAAATAATGTATTACTGTTTTCTGGTCCTTTATTTTCTGGTTAATTATTTGATTATTGAGCCTGTACAATACATATCTGTTTTTGTACGAAAAGTAAAAAAAATGAAAGGCTGTTTTTCAGTGAATCGAAGTTGCTGCCTCCCTACTTTCTACCTGGCTGTTTTGGTGCTTGTTCTGTTCTTTACTGGAGGGATCACCTATGGAGTCATCACAGGGGTCTATCACAACAACCAAGGCATGCAAAAGGTGAGGTCAACATCTTCGTCAATGCTTAACCCTAAACAGTACACCTGGGGTCCGCGCGGACCCCAGCACTATATATTCTGTAATATTTTTTTTTGTTTCTAAAGATTTTTTTCTGAAATTTTAAGTAATTGTTACCCACAAAGTTGTCTCTCAATACAGTGCAGAAAACTCCGTTTCTACCATTTATAAAAAAATTATATCTGATTTTCTTTTGGGGTCCGCGCGGACCCCAGCCGGCTTTCGATCATAATGGATACACTGGCGTTCTTATACATTACCTTATTTCCGTTTTTATATGTTTTTATGCACTCATCGTATGTCTACCAAGTTTTCAGAGAATAGTGTAGTAATAGAATTAAATTTTAATAACTTTGGTGTAATTATGACGTCATATGACGTCAGAGCTAATAATATAGTCCGCCATATTGGATTTTGACCAATGACGTCATCAAATTAGCATATTCTATGCATATTAAACTTATATTTAATTATGTAAGATGTTATTAATGTTGGAAAAGAAGTGTAATTTAATATAAAACTCAGAAAATTTTTATGTTTAAACCAAAATTACTTCTATTTTCAAAAAAATAGCCCGTTGCCATGGCAACACAAAAAAAACATCAACTTACTAGTATTAAACTAATATGAACTTTTTTCCAGAGACATTTTAGGAAAGGTCTCCAAATTTGATACTTCTAGCGCAAGCCGTTTAGCCGCTATCTGAGATCAAAGTTGGGCCTCAAAAGCCCCTTCAGTCTGAAATGGGTTTAAAAATCGGGTATTTCTTCTTGTCTTCTTTTCTTCACCAAAAAATAGAAAAAGTTAAAAATGTATGATTTTTGTATGTAATGTGGACACAGAGGTTCCCACATCAGTTTGCAAAACAATTGAGCTGGTAGCATGTTGATAATTTCTAAAAATTAGCATAAAACTGTTCTGGGGTCCGCGCGGACCCCAGGTGTACAGATTAATCAGTCCGGGAAGGTGTACTGTTGAGGGTTAAAGTTGCATATTGTTAAGTTAAAACTTTTGTTCCAACAAAAGGGATTGATCTCAACATGGAGGTTTTAGTGGACCTCCTTTTTCTCACCTACTAGATGCTTTCGACCAGTCACTCTGGTCTTCTTTAAATTCACGAGTTGCACATTCCCAGGATCCTTTGCGCACAGGGTAGGGAAAGGTCGCGGTAAACCACGTGACTCATCCTCGGCTCTGGTCGGAAGAAGGTGCCCTAAGCTATCTGGCCGATAATAGGCTGGGAGCATTCAATTTCAAAAGTCTGTCTTTTTGTCACATTTTCACGTAGTATGTTGAATCAACACTATCCTATCCCATACCGATAGTCATGGAGCAAAAATTCGATGCCGCTTTGCCGTACGAACGCCGTGAAAAACTACGTGCCTCCCGCCGCCGACAGTGGTGTCAGCCATTTTTTAAATTTCCGAGCGCTCGCGAACACTTCCGACTTCTTCCGACCAGAGCCGAGGATGAGTCACGTGGTTTACCGCGACCTTTCCCTACCCTGTGCGCAAAGGATCCTGGGAATGTGCAACTCGTGAATAGTAGATCATATTAGTATATATAGTATGTAAGTGTCATTGCTGTATTCTTTTCCCTGTTTACCCATGACCTGTACTTAGCTTGTTAGAGCACAAACGTACAATAAAGGTCTTTCATCATTTTCAAAAGACTTACCCAGTTAGACTAGTCACGTGGTTTCTCTAGATATGACGTCAACACTGGGTCAAGGGTATCCTACATTGGGGAAAGGTAGAGTTCACTCACGGCCGTGTTCAGTCAGTTCAGAAGTTTCACAACACATCTACACCGAGTCTCCTGGACATTGTAACAATACTGGACAGCAAATGAACAAAAAAGCACATCACCCCTCACTCAACCGCGACGGGGGCCGGCATGGTTTACCAGATACCTTTGACCTATTGGTGACGACACACTTCAGAGTCGCGCTTAGTGTCCGGAATCCTGACCCTACCAGTAAAACATTTCTTCTTTTTTTATTCCAGGCTATCCAAGACAGCAACAACCTGAGTTCATTGAATTCAGCAGAACCGATAAGCACGACTATAGCTACCACCAGCAGCACTGATGTTACCAACACACCCAGCCTTGGGGGTATCAATAGTACCACCCCACCCAGCCTTGGGGGTGTCAATGGTATCAACAAGCCCATCTACAGTAAGACAGGGACTCAGAACCTTTAGATTCTAAGTGAACCAATTGCAACAACTCTACCAAGAAAACACCAAGGCCACACCGATTTAATTTTATGGATGACATCCGCGCGCGCATTGATTTTCACCTGTTCTGAAAAAAAAAAGATCACGTCCTCCGAGGCTTTCGCCTGGCTCCAGGCCCGGGTATACTATAGTCCATCGTAGTTAGCAACAATACGGAGCCGGTGGTAACTCTGGAGGATGGCACCCAGGCTACCGAAGCTCCACGACTCAAGAACTCAGTACACAAGTACTGTGCCGACTCATAAATTCAGCAAAAAGCCAGCATGCGCCAGCTTGTCGTGTACGTCGCTATGTAGTGCCACAAATTCACAATACCAGCTTCGTATTCCTATGGTTTAATTAGTAGCATTTTTATTTTTGGCCGGAATTTTTTTTATTCGACCGCGCGCAGTAGTTTGGGGGTCTTCAGAGGATGTCATCCATAAAATTAAATCCTTGGGGCCTAAGTATGAAATTGCAGGTTGATTTGTACTATATAAGGATGAAAAGTTTTGTGGGTGCATCAACTGGGATTTAAATAATACTGTTTACTTTACGATAACCTTACACTCATAGAGTTTATTGAACTGTTCCTGTACAATCAATGGCGTAATCACTGGAAGATATGGAAGTAGATGCACAGGATAGAAAACTAGCTGGAGGAGCGCAACATTGTTGTTGGATGTGGTAAGGTCTAAACAAAGGTGACACAATCAAGGATTTTGCAATTACTCTCTTCTACCCCCCCCCCCCAAAAAATGGAAAAAAAGACCACAGCTCCTATTCAGTAAATTTGCAATCTCCTTTTCACTAATCTCCATTGGAAGACCTTTTACTGGTGAAAAAAAAAACTCTAGTTTCCCATACGTCCTTCTTCCCATTGTGTACATTTTATCATTGCAGTAATGTTGTATCAATCAAACCATTCGCCATACACATATATCAGTTCATATATCAATATCACGAAGAAAGGAAGTTTTATATCGTCCTTTTTACTAATTTTCAACTAACCGGTAAAATGATAGTACTAACCCTTGTCCTGCTGCTCCAAACATATATTAGGCATATTCGTGTCCCTGATGTTGTGCCCAACATATGCTTGGAAGGGTCGACTTTCTTCTCATGTATGTGATGCTGATGTTTTCAGGACGTCTTAGTAACACTGCAGACCTAGTAAAATTAAGTCAGTAACCCCTATTCCAAGAAGGTCTGAACTCCCCAGCACAGGGAGCATATCATGCACAGAATTGCCAGCAGGACAAGGATGAGGTTGATTGTCTGCCATGGAATTTTGTTTTCCCTTTTTGCCCTGTTGCTTCACATTTTTTTCGAAAAAAAAAAATCGTAGCACCAACAATTATTTGATGTGGCCTAAAGATAAGATGCTATCCCCAATACAGAAACGGTCAGGCAGTGCGAGAAGAAAAATATCAGGCTGTCATGTGCAGTGGACCAGTTGATCGTAATCCAAGACGCCTTCTACGGCCGGAGAGGAAAACGTCCTAGCTGTGGATGTATTTTCAGGTCTTGTAACAAGTGTCAAAAAGGCTACAGGTAGGAGCACCATATGTGACACTACGCAAAAAGTTTACCAATGGTAGTAAATGCCTGCAGTAAACTAATTTTGGTAAAACAGAGTAAAAAATAGTTGTAGGATTGGCAACACTTTTTAAGGCTGTAAACAAAGTAAATATCACCCGACTTGGGGCCCGAAATGGCATTTACAACCATATCCAACTTTTCGTGCAGTGTCATCTAGAGCTGTGTACCTAAACAAATTTTAGGTACAGGTACAGGTACAGGTACACAGGTTTAGGTACAGGTCCGGACCTGAACCTGTACCTGAACAATTCGACCAATTTATATGCTCTTCTGAACTCCTTCAATAACAAAAAAACATAAATAAACTTGATAGTTAAGGTTTATTCTTTGTTTATGGCGAATGCTCAGATAAAATATAGGCAAAACTAAGTTGTTTTTGTTTTCATGAACACACTGTCCTTACACAGGGACCCATTGTGGACCAGCTATTTACACATTTGAGGTCACAAATAGGCATAAAATTAGTGTGAAATTGTTTAGGTACAGTACCGGTACTGAGGGATTAGGTATTTTGGACCTGTACCTAATCAATTTTTCCGGTACAGTATCGGTACTGCGTACCGGTACACAGCTCTAGTGTCATCTGATCCTACCCCATGCAGTTAAAGGTAGACACTCTACATGGTTCATAGCAACTACAATCCAAGTATCAACTTATATTCTTTTGTTACAACTGTCTACAGTTTGTGCCTCCAACGATTTTTATGGTCTACATTGTACGGCATGTCGGATTTACCGAAAATAAATGAAAGTAATGTTTGGTAACGTTCACTTTTAAACTGTACGAGACGTTGCAATGGTAGTAAACAAAATTCAAGTCATTGCTAAGTCCGAAATCGCTTTGACTTGAATTTTATTCAATACCATTATAATGTCTGATACTGTTTGATACTGTTTACAAAGTAACTATAATCCGACTTTATTGGTATCTATTACCAATTGTAATACCAACTTTTAGCGCAATGCTTGTATTTTGTAACAGGCCACATTCTACTGTCAGAAAAAGATGTCAGGGGTTACAACGGTGTGACCTGCGAGTAGTACGACATAACTTTGGTGACCCCTGTCCGCGCAAAAAGAAGTACCTGGAGGCAACGTACCACTGTGAAGGTGGGAGAAAGTATCTGTTTCTTTTAGGTAAAAATGTAGCCTTGTGAGTCTTAAGCATTTTAGGTACAGGTACAGTCGTAAAGGTACAGGACCTGTACCAATGCATATAAGAAGTTGGATTTACTAATGCTACAGAGAGACAGCTCAGGAACAGCAACATGTTCACTTTGCAATGGTTGGAGAACAAGTTACTTTTGTAAAATTAGTTTTTACAGTGTTAAATCCTGTAATTTTTACAAAAGTAAACATTAAACGATTTCTCGTGCAGTGTTTGGCTAATTATCAGTATCAGTTATATCAGTGTTACTTCTTATCTTTTCTGAGGACTTACAAACCTTCATATCGAAACGACACTACATACAAGATTTCCATGGTCAATTTTGATAATCATTTGATATTTCAGCGTAGAGACTCTGATTAGCATGTGTGTTGTTAATAACAAAATAATATGTGAATGCTGTACAGGAAAAGCAGTAGAAGATGAAATACACTTTATTTGCCTTTACCTTTAGTACAGCACCGAAAGAGATAAATTATTTGAACTAGACATCAGAATGTCTCCCAGCTTTATGTATTTTCAGACTACAAAAAAATCATTTCTATCTAATACCTTCAAATGCATACATCTCAAATCGTATTACTTATATTCCACTACACAGCAAAGAAATCAACCCATATAAACTACTTGTATATTAGAAGTAGCATTTATTTAGTTGAGTATTCTCAATTGACTTTATGCTAATTTTATAGTTTACTATAATTTCCAATGGACATGTAATTAGCCCTGGGGCATCGATTTGCAATAAAAATGTTGTCGTTAATTTCTTACGGTGTTTCCCCATTCCAAGTCTAAAAAGTGGTGCCAATTCTACAACTAAGTTTTTTTTACTCTGCTTTACCAACAGAAAAGAAAGAGAGCATCAGCTTTGGTGGGCAAGGAAAGGGTTCCTATCAGTTTCAGAATGTTGCGGGACTGGCCGTGTCCTCCACTAACGAGATATTTGTAGCTGACCAAAACAACAGAAGAATCAAGATCTTCAGCATGAAGGGAGTTTTCCTTCGCAGTTTCCCCATAAGAAACATGGTACCACAGGCCATATCCACAGGCCGCAACGATACCCTGTGGGTCGCCTTGTATGGAGGTCAGAAAAATTCCCTTTACAAAAATGCTATTCATCAGTACAGCAAAGATGGCCATTCCCTTGCCAAGTTCAGTTGCAACAGAGGACTTAGAATCCGTGGGATTGCCTGGCACCCGCTTTCTGACAAAATCATAGTACTCTTTCTGACAGCATCAATGCGCTCAGGGTCAATGTGGTTTAGTCCTACTTACACACAGGCGACCCCAACATGTAACACAACCAGGTTTGGATCGACAAGAGGACAGTTTTGGTTTGTCGCCGTGGACAAGAAAGGGGACATCTTCATCGTAGATACGAGAGGCTCTCGTGTTCTTAAGTATGACAAGAATGGAGTCTACGTGTCCAGTTTTGCCAGTAAAGGTAGTGGAGCAGGGAAACTTTATAATCCCTCAGGAATCTGTGTGGACAGTTTGGGGCGTGTGGTCGTGGCTGATACTTTGAACAACCGGTTGGAGATGTTTACAGCTGAGGGAGAACACATCCGCACTGCCGCGTATATACATAAACCCAAGCATGTTGCTATAGGTGGGGAGGGGCAGCTTGTGGTGTCAAATCAGGATCACTTTGTAACCATCTTGCTAAAATATCAGAAACACACCATTTTGTTGGTTACGAAGCATTTTCAAGGTAAAAATTACATAAGAGGGGAAGATAAGGTAGCAAAATCAAGTTTTTGCGCTATAGAGATTTCTATAAAGTGAGAAGGTGAGATGCTTCAAAGGTTATAGTAGGGTGCACAAGCAGGCTGCAAAACTTCCACACTACTGAGAGATGCCTTCAGTATTGGAGGTCTTGATTTGACGCTGTCAGTGCAAATTAGATGTTTATTTGCCTGATTTGTATTTGTTCTTGAATGAAAACTTGACACAGGATAGGACGTTCACATATGAAATATTATGTAATAGCCATAGTCATTTCTCTTACCAGTCTTACAAACAAGTGAATCATGTTTTCTTCCCCTCCCAAAATACCTCTCAGTATATAACACCACAGACTATCTATCGGCCGTGACTAAATAGAGCCAGTGAATACAAACAGAACAAACAACGATCAGGTTAAGTTTGATGTTTAATTCGATGTACATGTACATAACATTAGCACATTTGTTCAAGCAGCAAGCTGATAATGTTTTGGATTGTATGGAGTATTTTCATGGTAGGTCTATTCTCCTTCTGTACAGGAGCATTCATAGTCTGTTATTGATTGCATTTAGCATTTGGTCCCTTCTGGAAATTATCACTTAGTATTTGGCATTTCGCCCCTATGACAATTATTACTTAGAATAGTTCCACGATGTGAATGAATACATAAAACAAAAGAAACAGCATCAGGCGAAGATTGAATCTGATATATTGACAGCGGCGTAAACATTTGACGTGTTATCGATGTGTCAAATATAACGTATTTTAAAAACATGGATTACAAATATTAAGAATAGGTTCAATTTCGATCCGTTTCAGGACATGTAATTATCTATTGTCTGTGAAGGATGAATACGAGGAAGTGATGACTAACTAGTGGTTTTATGTGATAATAATAATGATGATAATGGTATACTTTCCTACATGATCTACAAAAATGATTTCTACTTATTTCTTGTTGTATAAGCTAGTAAGTTGTGAAGGCACTTTTAGAATCAGCGAATGAAACTTTAAAAAGGTGTGAATCGCAAAATGTTAGTTCCCTGACGAAGTCTTTCTTTCATATCTGCAAATGTTATTGTAAAAGCATGCACATATGATTACCGTGTAGATTAAAAATGGTCACAACAAAATATTACTTCTTAATGTCCATCATATCTGCATTCTTCATTGTTCCAAGTGAATCAACGAGGTTAAAAGTCAGTACATGTATATCTGTAATTTGTGGTGATTATTTACCTCCACTGTTCTAAAAACTGCAGCTGTATACTTAGAACTTGAACATCGTCTACCTCGTGGGATTGGAGGATGCCACACACGCTACCACACACACACGCTCACTTTTTATCTAAAGGACCAAGATTTTTCTTTAACATGTAGACTGATCTGTATCACCAGCGGGACTGGAATCCTATTTCTACCTGAAGCTCTTGAATTTTCCTTTGAAATCCTTTCAAAATCGTAAGAAATGCCATTTTAGGGGGTCAATTTTCACAATTTTCCGGGGGAGCCCTCTTGGCGCTCGCTAGTCCACAGTAGGAAGAACCCCCATCTCCCCGCTAAAATCCTGGATTCGGGCATGCACTAAACTTAAATCTGGCAAATCGTTAATTTGGAATTACAGTACGTCTGTGGTCTCTGTTGACACCAGATCTTCAGTCCGAGTCATCAGCCTCAGCACCTCCTCCTTGTGCTTGGGTACTGGAGTCGTCTGTGAAGTAGATGTTCAAATGATGAGAAAAATTACAAAGGAAAGCATTGAATCATGGCATGTTGTTCTGCTACATTGAAAGTTCATATATGCATCCCCAATTTTTATCTATCAGAGAAGAGTTATATCTTTTGAAGTGTTAGAGTTTCTTACCAGAGATGCCACAAGCGTGCAGGAACTTCTGATGAGACTCTTCCCAGTACTTGGAGGCCAGCAGTTTCTGCTTGAAAGCGCGAGCTTCCGCAAACTCTGACTTGGCATTTGTGATGAAATCCTCGATGCAGTCTGCCCACTTCTCTGCATCAGCGTCAGTTGCGGTGTCTCCCTTCATCTTGACGATACAGTGGCGGAACGTGGGTTGCTCCAGCCTGTCTGATAGCTCCTTTATCATCTCTGCGAGCCCCGACTGCTCTGAGATGAGGACGGGAACTCCTGCCGCGATGGCCTCCAGGCCGACCAGTCCGAACGGCTCGGCCCGGGACGGCATCAGGACCAGGTGACAGTTCTCCATGTCTCGGCGGATCTCCTCCTGAGTGCCGTACGGGAGAAGTGTGGACTTGACCCGTCCGGATCTCAGCTTCTCATCCAGGATTCTCTTGCTCTCCTTGAAGTCGTTCTCGTCGATGCCGCGGACTCTCAGCCTCAATGTGAACTGACTGTCAAGCCGCTGTGCCACCTTGTCTACGGATCCTGCGGTCAGGTCGTGACCTTTCAGCCTCTCCACATTCCGCACCCTGCCGATGGACAGAATCACTCTCTCTGGCTTTTGGACGTTATCTTCTTCACCAAAGATCACATTTGCATCACTGAACACCTTTGAAGGCTCGGGTAGGAAAATGTGGTGATCCACGTGACGCTGACGGAGGAACCTGGCGTAGTGGCGGTAAATGCGCGCTCCTACCGAGAAGACGACATCAGCCTTACCAATGTCGTTCTGGATGCTGGCTTCCTTCTTCCCCACACCCAGGGCCTTCTCGTCACTCTTGTAGGGCTCCGTCTCCTCTGGCATGACGTGACCGAACATGGCGAGTTTGGCTTGTTGGAATCGCTCTTCTTTGATCCTTCTCGCTGCCGTGCTTGTGATGGGGACATGGCCCACGATGCAGCTGATAGTTGCCGGAAGATGAGGAAAGTGGTGTTTGTGGTACACGGTCAGCCACTCTAAGGACGGCTTCATGCTGCTGCTGGGATCAAGAACAGGTTTAAGGAGTATCACTCTGTCTCGTTCTGCATCCTTCTCATCTTCTTGACTTGCCGTCAACACGGTGACGTAGACCAGGGCGCCGGCGGCGGTGAGCTTACGCGCGATGTCTAGGTTGATGGTGGAGATTCCGCCCTTCGACGTGCAGTATTCGTCACTAACCAAAAGAACTACAACTGTGGCTGGAATAGAATATCATTGACGTTGGACACGAATATTTTCGCATGCTCTACCAACAAACATCATTTCTATAGGGAACAGAGTTGGAAAGCCAAAAATTACCAACTATGTACGAGACAGTATAAAACGATCACAGGTTGAGAAACCAAATATGTGAGATGCTGTCAAAATCTATGACAACTCTGACCATTATCGATGCTGACACTTTCTGTTTGACACAAGGCATTTTTATAGATAAACACCAACTTTAAAAGTTCATTAATTGTATTTCCATTGAGTCAGACTCCTTCTAACTGATTAGAATGAAATGATTTTATTTCTCCAAATTCCATGACAATTTAGCTTGGATGCCACCCTGGCTATGAAAATTTGCCCAAAATCACAAATCCCTCTTTGTCTGGTTTTCTTCTTTTCGATATACGTGATTGACTTATTTCGATTTACGTGATTCAAATTTCAAAAGACAAGTGAAATCAGTTTCTCTAGCTTACCTGATGTTGGTCCCAGTGGGTTTATAGTGACTGGTAAGCGATGTCCTGCAGCTCTTTGGACCGCACCTGGTGCACGCTTGCCTGTATCAAAAGGAGTAGTTTGCTAACATTTAGCAATGACCCTTACTTTACCTGCATTCCTGGGGTCGTTCTGAAGCCAACAGAGCATATCTTCCCATTGGATATAACATTAGAGTTTAGTACTGTACTGAATGTTGATTGATTGATTGATTGATGACTGGTTTATTCATTCATTCATTCATGCATACAATCACATGGTACGTTTGGTACATTTGGAGGTCATGGCAGCCCAGATGTAATGTAATGTGTATGAGAAATGCTTCTGCTTTTTTACCTGAGTCCACAGCTGACTTCTGTGTGTCTGCATCAGCGCCGTCTGACTCTGAAACGCCGCTGTCACTGTCATCTGCCGCGGCTGCACCTTCCACGGCTTGGGTGCCTGCGGTATGAATGCAGTAGACCGCTACGAATTACATCAAAGATGAACATTGCGATAGAGAAGTGGTGAGTCAGACACTGGTGACACAAACTACCCTGAAAGGTAATTCGCAAATATGTCTACACAATCCATGGACTATCAAGCAAATTGTAATCTGCAAGCAAATCCTTGGAATAGATCCGTTATTAGCCATGTTAGTAGTCGTTCGGTTTGGAGCACTTTTACTGTGTTTGATGTAATCTCATACTAGCCTCTACCCACCGCACCACCAGTCTTCGGCAAGAGACTGGCTCTTTCCAGCCGGTCCCTGAAGCCTTGTAAGGGTTAGTAATTATGTTTACCGAAGGAAAACATTTTGTTTTTCCTCAGTTTCTTCCTCTTCTTCTTCTACAGTGACCTCTGACCTGACCAATGATATGATTTGTTGACGTCTGGTGTTGGGTTACATACTGTTGCAATTTCATGGTCTGCTCTGCTCCTGTCACCAAATACTAGTAGTACATGTGAATGTGATTGAGTAAGAATTAATAGAGCAGACCACATTATGCATTTGCTTTGCAAATGTTACTTCTCTAGTGTCAAAAATAATTTTGTTGCTTAATGTACTGAATGAGCACCAGAAAATGTTACGGATGGTTTTCTGTGACCTTTGGTTGGGATGAATCTGCAGACCGTCTGGTCAGCGTTCTTGAGGTGCAGGTCGAACCGAAGTTTGGATCTCTGCGCTCTGCTGTACTTCCTGGCGTCCACCTCCACACGGAACTTCTTGTAGTACTGTCCAGTCTCAAACGTGTCGTCAAACTCCAGACCCTGCCATAGTGATAGATGTTCACAGATTTAGTACCACATTGCTGTGTGCACGTTACGTAAGTCTGTGCTTTTGTTTTTTCTTTTACATTGTTCTCCACTATAGACTAAACTTTTTTCGATTTGTCTATTATTCTTCTATATTAAATTGATTGTATCTGATTGCAAAGCGTGGTGGAACTTGAAGAGGCAACGAATCTTTTCAAGTTGTACAAACACTACGTCTGGAGGAGAGGCATGACCGATTCCAAGGTAAGTTTAGAAGCAGCTTTGTAGTTATGCGAGTTTAGATTTAGTGTTATGTATGTGTCTGTTTTGTCATGATATATATATATATATATATATATATACCTATATGTACACTGCTTTTATGAGTTCATGATGTTTGGAGGTCTAAAATAATGGATTTCCAATAAAACATAAAGCAGTATTATCGCAAAGCAAAGATGTAAAGAGAAACCTGCTCTATACCTCCTCCGGCCGTGTCTCCACGTCGATGTCTGCTCCGTTTTTGGCCGTCACCTCCAGGCGATACTCCTCCCCCAGCTTCAGTACACACTGTTCAGGGTCCCAGCTGGAGTAGCCGACCTTACCCTCCAAGTTCTGGAGATGCTTTACCCATGAAATCAACAAAGAACAATAATATAATAATTGTTTTTTGCTGTCATTTCCAATACATATAAGTTATGAGCAGTTTGGTTGGCTATAGGGTTCAGGCTGCTGACATGTTTTATGTCTTGGTTACTTCGACATATATGCATATCCGCTTCTTTTCTATTGATCTACAGACTAGGTCGAGAGGTAAAAGCATATATATAGCAAAGATATTTTTGTCATATATTTGTGTACCATGCTCATGAGCTGTTCATGACAATGTTGTTGCCTCATAATAATATCACCCTACGTATGAATTTCACCATACGTTATTGATACATTTTTAAGAAAAAAAAGGATATTTTGGGAGGCAATAATGGTGATGAACTTTACTTCCTCTTCAATAAAATCTTACGAGAACCAAAAGGCACCTTACCTCTACCATCAGCACAACATTGGAGATGATGTAGACGTGAAGCTGGAAGACGGAGGGGAAGTTTGGCGGCGCGAACACCACACACAGGCCGTTCCTGCTCAGGTCCATCCCCAGGACTTTTCTCACCACAGGACCAAACTTGCTTCCCTTCCGGAACCTTGTGGTGAGGTGGGTCGGGCTGATGTCAGACACCGTCAGGAGTTCTTCTGTCTCTCCCACAACGTGTACGATCGCGATGTCTACTGGATCCAATGCTGAATAAAAAATGTACATGATAATTTTACGTTTTGTGCAGTTTACACCTTCTTGAGAACTGGCATGTCCTATTGTTTGTCATCACCTAAACGGAAATGAATAGAAACATTCTTTTAAAGGCATCCAGTGCAGTTTTTATGGCTTCGAAACCAGATTTTTCAATGCCAATATTCTAGTCATTTATCGACATACTGAGTTGAAACTACACGAACCCAATGTACATCCTCATGGAGCAAAAATTTACCAAAATTCTGACGGAAAATGGTTGGCTACTGGAAGGGCCCTGGGCTAATTTTAGGATGCCATCCAGAAAATAATATAAAGGACTCATCTTCGGGCTTGTTTCTACAGTTTCAAATGCCAAGTATGAAATGCTGATTTAAATGTGCTAATGTAAATTAATTAATATGTGTCAATATCAAGAAGATTTTCTTATTTAGAATATTTCCAGCTTTGCTGTCCTGAAGTCGCATTGGATGCTTTTAAGCAGAAAGTTTTATAATTTTAGGAATAAGTGTCGAAAAAGTGAATACTGTTGTAGGTATACCTGTGTTTTGATCCAAATGTAGCACGTGCGGCAGTTGAATGTCCACCGACCCCTCCACGTCCTCACACTGGATGGAGAAGAGCGGACCCACCGCCATCCATCCCTGATCCTCCTGCCAGTTGTCGGACCAGTTCGCACTCCTGTAGGTCACGTGCAGCGGGTAGGGCGTCACCACGCCCAGGCCGGTCCGTCTGCACTGGTACTTCCCTTCACCTGGCAGGCGGAGGGACCTGAGGAGATAAACACAGGTATCGTAGTCAGGTGTTCAATCTTACAGGTGGGACTGTCTAGGATTTTCTCGACAGTGATTTGAAGATTGAACAAAATCCACGAAGAAGCCCATGACCACATGTGTCTGCGTTAAAAACAACCACGTGGATTTCGTCTATCGCTGCAATAAGTTCCTTAGTTTGAAATTAGTGTATAGCGTAGTATTGCATTCTATTACTTATCACTGCTACCGTCTTTGTCATTGCTTGACTTGCAAAATCATACGGATTTCATGTTAGAATGCCTTCTTACCAATCTGTGTCCCCCGGTCATCTCAGGACTGACCTCTTGTAACGGCAAGGCATCACGGTATTTCTGGATACATGGGATATTGGTATGGGATATTGGTATGGGATAAAGCATATCGAACATGAACATGTATGTGGGTAGCCAATGTATTAAACAAAGGTTGGACAAATTCTATTCTTTTCAAGATTATACTCTATCTCGAGAGCCAGCAATGAAAATGACTGTGACATTTTTCTCTCCTGACCGTGACGTCATCATTGTTTAAACTTTTCTCTGACATTAACATGCCTTAATTACGAAAATAAGTGAATGTTTTATAATGTAATTTTATAATATCGCTTCACAGCCTCTATATTTATCACAGTCATCAATATGCAATGCAAGATGTAGTCTAGTAATCAGAAATTCTCCTCAACTGTAATCTTCCATGACAGAGTATTCGTCAAGTAGAGTTTAAATAAAACATGGGTTTTTTATTCACCTTGTAAACCCCCTGTACGTCTTTAGCCAGGTCCGGTTCGCCGATGTTCTGCAGTGTTTCCTCCAGCTGCGGCAGGTAGTGGAGCGGTCCGTGGGGGGTCTTGGTACGCCAGGCCTTCAGCATCTGGAACGTCCTCTGGGTGTCACTGGATCCGTTAATGTTGTCCAACGCGGACCTGTTCAGTCCCAGCTCCTGTCCCAGCCGACCCCACAGCTGCCACTCCTCACCAACAGCCCTGCTGACCTGGTACAGCCGGTTCTCTACACATATGGTGTTAATATAATACATACGCGAATGAACTCTCCTTGGCCCTGGCATCCTGCCATGATGTTTTCACCAATGGTTACTAGTTACTAGTAACTTGTGGTAGGAACACTCTAACATCATATTCTGTCCATAAAATAAGGAATATTATGACATATCATTACTACGTCAAACTATTCCTTAGCACTTCTAAAACATGCATAGGTTAGAATGCCAATCTAGGAATTTAGTAAAGATTTGTTTCTATTTACATGGTCAAACCAAGGAGCCTTTTTCTCAAAAAGCTCCTACATTAAGCCAACATTTTAGTTATGATGTTTTGAATGTTTTTTTTTTTTTGTTTTTTTTTTCATGGGTAAGATATGTTTAGGATCTAAGGTAAAGACACAACTTGAGGAATCATCTTTGATGAAAACATTGAAGGGTAGAAGTAAGAGCTTCGCCGTTTGGAACGTACACGGTTTAGGCTCGAAATTAGAAGATGTAGAGTTTTTAGATGAAATATGTAAATTCGACTTCTTTTCGTTAATTGAAACATGGAGCAATGAAAACACAAAGATCAACATCGCTAATTATAGCTACTTCCATCTGCACAGAACAAAAAGTAAGCGAGCAAAACGCTCTTCGGGGGGAATAATATTTTTCTATAAAAACGAATTCAAAAATCACATCAAGAAAGTACCTTCCAAATCGACAGACATCCTCTGGGTGCAAGTAGATCGTACCCTGTTAGGACTTCCAAAAGATTTATTTATTTGTTCAGTTTATCTAAGTCCCAGCGCTTCTACTACCCATAAAAATGCTGAGAATCATGTATTAGAAATTCTAGAAGAGGAAATTTGTAAATACAGTTCAGAGGGATTCATACTTCTAGGGGGAGATCTGAATTCGCGCACTGGTAATCTTCGTGATTATGTAGATGATGAAATTAACAAGGACGGCTTTACCGACATTCCCTCAAACTATGTTAGCAACAGACAATTTGTTGACAAAGCGCCCCCCAACAAGTTCGGCCGTCTGCTAACCGATCTGTGTATTCAGGCCGACCTCAGAATACTGAACGGCAGGGTCCCTGGTGACTTGCAAGGTAAATTTACTTGTCACCAACCTAACGGTAGCAGCACCGTCGATTATATTATTTGCAGCCAATCTTTCCTCCAAAATGTTTTATTGTTTCAGGTCCATCCCTTAACTCCCTTTTCTGACCACTGTGTGTTATCAGTTTTCCTTCACTCTAACTCAGTACATCAACCAAACAAACATAAACACGATGCAAGGTCAAAAACAAAACCCCTCCCAAAACGTTTTCACTGGAATGAAAAATCTTCCCAAAAGTTCGTCCGTACACTCTCCCAATCTCTTTTTTCTAAAAGACTGAACTCCCTTTCATCCAAAAACACTACTTCGACGGTAGAAATAGAGACATTTGTCTCGGAGTTCAGTTCAATTTTGAGAGACGCCGGTTCCAAGTCCTTGTCAATTAGGAGAACAAATAACAAGAAACGCCCTCCACTAAAACAAAAGAAACAATGGTTTGACAAGAGTTGCGTCGAACTAAAACGAGAAGTAAAGAACTTGGCATACTTACTTGTAAAGCAACCGTCAAACTCAGACATAAGAGGAAGATATTTTAAAAGAAAGAAGGAGTATAGAAAACTAGTAAAAAAGAAGAAAAGGGACTTCCACAAACACATAATGTCCCAATTGTCTTCACTTAAAGACAGAAATCCGGCTGCATTTTGGAATTTGGTAAACAAATTAAAACCATCAAAAGCTCAAGAAGTCAATCAAATCTCAGAAGAAGACTGGCTTAAACACTTCAACAACTTAGACAAACTTTCCAGTAACACTACAAACGACCACATCACAGATTGTAACAATCTTAATTTATCGTCAGTCCCTGAAAATCCTTCTGTTTTAGACTCACCAATAACTCCAGAAGAACTGAATACTGCAATCTCTAAACTCAAGAACAATAAATCAAGTGGTGACGACATGATTCTGAATGAAATGTTAAAGTCAGGCAAATTAGTGCTTCAAACTCCACTCCTTCAATTATTTAATACATGTCTGCAAAACGGGTACTTTCCTGAGGAATGGTCCATCAGCCACATTGTTCCAATCCACAAGTCTGGTGATCCTTCTCTTCCAGACAACTACCGGGGTATATCTATAATTAGCTGCCTAGGAAAATTATTTTCGTCAATATTAAACTGTCGCTTAGTTAGCTATGCTGAAAATAATAATCTCTTCAAACCTCACCAGGCAGGTTTTAGGAAAAATTTTAGAACTACAGATAATCTATTCGTATTAAGCACCCTAGTTAGCAAATATATTAGTAAAAATTCTCGTCTCTTTGCCTGCTTCGTAGATTTTAGTAAGGCGTTCGACTCTATCTGGCGAAATGGACTGCTAGTTAAATTAAACAAATTAGGTATAAAGGGAAAATTCCTGAAAACAATCAAAGACATGTACTCAAAAACCACTAATCGAGTTAAAAGCAGTAACGGTCTGACTGAACCTTTTGCTACAAACTGCGGTGTCAAACAGGGCTGCAATTTAAGCCCGACTTTATTCAATTTATTTTTAAGTGATCTTCCATCTGTATTCGATAACGATAGCTGTAATCCACCAACCATGTTTAGTAAGCGAATACCTTGTTTGTTGTATGCAGATGATTTAGTCCTTTTTCCGAATCCAAGCAAGGACTACAATCATCCTTAAATATATTAGAAGAATATTGTAATACCTGGAAGTTAAATGTTAACCTCAAGAAAACAAAGATTATTGTTTTTACCAAGGGGGGTCGTATACCAAAGGATCTATTTTTTGTGTATAAGAGAAATTCTGTTGAAATAGTTACATCATATTGTTATTTAGGTATTGTTGTCAATGCTGCGGGTACTTTCAAAGCGAATAACAAACACCTGTACAGCAGAGGCCTAAAAGCTCTATTTGGGATAAATCAGTCACTAGACAAAGCGGACGCCCCATTATCTGTCAGAAACAAACTTTTTGATACCTGCGTTAAGTCCATAATTCTTTATGGGTCGGAAATCTGGGGGTCTATCAAAAGTTCTAAATCATGTCCTATTGAATCAATCCACCTAAAGTTCTGCAAACAAACTCTACATGTACCCAGATCAGCGAGTGGCCTCGCTGCAAGAGCGGAACTAGGGAGGTTTCCCATTCAGGTGGAAGCCTCCCTAAACGCTATCAAACACTTTATCAGAATTCGCCAGAAAGTACCAGCAGACAGTTTTCTATCAGATGCTCTTTGTTGTCAAATAGAGCTAGACAAAGCTGGTGCCAAATGTTGGGCATCAGGAGTTCGGAGGTCCCTGGAGGAGTGCGGTTTTGGCTATATATGGCATTGTCCCCTGTCACCCAACACAAATACTTCTCTAATTACTAATTCCATTAATCAGCGTTTAAAAGACATCTACCTTCAAACTTTTTCAAAAGAAATTCACAATGATAACAAAGGCGGAACCGCCAAAAACAAGCTGAGGTCCTACAGACTGTTCAAATCCACCTATGCTGAAGAACAGTACCTGAATATTGATAATCTACGGCACAGAACTGCCGTCACAAAACTCCGAATTAGTTGCCACAAATTACACATCGAAACCGGTAGACATAACCGCACTCCCCTAGAACAACGAATATGTCGGTACTGTGATCTAGGAAGAATCGAAGATGAGAAACATTTTGTAACGGATTGTGAACTATACCACAAAGAGAGAGTAGATCTTTATAATCTGATACAATCTATGTTCCCCTTCTTTATACATCTAAGCTGTACAGATAAATTTATATTCCTAATGAGCTTAGACAAACCCTCTGTATTGAAACATATCTGTTCTTACATTTTTGCCATTACTAAGAAACGAGAAGAAACCGAATTTACTTGATTATAGCTAGTGCTACTTGACGATGTATGTATCATTGTATGTAACGTTATCTATATTCCATCCTTTTTGTGACCTGTACTTAACCCAGTGGGTATGTGTGTACAATAAAGGTCTTCATTCAATATAATAAGGCGTTGGAACATAGGCATATGGAAAAAATGGTTTTAAGACTAAAAAATAAAAATCATTAAGTCGATTAAGTTATGTATTCGTCTTTAGGTATCTAGCTTTATCTAGGATCTACATTACTGACTCGTAATTACCAAACTATATGTATATGTATGAAATACTTACCAATGAAATACTTGCCAATGACGTCTGTCAGTATTCTGGTGACAGGAAGTGGCCCTTCCCAGACCCCCCTGGACAGTCTTAACAAGTCATCCGGCACGTGACGAATCACAGCCTCTATAGTGAGTGACTTTGCAGCTTCCCCGATTCTAACACTGTTACTGGAGTACACGGCAGGAAATTCGTCCCAACAGACCTCTAGCTTCTTCACTACCGTCTGAGCCAGGCGACACACCTTCTCCGGCGGCTCTCCCCGGATCCGGATTTCTTCCCTCGTAGCGGAATGGCGGAGCATGATGTCTTCTGAGTTCTCTCCAACATGAACGACAACTGTGTCCTTGGTGAGGAGACGGCGTCTGGTCTGCTCCATGGACAGGAGACGGGAGACCATGGTTTCCGGTAGACCCAGAGGAGGCTCTTGGCTGTACTCTAAAGTAACAGAGATCTCCTCTCCGCCCGATGGCACAACCTCTGGCCAGCATTGCGCCACCTCGTCAGGCTGGGCGGCAGGAAGCTCTGTTGGAAAGATCACCGACCCTGAGTAACACAGACCAAAGTGCTTCATCAGGGGAAGGAGACTGTTGAAGGTGACAATGTTGTCTCCAAGCAGGTTCTTCATGAAACTGTCGCTGGCCCTGCCCGTCCTCGAGAAGGACGCCCTGTCTTCAGCAAACTGCGCTCTGGTATGCTCAGACAGAGACTCAGCTATGCTGTCCAGATATCCCGGTAGGTCATGCCTGAATATCTGCTTGAAGAATGTGAGGATGATGGTTGGGTTCGGGAAAACCAGATCTTCCATGCCCCTGATGTGGTTGTAGAACAGGATCTGTCCGGTCACGTGCAGATAGCTGAGCGCGTTCAGGACGTCTGACTCCTTCATCCCTGCAGCTGCCCCGATGCTCAGACAATCCTTGACTTTAAGGCATGTCCGTTTCGTAGTCTTGATGTTTTCTGACAGTTTCGTCCAAGAAGTCGGCAGCTCTTGGCGGGCAGCAGGGAACAATCGTTCGTCCTTCACCATTTCTGCCATCTTGTCGCACAGAGCTCCGATACCCTGGAACGTCTTGCTGCTGACCGGGATAACCTGTACGTTCAACAGACCTTTGGGTCGTCCGTCTAGTAACTTCTCTAGTGACTCTTTCTTGGCCAAGATGTCGTCCTTAGTGAGACCGTAGAATGGCTCGGGCATGTCTGATCCGCGGTCCACTGAATACAATACCTTCTGACAGAGTTGAATCTCTTCTTTCAGCTTGGTTTGTATTTTACTCTCAGCGCCCTGGATGTCTCTCTGGATGGAGGAACAAGCTGCTTCTATCATCTCCTCGGCCTTGTCTGGCGGAAACATGTCAACTTTGGTTCCTACAACAAGGATAGCCGGGCTGAAGACGTGGGAAGTCACGGATGTTAGCCACGTTCCCACTCGTTCCTGGAACTCTTCTGACTTGTATGCTGGCAGGTCTACGTTGAGGATGTGCAGGGCCTGACGTGTCAGGAAGAACCGGTGCGTGTAGTGGTAGATCTGGTGACCTCCGAAGTCGTACATCGCGTAGTTGACGTTATTCTCGGTGTCGTGGAAACTGATGAGGTCAACACCGATGGTTCTGTCAGTTTCAGTCTCCACGTGACCTTGACCCTTCATCATACAGTTGATCAGACTGGTCTTCCCTGCCTCCGTCTGTCCCAGAAACACACACTTGACTTCCAAAGGTGTTTTAGTATCGCTCATATTCGCCTCGGAGCGGTGCAGCTCCGTTTGTATGAATGCTATACAGGAGACATGCATTAATATTTCATAAACATTCTTGTAATTACCAGATAGCACAAACGTAACCATGTCTTTTCTGCTGTAATCTACAGAACACAGTAAACACTTCAAAATAAACCCTGCTGTTAAGGTTTCATTTTGTTGCTAGTTCTACTGTGTTAGGAGCAATACAAGGACACCAATTGAGACCACTTCTTCTTGTGAAAAGTTCTCATTTTCTCATTAGGCCACACCGACTTAATTTTATGGATGACATCCTCTGAAGACCCCCAAACTAGTGCGCGTGGGCGAATAAAATAAAAATCCGGCTAAAATAAAAATGCTACTAAACCACAGGAATACAAAGCTGGTATTGTGAATTTGCGGCAGTACATAGCGACGTATACTATAAGCCGGCAAATAATGGCTTTTTGCGGAATTTATGAATCAGCACTGTACGTATGTATTGAGTTCTTGAGTCGTGGAGCTTCGGTACCCTGGGTGCCCGGCTACGTATTGTCGCTAACTATCATGGACTACCCAGGCCGAGAGCCAGGCCAGAGCCTCGGATGACGAGATCTTTTTTTTTTTAAAACAGGCGAAAATCAATGTGCGCGCGGCGCGGATGTCATCCATAAAATTAAGTCGGTGTGGCCTTATGTAACAAACTGATATAAATGGAAACTGATAATGCGAGAAACTTTCAGTATAAATCAGCACGTTGGCTGTATATTACTGCTCGTAGCTAGCTGTTCTGTGTTATGGACTATATATTCAAATTTTGTTTAGGGGATTACCTGTGGAGAACTAATTGATATAATTGGGTTACGAATTAATAAGTAAAACAAAACAGTATATCAAAATTTATTTTCTTAATTGACAAACATTTTATTGAATAATGGTTATAACAACTGTTGAACAACTGTTGAATTGTTGCGGTCCCTGAGAAATGGAAACCACATCTTCATACCGAAGTTCAGAACTGAAAGATTGAGAAAATCTTTTCTGTTTCAGGCAATAACCTCAGTAACCACGATTTGTAAATAGTAGTCCGCCTCTGTTTTAATGGACCGACCTACAAATCTCCTTAAATCTTTTAAATCTACTTAATTTTAATCGTCAATGTCGTACTTTTTAATGTGTATCTCTTTCAAGTTTTTTAATATGTAATCACTTGTGCAATTCAGCCAACAATGCATATGGCTGCCAATCAATGTGAATAAACAGTATCTGTATCAGTGAAAAATCAACAATATTTCCATTAAGGAATTGAGTTTCAAATGATGAAAAGCATGATAAACATTGTAACTATATATATAATAGATAGGGGCGTTATGGCAATCTAAATAAGACGTTATATATCATGCCTACCTTGACTTTTGTCTGATGAATGTTCCCCATGTTCCGACTGTGCAGCATGGTGACCAGGTTGTGCCTTCTGCTGTTTCCCGATACCGTAGAGCCGCTCCCAGAACCGCTCCCGGTCCTCCATCTCCTCCGCCAGGAAGTCCTGTCCTTCCTCCCGCAGGACCCGCACTAACCAGTCGTACAGCTCCTGCCGACTCCTGTCCAGCGGCATGTATAACAACCGGCCGGTTCTGCTTACTGGTGTCGGCTCCGCCTGGGGGAGGGAACATTGGCAGGGGTTGGTTGGCCTTACATTAACAACCGAAGTTGTACTAGAATAGAGCTAGATCGGGGAGGGGACCAAATAGCCTGGCAGGTATGAAAAAGGCTACCGTTAGTCAGCCATTTCTAATGTTAACCTCCAGCACAGATGAACGGTACAGAAAATATACATGTAAAGTACTATTAATTACCCCTTGGCTCGAGTGACGAATATGTAAAAGGAGCAGGAAATACAAATAGGTATGATAGACTATATATATAGAGAGTCAAAGATTCGTAACTCCCAGTAGAGTACGTTGTACGTACTCAACATAACTCTTCAAACCACGTTTTTGTTGGATATCTTGACTGCCCCTGCCTTAACTTCCACAGACAACACCAAATTTTAAACTAATCTCTAGCTATCTAACCTCTGACCTGATATTGAAGACTTATGGGAAATGCAGTAAATTTTCTGCACCGTTTGGTACATCAAGTAGGAACCTACTAAAGGCTTTATAACGTTGAGTGGTGAAAATCTATAAAAAGGGTATTCGGAGTTTTAGTACGCTAGAAGTCCTTGCTACTATATATATACATGCATCTATATTATGTTAAATGTAGATTACAGGAAGGTTTATTCAAAACCTAATATGAAATATAATATCAATGTCCAGCACATGTGGCACGGTCATGTTGACTATGACAAGTGCCGATGCCACCAAGTAACTTAGTACATACCTGGATAGTCCGGACGTCAGCCGGACTGAGCTGGTTCTCCTGTTCCAGCCGTGTGAGAACAGCTGGGAGGTTCATGTTGCCATACAGGAAATTAAGAGTGTCGAGCAAGGCGTGCGCGCACGGGAACCTCAGTTCACCTGTGGAGATGAACAGACAAACGGCACACAACAATCCTTAGCCTGACGTCGACTCGTTTTGTGACACAGCACACTTAAGATCTGAGTATCTACATGTATATATTTCAAAATACTGCAATCGATACGTACACGATAGCATTAATTCATAATTTTTATGCCAGAGGGTCACTTCGCAGTTTGCACTTATTCATACATTCCGTAAACATATTCAAGTATGGAAGAAACCACGTTTTGAAAGTGCAGTGTTTCTACGTATACCATATGAAATGTTTGTCAAGATTGTGTTCCTATCATTTGCACATGTTTGATTGCACAGTTGTATGTGAAGGTCACTGAATACCTTAATGCAGAAAGTAGGTATTTATAATTACCCTGAAGTACTTGGGTCTTAGTTTTAGTTTTATACCAGGTAAAAGTGTTTCTTACTTTGTATGTACACATTTGAACAGCCTTAACCTGGACGTTATGGCACCAAAAAAAGAACCATCCTCGTTCGCGTTATGTATCATCCATGGTACATGTATGTCCACCCTCACCTGTTTGTCTGCAGAGCGCGTCACGCACATCAAAGGCGATGCCTCTCATCCAACTGACACGACTGCCGGGCATCTTCTCCTCCACCCTGTCCCGCTGGACCCGCCTGGGTTGGGTACTGCCGGCTGACTCCAGGGTTGGGTACTGTCGCCTGACTAACGTACCGAACTCACGGAAGTCATCCTGGTTCTGGTCCAGCCAAATGACGTATCGAGGCTTGTTGTTCCTGACGGCAGTTTCCAGTCCGACCGTGAGCGAGGAGGACTGGTCAGCAAGCAGGTGTCTGCTGATTACGAGCACGACAAGTTTCACGCTGCCGAGGGTCAGTGTGGACGTGAGCTGTGCGCGGCTGACAGAACCAGGAGCACCTGTGACCTGCAGACACAATATGTCTGTCTGGATTACATTGTAACCCGGGGGCAGACCCATCAGCCCCCCCACCAGCCTCCTGACGAACTCCTCATCCTCTGTTGCGTGCAGGATGACAACATGCGGAACTAGGAAACAACAAGTTCAAAATAAATATGTTTATCAACCGTACGAACATGTCACATTTACTTGTAAATGTATTGGAAAGGGTCACAAGATACAGATGTGAACAGTACGTTGTATTCTTGTTTGTGTCGTTTCGTTGTGTAATGAAGATATTCTACACAATACACTACAACAGATGCTGTAAAAACCCTAAGGTTACAGACTGACCCATGGTGTGGTACCATATATTATTATAATAACATTTTGAAGATCGGCGGTTGCCAACTCCAATACCAGAAAGTAGGACTTCCAGCGCAGGCCCAGCCGCAATCCATTATATGCCTCGAGTTATAACTTTGAAGCAAAAGTAACCAATGTAGCTCACCTGTTTCCATAGTGATTTATAGTTGTGACATCAGAGCAGGAAAGTCAGACTTCCGGTAGGATGAGGCGGACAGAAGGCATCCCAGACTGCGGTGTTCCTATGCGGGAACTAGTTAAACAGGAACGATAAAGATGGGATGTTTAATCTCCAAGCAGATCTTTTGGTGGCAAGACAGTATCCATTGGCCAGAGGAGTGTCCACTAGCCACCGAAGATCTGCCGGTACTCGAACAGGGAGGAGCACTTCTTTTCAAAAATGGTGTTGCTGCCCCTCCTTGTGCCCCTATTAACAGCTATCAAAAATTTGTTGTGCAAGATTTTTACAAGCAGTTTATGGCTTGAATCTGGGACAAATGCAGTCACCCGCGCACATCTCAGTGGGAGTTCTCGCCTAACCCTGTCCAGATAATACTGTATGCTGGTACATAGTATGCTGGCTGAAACATAGAAATGTCAATAACTGGGGTCCTTGTGGTTCAAAACTGCAGATATCACAAAACATATGTTGAACATTCTTTTCCTTTAGTTAAGCTGTCCAAAATAACAGTTGGTGAGGGGACCCATAGAAAGACTTCCTGTAATGCTCAACCAGCTGGCCCACTAGGAGGGCAAGAGCCTTGCCTGGTGGTCAGGGCAATAAACTACTTGGCAAGAATATTTTGATCAGGCAACAACTAGGTGTTAATAGCCTTTGACGTTTCGACTGCAGGCAGATCTTCGGTGGCTAATGGACACTCCTCTGGCCAATGGATACTGTCTTGCCACCAAAAGATCTGCTTGGAGATTAGGGATGTTCTGTCCAATGACATGTGTTCAGTCACATCATGATATCACGATGTAGTATATGCTAATGAAATTAACGTAGAGGGAAAAGGGGGAAGAGAGAGGGAGAAAGAAAGAAGAGAGAGAGCGCGAAAGAGATGTAGAGAGAGGGAGCGATATAGAGATAGAGAGGGGAGGGGGAGGGAGAATGAGCGAGAGAAAGAGTGAGAGAGTTTTATGTTTTTGTACATGTGTGTGACATATATATTACTTTATATCTATTTAAACATATCTCTGTATATTTCTTTATTTCTATCTGTATATCTAGGTCTTTCAGAGTCTGTCTTTTTTTAAAGAGTGTCAAAGCTCACGAGCAGCCAATAGAAATGCTGTTGTTACGTTTTTCGTCACCTCGTTATACAATACATAGTCACACTACTGTATACTAGTAGTATGTGACATTATCTGTCGTTACGCTCTCGGCATACAAATGAAAAAGTTAGTGAAGAATTCTTTTAGACTATCTTACCTGGTCTTCATAGCCTTTGGTTTATACGCTGATTATATTGTCCATACTTTGTCCTACAGGAGTTGGATTCATTGTGAACCTCTTGACGAGGAAGTGGGAAGGCGACAAGTTCATTGCCGCGAAGGGGGCCGAAGGTTGGTAACACGCTGTAGAAGAATCCGTATATTCATGTAAACAATTATAAATCACTTATATCTAGTCACATCAGTACTCTTTTTGCAATACGGAAGGAAATGATTTGGTCTTTAACACAGTGTAAACCCTGTATCTTAAACTAGTCCTCCCCCGTATGGTGAACTTGGTTCCTCCCTGTGTGCGCAAAAACCTGTTGCGCAGTTAGCGGCCCCACCTTTGTTCCGAGTCAGTAACGACACACCTGGTGGTGACCCCGGGGTCAACCTGACACAATGGCGTGTTGTTTGTTCAACTACCTGGTGCAAAACACGTCTGGTTAAAAACAGTACTCGTTAGAGTTTAATTTGTAAACCTGTATGGCTGTCTGGGTTGTAGTATCTACTATTCTAATTTGTGTTAAAACCATTATAATGTGTCTCGACTTACAGGTAAAAATGACACGTGTAGCTTCGGAGCACTAGATTACCCGACCGGTACCTTTAGCTTGTTTACATTATACAAAGAAAATTTTATCGCAACCAGTAATATATTCGAGGTATAGGTGTTCTACGTTAAACAGGCGAAAGTTTGAACTGAAGTTTCTTCTATGTCACTTAATCGTATCCCGCGCTGCAACATAAGTTCATGGTTTAGGTGTTAAGTTGAAGTAAAGGCTGGCAGTTTCTGTACATCACTACCTCCATGAAAAATCGGGGCATTATTTTGGCCTGTCTGTGTGTGTGTGTGTGTGTGTGTGTGTGTCTGTGTGTCTGTGTGTGTGTGTGTCTGTGTGTGTGTTTGTGTGTGTGTGTGTGACTTGATTTGCATAAGCGAGGAAGAAATTCTGTAATTACAGTATTTACATAATAAAACTTTTATACATGTAATGTATGTAATCTGGCAGGTGAGACATCAAACTGCAGATACCAATTATGGAAATAATTACCTAATTTGCATAATGAATGTGAAAATTCTAGGATTCCTCAATGGCAAATTTAAGGAATTCTATACTTGTGAGAAGTGTAAGCTATTTAAAAGTTAATATCATTGCTTTCGTCAAGACAGGTATGTTTTCAGTTTGAGCCTGGTGGGGCAGCTGTGGAGTGTCTCCGTATAACCGTATTTAGACGGGGGGGGGCTTTTGAGGTCCGCGCCAACTTTCATATCGGATATATAGCACCTGAATGCAATGCGCTAGAACCATCAAATTTCGTGACTTTTCCTAAAATACTTCTGGTAACAATTTCATAATAATGGGATAAGTTAATAGATTTTTGCGTTGCCATGGCAACGGGTTTCCGGCAGATTTGGAAAATTTTGGAAATTTGGTTTTAACATAATTACATTTTTTTTTGCTTTTTATGTTTAATTACACATAGATACACTGTCACTAAGATGGACTAAAAGACTTGAAGACTTTAACTCTAACTTACCTTGTCTTCATAGTGTCATATTTCTTCAGAATCATCCCAAACTATGTTTCTTTGTGGGTCAATTCGAGACGAAACGTTTGACGAGGATGTGGCAGAAGGACAAGCTTACTAAAGTAAAGGGGTTGTAGGTTGTAACAAAGTATAACAAACAACGTGACATTTTTAGCTGTTGCACAAAATACACCCACCTGGCGTATTTGGCTCTTCCTGTCTACGTCACCGGTAAACGTCACCAACACTTTAACCATTGTTCCAAAGCAGCCTGCCGTGAAGACACACCTGGTGCTGACCTCGATCGGGGTCAACCTGTCACAATGGCTTATCTATACATTATATATATACCCCTCTGGAACAAAGGTTGTGTACATGTTGTAATTTGAATAGAATAGAGGACGAATGTCACTTTGTTATAGAGTGTAGATTATGTAGTAAAGAGAGAAATCATCTGTAAAGGCTTGTGCAAAACCTATTTCCTTACTTCATACACTTGAGCACTGTAGAAAAATTCATATTCCTAATGTGACTTGACAAACCTTCCATCGAAAAACATATCTGTTCCTTTATCTCTACTATTACTGAAAAGAGAGAAGTTGAATTTTTGTAATGATAGCTAGTTTTGTTTTGTATATATCTTTCATCATGTCTTGTTGTGACCTGTACTTCGCCCAGTGTGGCAAAAATGTGCAATAAAGGTCGTCATTCATTCATTCATTATTCATTAGGCAGGCGGAATCGTTGTTGAACCACATGCAGGCGTTTAAGACAGACCTTGTCATTGTATTCTGGTACATTAAGGTTTAACTTTCTACTATTTCAGTATAGTAGAAAAGCATGTGTTGACAGCCAATCGGAAAGAGCATGGCGAGTCTACATTGTAACACGACAGACATATATAGTTAGAAAACAGGGTAACAGGTGTACTTCCCGTGGTACATCAAATGATCAGGATTGAAGTTTTCAGCCTTTAACCCTAAACAGTACACCTGGGGTCCGCGCGGACCCCAGCACTATATATTCTGTAATATTTTTTTTTGTTTCTAAAGATTTTTTTCTGAAATTTTAAGTAATTGTTACCCACAAAGTTGTCTCTCAATACAGTGCAGAAAACTCCGTTTCTACCATTTATAAAAACAATTATATCTCATTTTCTTTTGGGGTCCGCGCGGACCCCAGCCGGCTTTCGATCATAATGGATACACTGGCGTTCTTATACATTACCTTATTTCCGTTTTTATATGTTTTTATGCACTCATCGTATGTCTACCAAGTTTTCAGAGAATAGTGTAGTAATAGAATTAAATTTTAATAACTTTGGTGTAATTATGACGTCATATGACGTCAGAGCTAATAATATAGTCCGCCATATTGGATTTTGACCAATGACGTCATCAAATTAGCATATTCTATGCATATTAAATGATTTAACTTATACTTAATTATGTAAGATGCTATTAATGTTGGAAAAGAAGTGTAATTTAATATAAAACTCAGAAAATTTTTATGTTTAAACCAAAATTACTTTTATTTTCAAAAAAATAGCCCGTTGCCATGGCAACACAAAAAAACATCAACTTACTAGTATTAAACTAATATGAACTTTTTTCCAGAGACATTTTAGGAAAGGTCTCCAAATTTGATACTTCTAGCGCAAGCCGTTTAGCCGCTATCTGAGATCAAAGTTGGGCCTCAAAAGCCCCTTCAGTCTGAAATGGGTTTAAAAATCGGGTATTTCTTCTTGTCTTCTTTTCTTCACCAAAAAATAGAAAAAGTTAAAAATGTATGATTTTTGTATGTAATGTGGACACAGAGGTTCCCACATCAGTTTGCAAAACCATTGAGCTGGTAGCATGTTGATAATTTCTAAAAATTAGCATAAAACTGTTCTGGGGTCCGCGCGGACCCCAGGTGTACAGATTAATCAGTCCGGGAAGGTGTACTGTTGAGGGTTAAAGCACGTCATCAGATTGTAACTAAAAGCTGAAGCTGTTTATGCCGATGGACTCCGTCATGCCCCTCTAGTGTTCTTGAAACCTCCCTAACGGTAAGGTGTGTACAAAGCGTTCAAGGACAGGGACGGACCATTAATGTCGGCATGTGGAGAAGGATGCGGAAACAAAACAAACTGTAAATGGTACGGTGTGTGTGTGGTGTGGTTTGTTGGAAATATATAGTCCCCTGTCATGGATGCCTTTGAAGTTGGTCTTTAATCTTTAATTTCTGGAAGATGTACATGTATACTGATAATGTTCGTAAAAAATTAGCAACTCACTATATGGACATTTGAATAACACGGCAAATTTAATATTTGAAAGGGAATATTTGACATTTGTAGCACACAAGTGTTGGTGGTACAGTAATGAAATATCATTGCCTAGTTGTTATTCAGCGACTTTAGACACACGTTAAACTTAAAATTCCAATATAGTCGTTTATATATACAGATTATAATTGTCTTAAGCTCACTATAAACGGGTTGCTATAAGTTGGTTCTTACTTATACCAATAAATTGAATCATCTCGTTATTCAGTCTCAGAATTTTGACAAAAATATCCATTGTCTTTCTTACAAAATGAAGAAAGCTTAAATGAAGTACTCGTCAAAATCTTTCGTAACAGTAGATATACAAAAATAAAAAAAGTACAAATCACGTCTTGTCATAACATCAGGCACTCGTGAAAAACACACTTTGTTAGTTTTTCTTTTAAAACATGGCAAATTTGTGTTAGAAGGTACAATACATGACACACATCTTTAAACGACCTACATCAAAAGAAATCAATGGTGTCAATCAAAAGGGTTCAACTTTGTTGAATCTCATTCGTCTCTTTTAGCCCTTTGTTTACTTGGGTTGCAGCCCAAGGACACGGAGCACTAGTCATCTGAAGATTCCGGCGAGTCTGATAAAGCTAAAATAGAAAAACGAAAAAGAATTAATTTCTCAAAGGACCTGAAAAATGCAATAACGTATAGATCTGACAATTTCTTTTACGACGTGCTTTGACGAAAAAGTGATAACACATCCATTGCAGTCGGACAATATAAATCAGAAAAATATTCATTTCTTGGAACAAATATCTTCTGAGATAAGAACTACTGAGCGCACCAACATCAGCAACCATGAGCTACACACTTCTCTAGAAAAAAAATCAGTAAGGAAGCAAATTCCTTGTAATCTTCCAGAGACCCCTTAACATGAAACTACATGGACAAAATTGCTATTCAAAAATATTTTTTTCTAAATCAACTGAATTTTAACAAAATGATTTCTTAATCTAACCAATCAAAAATACATGTAAGAAAATTTCCAAAAGTACTTTTTGACATTGCTCGTGTCAGACATAAAACTATGGCATTCTTTCACCTATTCAATTGAAGCAAAACATGTGTTTACCTTCCGTCTTCTTTGCAGCAATGCTAGTCGCCTCGTTTGCAAAGTCATCTCTACCAATCTTTCTCATGAGGCGCTCAAAGAGTGTAGGATCTCCCTCCCACAACTTCCCCTTTTGATCTAGCTTCATACACATCTGATGTGGGTCCATATCTTGAAGATCTCTTGCTGGCAAAAGCCCTTTACTATCCAAGTAGTTGCGAAGATCCCTAACTTCGTTGTTTTTGAGATTCTGAGAGATCCGTAGGTACAGATCATCAACAGAAGCTTCTTCAACATCTACTAGAAAAAAAAAAGAAAATTGTAAAAAAATTCACGGTCAAATATGTACAACTTGCTGTGTTTGAAATTACAACTAGCCATGAAGCAACAGAAAATGTGATTATCTTTTTACTCAAAAAGTTTGATTATTGTAATGAAAGTTGGTTGATATAGATTGTGGTTCCCAAAAATATATATTTATTAACCAGGAAACATGTTTGTTACAGCCTTGTCCTGATGATATTAATTAGGGTTTGCACTATTTCAGAGCGATTTTCGATACCCACCTTGCTTTCCCCTTCGTGATCGTCCCCTTCGTGGTCTTTTTGGGCTTGGCCCAGCAGACATCTTCCGTGATACAGTTCGACCTAGGAAAATGACAATATTTGTTACACTTGAAAGATGACCCTGCATTCGAGGATTACAAGTTTCAAGTCCAGCTAGGTACATGTACAAGAGATGGGTGACATAGTTTTCATACTTAGGTAACGATATAACCGTGCCAGTAAAATATAAAAATATAACTTTGCTGTTAACAAATTACAACTCTCTTGACACGTCACAATCTTCAAGCATTACCTTTGCTTTCGCCTTTCATCTCTTTACGATGTCTTGTACCACTGGATCCGGCCTCAGGAGACATTCGCTCTGATTTTTGACATGAGATAGCTTAATTTAAACATTACACATTACGACCTTATCTTCCATTGGTGGTTCTATAGCACCAAGGAGAATTAAACTATTAACACAAATTTACAAAATAGAGATAGGCAAGCTATCTCTATTGTTTGTATGACGAGGAGTTAGATTTGTTTGTTCCAAAAGATCACATTGACTGTTGAATTGACATTGAAATGATAACAGTACGATGTATTCATAAACATCTAATACAGTAAACGATGCAAATTATGAATAATAAATGGAGTTTACTGGTAATAGAAAGAATTTCCTCCTTAGAAATAAAATTAGGTAGGGCATCGCTATCAAATGCAGTGGATGCGCCTCCCAAAGCATGGGTACCTAATAGTATGTGTATATGGAGTGGTTCTTTACCTAAGTCTGTGACTGCCTTTGCATCAGCGACTGCCTCCGAAACACCGCTGTCGCTGTCATAAGACGCGTCAGCGCCTTCAAAATCTTGTGAATCTGCAGTATAGACACAGTTGTTCATAATCATATTGTACAAAGATCGCTGAATACCCGTTACAAGTTCGATCAAAGACAGTTGGCTGGTGAGGTGGTAAGGCAGGTCTTCAAAGGTAATATTTAGTGAGCCAGAAAATGCTACAAATGATTTTCCGTAACCTTTGGTTGGGATGAATCTGCAGACTGTCTTGTCAGCGTTCTTGAGGTGCAGGTCGAACCGAAGTTTGGATCTCTGCGCTCTGCTGTACTTCCTGGCGTCCACCTCCACACGGAACTTCTTGTAGTACTGCCCTGTCTCAAACGTGTCGTCAAACTCCAGACCCTGCCATAGTGATAGATGTTCTCAGGTTTATATAACATGTTGCCACATTATAGTACGTAAGTCCGTATTTTCACATACTCCTACTAGGTTAAAGTTTTCAAATACTTCTCTAGCAAATCATATTGTATTTGACTGTAAAACATGATATGAAACATGCTATGTCAGAGATCACCAAAGAAGATGGCTACCTTTCTAGGCCTGTAGGGCAAAGGTCACCTTTTCATTTCTTAGATGTTTAACATATACTTTAATGGGAGCTCGAAATGGTGGACTGTACATGTGCCCTGTGGAGTTCCCTGCATTAATAAATATTGAGGATAGAATCGATCACAATCATCGGCCAGGATAGCCCCACTAGGCCTGCACTCATGTCGATACTTCAGATCAGATAGGACGTGACCTAGAGACCTGATCAGAAAGACTGGCCTGATTGCTTCTAGAGTGACAGTCCGGCAACACCGGAGACGTGTTGGGTAAAGCCCCTCCCACCTCAACGATGTGTTGGCGTTTCATCCATTTTTTGATCCTTTTAGTAACACGACCTCGCCTAGTCTTATATGAAGAACAGAAAGAGCTAACATTGATTTAGCCCACATAATTCCTGTAAGCATGAGAAATAGTGACGTCTTAGAATGCCTTCTCAGTAACAAAAGATCCTTGCTACCAGCGAAACCCATCTCGATGCCTGAGATTGGAAGTTACAGATTCCAAATTACGGACTGGGCAGGAACAGTCGTGAAGAAGGCTGGATTTATTATTCATTAAAATTACATCCTATTACAAGGTACGAGGAGCAGACTTGATTTAGAATGGGCATCTCAATAAGCTGAAACTCTATATAACTGATATTCAGAGGACTTTTGGACGAGATACAAGGTCAATTAAATAATCAAATTGGAAGCAGTACTGGCTTATTTGCAAAGCGATGCTAAAATTAGGAATCTTTTCTGTACCTCCTCCGGCCGTGTCTCAACGTCGACGTCTGCTCCGTTTTTCGCCGTCACCTCCAGGTGATACTCCTCCCCCAGCTTCAGCACACACTGTTCAGGGTCCCAGCTGGAGTAGCCGTAGTCCCTCTCCAGTTCCTTGAGATACTTTAGCCATACAATTAATAAAGAACAACGTTAACATAAAATAACATACATGTTGATCGATAACAAATCTTAAATGTTAAATTACGTTACAATACAACAATTGCAAACAATTATCTCCAGATTATCTCCAGATTATCTCCAGATATGCGGATGTAGCCTTCATCACGTTCGGATGACCCGTCGCTTAAAATAGGAAACATGAACCCGCAGGTACATGAGGTCAAAAGTGCCATGAGATTTTCTGTTAGTGATGGTATTATCTTTTACATATATAAATTAATACCTACAAAAGATACTCAAAGAAAGCCAAGCAGTCAGTTTCGTGAGAAATACTCTTCACCTTCACTATCAGCACAACATTGGAGATGATGTAGACGTGAAGCTGGAAGACCGAGGGAAAGTTTGGCGGCGCGAACACCACACACAGGCCGTTCCTGCGCAGGTCCATTCCCAGGACTTTTCTCACCACAGGACCAAACTTGCTTCCCTTCCGGAACCTGGTGGTGAGGTGGGTGGGGCTGATGTCAGACACCGTCAGGAGTTCTTCAGTCTCTCCCACAACGTGTACGATCGCGATGTCGTCTGGATCCAGTGCTGAATAAAAAATGTATATGATAATTTTTTTGTTCTGTGCAGTTTACACCTCCTTGACAACTGGCATGTCCTATTGTTAGACATCAACTAACCGGAAATGAAAGAAACATTTTTAAGCAGAAAGTTTTATAATTTTAGGAATAAGTGTCGAAAAAGCGAATTCTCTTGTAGGTATACCTGTGTTTTGATCCAAATGTAGCACGTGCGGCAGTTGGATGTCCACCGGCCCCTGCACGTCCTCAGACTGGATGGAGAAGAGCGGACCCACCGCCATCCATCCCTGATCCTCTTGCCAGTTGTCGGACCAGTTCGCACTCCTGTAGGTCACGTGCAGCGGGTAGGGCGTCACCACGCCCAGGCCGGTCCGTCTGCACAGGTACTTCCCTTCACCTGGCAGGCGGAGAGACCTGAGGAGACAAACACAAGTATTGTATTCAGGTGTTCAATCCTACAGTTGTGACAGTCTAGGATTTTCTCGACAGTAATTTGAAGATTGAACAAAACAAGCCATGAAGAAGTCCAGGACCACATGTGTCTGCGTTCAGAACAACCACGTGGATTTCGTTTTTATTACCGCTGCAATAAGTTCCTTTAAATTAGTGTATAGTGTAGTACTGCATTCCATTACTTATCATTACTACCGTCTTTGTTGTTGCTTGACTTGCAAAATCATACGGAGTTCATGTTAGAATGCCTTCTTACCAATCTGTGTCCCCGGTCATCTCAGGACTGACCTCTTGTGTTGGCAAGGCATCACGGTATTCCTGGATACATGGGATATTGGTAAAGCATATAGTACATGAACATGTATGGTAATTAGTAGCCAGTGTACAAACAAAAGGTTTGGCTATTTTTTTTTCTTTACAATTTAAAACTCTATCTCGAGAGCCACCAATGAAAATGTCTGTGACATTTTTCTCTCCTGACCGTGACGTCAAATTTTTCCCTGACATTAACATTACTTAATAACGAAAATAAGGTTTTATAACTTGGTCGTACAATACAGTCATAAATTCAAGATGTTGACCAGCAATCAGAAATTCTCATCAACTGTAATTTTCCATGACAGAGTATTCGTCAAGTAGAGTTGGGATAAGACTAGGATTTCTTGACTCACCATGTAAATACCCTGTATATCTTTAGCCAGGTCCGGTTTTCCGATGTTCTGCAGTGTTTCCTCCAGCTGCGGCAGGTAGTGGAGCGGTCCGTGGGGGGTCTTGGTACGCCAGGCCTTCAGCATCTGAAACGTCTCCTGGGTGTCCCCGTCCCCACTAATGTTGTCCAACGCGGACCTGTTCAGTCCCAGCTCCTGTCCCAGTCGGGTCCACAGCTGCCTCTCTTCACAAACAGCCTTGCTGACCTGGTACAGCCGGTTGTCTGCACATATGTTGTAAATATGATTGAGCCCAGCAACATGTGGATGTGGTTTTAAGAATAAAACTAAGGGGTCAGGTCATATTGAGTTATATTTTTATCTTTAAAGTATCTACTCTCTATCTAGTAAAATTACATTTTTACTTCTGACTACCAAAAAAAACTATATGAGGTTCCTTCATTACATATTACTAGTACATATATAGACGCATGTCGTACTTACCAATGAAGTACTTGCCGATGACGTCTGTCGGTGTTCTGGTATTAGGAACTGGCCCTTCCCAGGTTCCCCTGGACAGTCTTAACAAGTCTCCCGGCACGTGACGCTTCACAGCCTCTATAGTAAGTGACTTTGCTGTTTCCTGGCTTCTAACACTGTTACTGGAGTGCAAAGAAAGAAACTCGTCCCAACAGGCCTCTATCTCCCTCACTACCGTCTGAACCCGGCGCCACGCCTTCTCCGCCTCTCCCCGGATCCGGATTTCTTCCCTCGTAGCGGAATGGCGGAGCATGATGTCTGCTGAGTTCTCTCCAACATGAACGACAACTGTGTCCTTGGTGAGGAGACGGCGTGTGGTCTGCTTCATGGACAGGAGACAGGAGACCATGGTTTCCGGTAGACCCAGAGGAGGCTCTTGGCTGTACTCTATAGTAACAGAGACCTCCTCTCCGCCTGATGGCACAACCTCTGGCCAGCAGTGCGCCACCTCGTCAGGCTGGACGGCAGGAAGCTCAGTTGGAAAGATCACCGACCCTGAGTAACACAGGCCGAAGTGTTTCATCAGGGGAAGGAGACTGTTGAAGGTGACAATGTTGTCTCCAAGGAGGTTCTTCATGAAACTGTCGCTGGCTCTGCCGGTCTTCGAGAAGGACGCCATATCTTCAGCAAACTGCGCTCTGGTATGCTCGGCGAGAGACTCAGCTATGCTGTCCAGATATCCCGGTAGGTCATGCCTGAAGATCTGCTTGAAGAGTGTGAGGATGATGGTTGGGTCCGGGAAGACCAGATCTTCCATCCCCCTGATGTGGTTGTAGAACAGGATCTGTCCGGTCACGTGCAGATAGCTGAGCGCGTTCAGGACGTCTGACTCCTTCATCCCTGCAGCTGCTCCGGCCTCCTGACAATCCCTGACTTGCAGGTGGGTCCGTCCTGCCGCCTTGATGTTATCTGACAGTTTTGTCCACGAAGTCGGCATCTCTTGGCGGGCAGCGGGGAACAATCGCTCGTCCTTCACCATTTCTGCCATCTTGTTGCACAGAGCTTCGATACCCTGGAACGTCTTGCTGCTGACCGGGATGACCTGTACGTTCAACAAACATTTGGGTCGTCCGTCCAGTAGCTTCTCCAGTGACTCTTTCTTGGCCAAGATGTCGTCCATTGTAAGACCGTAGAATGGCTCCGGCATTTCTGATCCTCGGTCCACTGAATCCAATGCCTTCTGACAAAGCTGAATCTCTTCTTTCAGCTTGGTTTGTATTTTACTCTCAGCTTCCTGGACGTCTCTCTGAACGGAGGAACAAGCTTCTGCTATCATCTCCTCGACTTTGTCTGGCGGAAACATGTCAACTTTGGTTCCTACAACAATGATAGCCGGGTTGAAGACGTGGGAAGTCACGGATGTTAGCCACGTTCCCACTCGTTCCTGGAACTCTTCTGACTCGTATGCTGGCAGGTCTACATTGAGGATGTGCAGGGCCTGACGTGTCAGGAAGAACCGGTGCGTGTAGTGGTAGATCTGGTGACCTCCGAAGTCGTACATCGCGTACTTGATGTTATTCTTGGTGTCATGGAAACTGATGACGTCAACACCGATGGTTCTGTCAGTTTCAGTCTCCACGTGACCTTGACCCTTCATCATACAGTTGAGCAGACTGGTCTTCCCTGCCTCCGTCTGTCCCAGAATCACACTCTTGACTTCCAAAGGTGTTTTAGCATCGCCCTTATAGGTATCGGGATGGTGTAGCTGTATCTGAATGGGTGCTACACAGGATACATACACAAATACTTCACATATACATGTTTGTTATTTTTAGATAGCACAAATATGATTGTGGCTTAATCTGCTGTTGAGAGAATTACAGAAAACAGCACAACACAATGAAAAATAAACCCTGTTACTTTGGTTTAATTTTGTTCTTAGTTCTATTGTGTTATGGGGCAATACAGTGTCACTTCCTGAAAAAAAACCTCCAAGAAAACAATGTAAATGGAGAATGATTAATAGAGCATTAATCAGGACTTTCGCTGTATATTGCTGTTTGTAGCTAGGCGTGCACTGTGCTATGGACTATATGTATATTATAGTACTACTGCAGAACTTATTTGTGAAAATGGTTCTGTAAATGTAAATTATAGTACTTAGAAGAATTTATTAAACATGTCTTTCTTGTCAAACATCTTATTTATTAAACAGTTGAATCAACAATATTTTGATGAGTATAGTTCCACACGAATTTATTAAACATGTCTTTCTTGTCAAACATCTTATTTATTAAACAGTTGAATCAACAATATTTTGATGAGTAGAGTTCCACACGAACAAAAGTATTTGAAACGTGGTGACTACATATACACTTTATTATGTATATCCCTCAACAGTACACCTTCCCGGACTGATTAATCTGTACACCTGGGGTCCGCGCGGACCCCAGAACCTGTTTTTCTAATTTTTAGAAATTATCAACATGCTACCAGCTCAATTGTTTTGCAAACTGATGTGGGAACCTCTGTGTCCACATCACATACAAACATCATACATTTTGAACTTTTTCTATTTTTTGGTGAAGAAAATAAGACAAAAAGAAATACCCGATTTTTAAACCCATTTCAGACTGAAGGGGCTTTTGAGGCCCAACTTTGATCTCAGATAGCGGCTAAACGGCTTGCGCTAGAAGTATCAAATTTGGAGACCTTTCCTAAAATGTCTCTGGAAAAAAGTTCATATTAGTTTAATACTAGTAGGTTGATGTTTTTTGTGTTGCCATGGCAACGGGTTTCTAGCAGGCAGTTTTTTTGAAAATAGAAGTATTTTTGGTTTAAACATAAAAGTTTTTTGAGTTTTATATTAAATTACACTTCTTTTCCAACATTTATAACATCCTACATAATTAAATATAAGTTAAATCATTTAATATGCATAGAATATGCTAATTTGATGACGTCATTGGTCAAAATCCAATATGGCGGACTATATTATTAGCTCTGACGTCATAGACGTCATAATTACACCAAAGTTATTAAAATTTAATTCTATTACTACACCATTCTCTGAAAACTTGGTAGACATACGATGAGTGCATAAAAACATATAAAAACGGAAATAAGGTAATGTATAAGAACGCCAGTGTATCCATTATGATCGAAAGCCGGCTGGGGTCCGCGCGGACCCCAAAAGAAAATCAGATATTTTTTTTTTATAAATGGTAGAAACGGAGTTTTTTGCACTGTATTGAGAGGCAACTTTGTGGGTGACAATTACCTAAAATTTCAGAAAAAAATCTTTAGAAACAAAAAAGATATTACAGAATATATAGTGCGCTGGGGTCCGCGCGGACCCCAGGTGTACTGTTTAGGGATATATGGACGTTATGGCATTCTATATAAGACGCCATATATCCTGCCTACCTTGACTTTTGTCTGATGAATGTTCCAAATGTTCCGTCTGTGCTGTATGGTGACCAGGTTGTGCCGTCTGCTGTTTCCCGATGCCAAAGTACCCCTCACAGTTCCGCTCCCAGTCCTCCATCTCCTCCACCAGGAAGTCCTGTCCTTCCTCCCGCAGGACCCGCACTAACCAGTCGTACGGCTCCTGCCGCCTCCTGTCCCGCAGCATGTGTAACAACAGGCCAGCCCTGCTCCCTGAGGTCGACTCCGCCTGGGGGAGGGAACATCGGGATCAGGAGGGTTTGCAATTGGGTGGCCTTACATTAACAACCGAAGTTACACTAGAATAGAGCTAGATCGGGGAGGGGATCAAATAGCCTGGCAGGTATCAAGGAGAGATTATGAAAAAGGCTACCACTAGTCAGCCTTTTTTTAATGTTAACCACCAGCACAGATGAACGGTACAGAAAATATAGATGTAAAGTACTATTAATAATAAACCCTTCGGCTCGAGTGATAAATATGTAAAAGGAGCAGGAAATACAAATAGGTATGATAGACTATAGAGTCAAAGATTCGTAACTCCCAGTAGAGTACGTTGTAAAACCACATTTTTGTTGGATATCTTGACAGCTCCCTGCCTTAACTTCCACAAACAGCATCAAATATACAGTTTTAAACTGGGAATTGCAGTAAATTTTTTTAACCGTTTGGTACATCAAGTAGGAACCTATTAAAGGCTTTATAACATTGAGTGGTGAAAATCTATGAAAGGGTATTCAGAGTTTCAGTATGCTAGAAGTGCTTCGGCTACTATGTATATACATGCATCCGTATTATGTAAAATGTAGATTACAGGAAGGTTTATCCAAAACCTTATATAGAATGTAATATCAATGTCTAGCGCATGTGGCACGTACGGTCATGTTGTTATGAAGGCTCTGACTGTAGGGCCGGTTCCACCATGTTACTTAGTATGTACCTGTATAAACCTGACGTCAGCCGGACTCAGCTGGTTCTCCTGTTCCAGCCGTGTGAGAACAGCTGGGAGGTTCATGTTGTCAGACAGGAAATCACGAGTGTTGCCCAAGACCAGCAAGCACGGGAGCCTCAGTTCACCTGTGAAGACGAACAGACAAACGGCACACAACAATCCTTAGCCTGACGTCGACTCGTTTGTGAGAGAGCACACTAAATATATGGGTATCTATATAATTCAAAATACTGCAATTGATACGTACACGATAGCACTGATTTATATTATTATTATGCCAGAGGGTCACTTTGCAGTTTGCACTTATTCGTACAATCAGTAAAAATATACTCAAGTATGGAAGAAAACACTTTTTTTAAGTGCAGTGCTTCTACGTATACCATGTGAAATGTTTGTCAAGGTTGTGCTCCTATTATGTGCACAAAAAATTGATTGCACAGTTGTATGTAAAGGCCACTAAATACCTTAATGCAGAAAGTAGCCTTGAAGTACTTGGATCTGAGTTTTAGTTTTCTACCAGGTAAAAGTTTTTCTTACTTTGTATGTACACGTTTGAACACCCTTAACTTGGACGTTATGGAACCAAAAAAAGAACCATCCTTGTTCGCGTTATGTATCAGCCATGCTATGTCCACCCTCACCTGTTTGTCTGCAGAGCGAGCCACGCACATCAAAGGCGATGCCGTACATCCAAGTGACACGACTGCCGGGTATCGTCTCCCCCACCCTGTCCCGCTGTACCCGCCAGGCCGGCGCCTCCAGGGTTGGGTACTGCCGGCTGACTAACGTCCCGAACTCATGGAAGTCATCCTGGTTCTGGTCCAGCCAAATGACGTATCGAGGCTTGTTGTTCCTGACGGCAGTTTCCAGTCCGACCGTGAGCGAGGACTGGTCAGCAAGCAGGTGTCTGCTGATCACAGGCACGACAAGTTTCACGCTGCCGAGGGTCAGTGTGGACGTGAGCTGTGGGCGGCTGACAGCACCAGGAGCACCTGTGACCTGCAGACAGAATATGTCTGTCTGGAGTAGATTGTAACCCGGGGGCAGACCCATCAGCCCCTCCACCAGCCTCCCGACGAACTCCTCATCCTCTGCTGCGTGCAGGATGACAACAAGCGGAACTAATAGGAAACAACAAGTTCAAAATAAATGTTTTATCAAGCGTAACAACATGTCAAATTTACTTGTAAATGTATTGGAACGGGTCACAAGATATAGTTGTGAACAGTAGATTGTATTCCTGTTTGTGTCGTTTCGGTGTGTAATGAAGATATAATATTCTACACAATACACTACAACATAAAAACCCTAAGGGTACAGACGGACCCATGGTGCGGTACCATTATTTTAAAGATCGGCGGTTGCCAACTCCATGTACAAGAAAGTAGGACTTGCAGCGCAGGCCCAGCCGCAATCCATTATATGCCTCGAGTTATAACTTTGAAGTAAAAGTAAGCAATGTAGCTCACCTGTTTCCATAGTGATTTATAGTTGTGACATCAGAGCAGGAAAGTCAGACTTCCGGTAGGATGGTGCGGACACAAGACATCCCAGACTGCGGTGTTCCTATGCGGGAACTAGTTAAACAGGAACGGTAACGATGGGATGTTCTGTCCAATGACATGTGTTCAGTCACATCATGATATCACGATGTAGTATATGCTAATGAAATTAACGTAGAGGGGAAAAGGGGGAGCGAGAGGGAGAAAGAAAGAAGACAGAGAGCGCGTTAGGGAGAGGGAGATAGGGGGAGTGATATAGGGAGAGAGAGGGGAGAGGGAGGGAGAAAGAGAGCGAGAGAAAGAGTGAGAGTTAGAGTGTTTGTGTGTTAACGTTTGTGTGTGATATATATCTTACTTTATATCTATATAAACATAACTCTGTAGAATTCTTTAGTTACTTCTATCCGTATATCTAGGTCTTTCAGAGTCTGTCCTTTTTAAAAGAGTGTCAAAGCTCACGAGCAGCCAATAGAAATGCTGTTGTTATGTTTTTCGTCACCTCGTTATACAATACATAGTCCCACTACTGTATACTAGCATTATCTGTCGTTACGCTCTCGGCATACAAATGAAAAAGTTAGTGAAGAATTCTTTTAGACTATCTTACCTGGTCTTCCTAGCCTTCGGTTTCTACGCTGACTGTTCATATTTCCTTCTACAAGAGTTGGATTCGTTGCGAACCTGTTGACGAGGAAGTGGGAAGGGGACAAGTTCATTGCCACGAAGGGGGCCGAGGGTTGGTAACACGCTGTAGAATAATCCGTATATTCATGTAAAGAATTATAAATCACTTATATCTAGTCACATCAGTACTCTTTCTGCAATTCGGGAGGTACCGATTTGGTCTTTAACACAGTGTAAACTCTGTATCTCACACTAGTCCTCCCCCGTATGGTGAAGTTGGTTCCTCCCTGTGTGCGCAAAAACCTGTTGCGCAGTTAGCGGCCCCACCTTTGTTCCGAGTCAGTGACGACACACCTGGTGGTGACCTCGGGGTCAACCTGACACAATGACGTGTTGTTTGCTCACCTACCTGGTGCAAAACACGTCTGGTTAAAAACACTACTCGTTAGAGTTTAATTCGTAAACCTGTATGGCTGTCTGGGTTGTAGTATCTACTATTCTAATTTGTGTTAAAACCATTACAATGTGTCTCGACTTACAGGTAAAAATGACACGTGTAGCTTCGGAGTACTAGATTACCCGACCGGTACCTTTAGCTTGTTTACATTATACAAAGAAAATTTTATTGCAACCAGTAATATATTCGAGGTATAGGTGTTCTACGTTAAACAGGCGAAAGTTTGAACTGAAGTTTCTTCTATGTCACTCAATCGTATCCCGCGCTGCAACATAAGTTCATGGTTTAGGTGTTAAGTTGAAGTAAAGGCTGGCAGTTTCTGTACATCACTACCTCCATGAAAAATCGGGGCATTATTTTGGCCTGTCTGTGTGTGTGTGTGTGTGTGTGTGTGTCTGTGTGTCTGTGTGTGTGTGTCTCTGTGTGTGTGTTTGTGTGTGTGTGTGTGACTTGATTTGCATAAGCGAGGAAGAAATTCTGTAATTACAGTATTTACATAATAAAACTTTTATACATGTAATGTATGTAATCTGGCAGGTGAGACATCAAACTGCAGATACCAATTATGGAAATAATTACCTAATTTGCATAATGAATGTGAAAATTCTAGGATTCCTCAATGGCAAATTTAAGGAATTCTATACTTGTGAGAAGTGTAAGCTATTTAAAAGTTAATATCATTGCTTTCGTCAAGAAAGGTATGTTTTCAGTTTGAGCCTGGTGGGGCAGCTGTGGAGTGTCTCCGTATAACCGTATTTAGACGGGGGGGGGGGCTTTTGAGGTCCGCGCCAACTTTCATATCGGATATATAGCACCTGAATGCAATGCGCTAGAACCATCAAATTTCGTGACTTTTCCTAAAATATTTCTGGTAACAATTTCATAATAATGGGATAAGTTAATAGATGTTTGCGTTACCATGGCAACGGGTTTCCGGCAGATTTGGAAAATTTTAGAAATTTGGTTTTAACATTACAATTTTTTGGCTTTTTATGTTTAATTACACATAGATACACTTTCACTAAGATGGACTAAAGGCTTAAAGACTTTAACTCTAACTTACCTTGTCTTCATAGGGTCATATTTCTTTATAATCATCCCAAATTATGTTTCTTTGTGAGTCAATTCGAGACTAAATGTGGCAGAAGGACAAGCTTACTGAAGTAAAGGGGTTGTAGGTTGTAACAAAGTATAGCAAACAACGTGACATTTTAGCTGTTGCACAAAATACACCCACCTGGCGTATTTGGCTCTTCCTGTCTACGTCACCGGTAAACGTCACCAACACTCTAACCATTGTTCCAAACCAGCCTGCCGTGAAGACACACCTGGTGGTGACCTCAATCGGGGTCAACCTGTCACAATGGCTTATCTATACATTATATACCCTTCTGGAACAAAGGTTATGTACATGTTGTAATTCGAATAGAATAGAGGATGAATGTCAGTTTGTTATAGAATGTAGATTAGATAGTAAAGAGAGAAATGATCTGTAGAGGCTTGTACAAAACCTATTTCCTTACTTCCTACACTTGAGCACTGTAGAAAAATTCATATTTCTAATGCGACTTGACAAGCCTTGCATCGAAAAACATATCTGTTCCTTTATCTCTACTATAACTGAAAAGCGAGAAGTTGAATTTATGTCATGATAGCTAGTTTTATTTTGTATATATCTTTTATCATATCTTGTTTCGACCTGTGCTTCGCCCAGTGTGGCAAAAATGTGCAATAAAGGTTGTCATTCATTCATTATTCATTAGGCAGGCGGGATCGTTGCTAAATGCAGTCGTTTAAGACAGATCTTGTCACTGTATTCAGGTACATTAAGGTTTACCTTTCTACTATTTCACTATAGTAGAAAAGCATGTGTTGACAGCCAATCGGAAAGAGCATGGCGAGTCTACATTGTAACACGACAGACATATATAGTTAGAAAACTGGGTAACAGGTGTACTTCCCGTGGTACATCAAATGATCAGGATTGAAGTTTTCAGCCTTTAAAGCACGTCATCAGATTGTAACTAAAAGCTGAAGCTGTTTCTGCCGATGGACTCCGTCATGCCCCTCTAGTGTTCTTGAAACCTCCCTAACGGTAAGGTGTGTACAAAGCGTTCAAGGACAGGGACGGACCATTAATGTCGGCATGTGGAGAAGGATGCGGAAACAAAACAAACTGTAAATGGTACGGTGTGTGTAGTGTGGTTTATTGGAAATATATAGCCCCCTGTCATGGATGCCTTTGAAGTTGGTCTTTAATCTTTAATTTCTGGAAGATGTACATGTATACTGATAATGTTCGTAAAAAATAGCAACTCACTATATGCTAGCCATGGACATTTGAATAACATGGCAAATTTGATATTTGAACGGGAATATTTGACATTTGTAGCACACAAGTGTTGGTGGTACAGTAATGAAATATCATTGCTTAGTGGTCATTTCTGCGACTTTAAACACAAGTTAAACTTAAAATTCCAATATAGTCGTTTATATATACAGATTATATTTGTCTTAAGCTCACTATAAACGGGTTGCTACAAGTTGGTTCTTACTTATACCAATAAATTGAATCATCTCGTTATTCAGTCTCAGAATTTTGACAAAAATATCTATTGTCTTTCTTACAAATTGAAGAAAGCTTAAATGAAGTACTCGTCAAAATCTTTCGTAACAGTAGATATACAAAAATTTTAAAAAAGTACAAATAACGTCTTGTCATAACATCAGGCACTCGTAAAAACACACGCTGTTAGTTTTTCTTTTAAAACATGGCAAATTTGTGATAGAAGGTACAATACATGACACACATCTTCAAACGACCTACATCAAAAGAAATCAATTGTGTCAATCAAAATGGTTCAACTTTGTAGAACCTCAATCGTCTCTTTTAGCCCTTTGTTTACTTGAGTTGCAGCCCAAGGCCACGGAGCACTAGTCATCTGAAGATTCCTGCGAGTCTGATAAACCTAAAATAGAAAAACGAAAAAGAATTGATTACTCAAAGGACCTGAAAAATGCAATAACGTATAGATCTGACAATTTCTTTTAAAACGTGCTTTGACGAAAAAGTGGTAGCACATCCATTGCAGTCGGACAACAATACAAATCAGAACAATTTTCATTTCTTGGAACAAAAATCTTCTGAGATAAGGGACTAGTGAGGGCATCAACATAAGCAACAGTGAGCTAAACACATGTTTCTCGAAAAAATCAGTAAGGAAGCAAATTCCTTGTAATTTTCCAGAGACCCCTTAACATGAACCTCCATAGACAAAAATTGATATTCAAAAATATTTTTTCTAAATTAACTAAATTTTAACAAAATGATATCTAAATATAACCAATCAAAAATACATGTAAGAAAATTTCCAAAGCTACTGTTTGACATTCCTCGTGTCAGACATTCAACTATGGCATTCTTTCACCTATTCAATTGAAGCAAAACATGTGTTCACCTTCCGTCTTCTTTGCAGCAATGCTAGTCGCCTCGTTTGCAAAGTCATCTCTGCCAATCTTTCTCATGAGGCGCTCCAAGAGTGTAGGATCTCCCTCCCACAACTTCCCCCTTTGATCTAGCTTCATACACATCTGATGTGGGTCCATATCTTGGAGATCTCTTGCTGGCAAAAGCCCTTTACTATCCAAGTAGTTGCGAAGATCCCTAACTTCGTTGTTTTTGAGATTCTGAGAGATCCGTAGGTACAGATCATCAGCAGAAGCTTCTTCAACATCTACTGAAAAAAAAAAAGAAAATTGTAAAAAATTTCACGGTCAAATATGTACAACTTGCTGTGTTTGAAATTATAATGTGACCAATAAATGTGATTATCTTTTTACTCAAAAAGTTTGATTATTGTAATGAAAGTTGGTTGATATAGATTGTGGTTACCAAAAATATATATTTATTAACCAGGAAACATGTATGGCATACACATGTATGTTACAGCCTTGTCCTGGTGATATTAATTAGGGTTTACACCATTTCAGAGCGATTTTCGATACCCACCTTGCTTTCCCCTTCGTGATCGTCCCCTTCGTGGTCTTTTTGGGCTTGGCCCAGCAGACATCTTCCGCGATCTAGTTCGACCTAGGAAAATGACAATTTTTGTTACGCTTACCCTGCATTCGAGGATTACAAGTTTCGAGTCCAGCTAGGTACAAGAGATGGGCGACATAGTTTTCATACTTAGGTAACGATATAACCGTGCCAGCAAAATATAAAAACATAACTTTGCTGTTAACAAATTACAACTCTCTTGACACGTCACAATCTTCAAGCATTACCTTCGCCTTCGCCTTTCATCTCTTCACGATGTCTTGTACCACTGGATCCGGCCTCAGGAGACATTCGCTCTGATTTTTGAAATGAGATAGCTTAATTTAAACATTATACATTACGACAATGTCTTCCATTGGTGGTTCTATAGCACCAAGGAGAATTAAACTATTAAAACAAATTTACAAAATGGAGATATGCAAGCTATCTCTATTGTTTGTATGACGAGGAGTTAGATTTGTTGTTCCAAAAGATCACATGGACTGTTGAATTGACATTGAAATGATAACAGTACGTACGATGTATTTATAAACATCTAATACAGTAAACGATACAAATTATGAATAGTAAATGGAGTTTACTGGTAATAGAAAGAAAACACTTTTTGTAATTCCCTCCTTACAAATAAAAATTAGATAGGGCATCGCTATCAAATGCAGTGGATGCGCCTACCAAAGCATGGGTAACTAATAGTATGTGTATATGGAGTGCTTCTTTACCTAAGTCTGTGACTGCCTTTGCATCAGCGACTGCCTCCGAAACACCACTGTCGCTGTCATAAGACGCGTCAGCGCCTTCAAAATCTTGTGCATCTGCAGTTTAGACACAGTTGTTCATAATCATATTGTACAAGGAGCGCTGAATACCCCGTTACAAGTTAGATCAAAGACAGTTCGCTGGTGAGGGGGTAAGGCAGGTCTTCAAAGATAATATTTAGTGAGCCAGAAAATGCTACAAATGATTTCTTCTAACCTTTGGTTGGGATGAATCTGCAGACAGTCTGGTCAGCGTTCTTGAGGTGCAGGTCGAACCGAAGTTTGGATCTCTGCGCTCTGCTGTACTTCCTGGCGTCCACCTCCACACGGAACTTCTTGTAGTACTGCCCTGTCTCAAACGTGTCGTCAAACTCCAGACCCTGCCGTAGTGATAGATGTTCTTTTTATGATTCATGATTTATATAACATATCGCCACAATCGTCGACCAGGATAGCCCCAACAGGCCTTCACTCTTGTAGGTCGATACTTCAGATCAGGTAGGACGTGACCTAGAGACCTGATCAGAAAGACTGGCCTGGTTGCTTTTAGAGTGACAATCCGGCAATATTGCAATTGGATACGTGTTGGGTAAAGCCCCTCCCACGTCAACGGTGTGTTGGCGTTTCATCCATTTTCTGATGAAAACACGACCTCTTAGAAACAAAACCCCGTCTTGTCTAGTCTTATGAAGAACAAAAAGAGCTAACATTTAGTCCACATAATTTCTGTAAGCATGAGAAATAATGACGTCTTAGAATGCCTTCTCAGTAACAAAGATCCTTGCTACCAGCGAAACCCATCTCGATGACTGAGATTGGAAGTTACAGGTTCCAAATTACGGACTGGGCAGGAACAGTCGTGAAGAAGGCTGGATTTCATATTCATTAACATTACATCCCATTACAAGGTACGAGGAGCAGACTTGACTTCTTGGTATCTCAATAAGCTGAAACTCTATAAAACTGATACTCAGAGGACTTTTGGAGGAGATGCAAGGCCAATTAAATAATCAAATTGGAATTCGAAGCAGTACTGGCTTATTTGCAAAGCGATATTAAAATTAGGAATCTTTTCCTAACCTCCTCCGGCCGTGTCTCCACGTCAATGTCTGCTCCGTTTTTGGCCGTCACCTCCAGGCGATACTCCTCCCCAGCTTTAGTACACGCTGTTCAGGGTCCCAGCTGGAGTAGCCGACCTTACCCTCCAGCTTCTGGAGATGCTTAACCCATGCAATCAACAAAGAATAATAATATAATAATTTTATTGCTGTTATTTCCAATACATCTACAGTAAATTATGAGCAGTTTGGTTAGGGTTTCTGCTGACATGTTTTATGCCTTGGTTACTTCGACATATATGCATATCCACTTCTTTTCTATTGATCTACACACTAGGTAGAGAGGAAAAAGCATAGCAAAGATATTTTGTCATATATTTGCTCATGAGCTTTTTATGACAATATTGTTTCCTCATAATAATACCACCCTACGTATGCATTTCACCATACGTTATTGATACATTTAGAAAAAAGTAGAAAAAAGGAAATTTTGGGAGGCAATACTGGTGATAAACGTTACTTTTTCTTCAATAAAATTTGACGGGAACCAAAAGGCACCTTACCTCTACCATCGGCACCACATTGGAGATAATGTAGACGTGAAGCTGGAAGACCGAGTGAAAGTTTGGCGGTGCGAACACCACACACAGGCCGTTCCTGCTCAGGTCCATCCCCAGGACTTTTCTCACCACAGGACCGAACTTGCTTCCCTTCCGGAATCTGGTGGTGAGGTGGGTCGGGCTGATGTCAGACACCGTCAGGAGTTCTTCTGTCTCTCCCACAACGTGTACGATCGCGATATCGTCTGGATTCAATACTAAATAAAAAGTGTTTATGAGGAAATTACGTTCTGTTCAGTTAACAACTTTTTTTGATAACTAGCGTGTTCTGTTGTCTGTGATCAACTAAACGGAAAAAAACCTATTTAAAGTAGAAATCCATATACGTCCTCGCGCATTGATTTTGACCTGTCCCTCGCCCACGCCCCCCACACACAAATACAAAAAAAACAAGAAATTCCGCTTCCAGTAACTATTTCGAAATAGTCACGGCAGTGCCACAAATCGTATAATTAACGTAAGGCCTGCAAAATTAGTTTGATAAGGGAAGATGTGATGTATGGAAAGAAAAGGACATGACGATAACTGCTGTTCCACTGATTTATTGCTGTTTTCATTACGAATAAAATACGTGTTAGTTGTTGCACTGTGTTCTCGCATTCACTTTGTGAACTTTAACATTTATTGTCCTTTAGTATATTTGAAATTTAGTAATATTTTTTTTGCCTTTTTTGCGCTCTCGCATTAGATTAAGGACGTCATCCATACAAATTACTTGGAGTTGCCTAATTATACGAAAATGTTTCACAAAAGCAAAGACTATAATTGCAGGTATACCTGTGTTTTGATCCAGGTGAAGCACGTGCGGCAGTTGGATGTCCACCGGCCCCTCCACGTCCTCACACTGGATGGAGAAGAGCGGACCCACCGGCATCCATCCCTGATCCTCTTGCCAGTTGTCGGACCAGTTCGCACTCCTGTAGGTCACGTGCAGCGGGTAGGGCGTCACCACGCCCAGGCCGGTCCGTCTGCACAGGTACTTCCCTTCACCTGGCAGGCGGAGGGACCTGAAGAGATGGACACAGGTATTGTATTCAAGTGTTCAATACTACAGTTGTGACAGTCTAGGATTTTCTAGACAGTAATTTGAAGATCGAACAAAATCCATGAAGAAGCCCATGACCACATGTGTCTGCTTTAAAAACGTCCACGTGGATTTCGTTTACCGCTGCAATAAGTTCCTTTGAAATTAGTGTATAGTGTAGTATTGCATTCTATTACTTATCATTACTAACGTCTTTGTTGTTGCTGGACTTGCAAAATCATATGGAGTTCATATTAGAATGCCTTCTTACCACTCTGTGTCCCCGGCCATCTCAGGACAGACCTCTTGTGTCGGCAAGGCATCACGGTATTCCTGGATACATGGGATATTATATTGGTAATTTAAAAGCATATCGTACATGAACATGTATGTGAGTAACCAGTGTACTAACCAAAGTTTAGGCTAATTTTTTTTTCTTTACAAGATTAAACTCTATCTCGAAAGCCACCAATGAAAATGTCTGACGTTTTTCTCTCCTGACCGTGACGTCAAACTTTCAGTCCTTGACATTAACATTACTTAATAACGAAAATAAGGGAATGCTTTATAACCTGGTCGGTCGTACAATACAGTCATAAATTCAAGATGTAGTCCAGTAATCATAAATTCTCCTCAACTGTAATTTTCCATGACAGAGTATTCGTCAGGTAGACTTGGGAAGAGACTAGGGTTTCTTGACTCACCTTGTAAATCCCCTGTACATCTTTAGCCAGGTCCGGTTTTCCGATGTTCTGTAGTGTTTCCTCCAGCTGCGGTAGGTAGTGGAGCGGTCCGTGGGGGGTCTTGGTGCGCCAGGCCTTTAGCATCTGGAACGTCTTCTGGATGTCCATGGATCCGTTAATGTTGTCCAACACGGACCTGTTCAGTCCCAGCTCCTGTCCCAGTCGGGTCCATAGCTGCCTCTCCTCACCAACAGCCTTGCTGACCTGGTACAGCCGGTTCTCTGCACATATGGTGTTAATATAATAAGGCGTTGGAACATAGGCATATGGAAAAAATGGTTTTAAGACTAAAATATAGAAATCATTAAGTCGATTAAGTTATCTCTTCGTCTTTAGGTATCTAGCTTCTATCTAGGATCTACATTACTGACTTGTAATTACCAAACTATATCAGGTTCCTTCATTACTTTGTGGATGCATGAAATACTTACCAATGAAATACTTGCCAATGACGTCTGTCGGTATTCTGGTGACAGGAAGTGGTCCTTCCCAGATTCCCCTGGACAGTCTTAACAAGTCATCCGGCACGTGACGCCTCACAGCCTCTATAGTGAGGGACTTTGCAGCTTCCCCGATTCCAACACTGTTACTAGAGTACAAGGCAGGAAACTCGTCCCAACAGGCCTCTTTCTCCCTCACTACCGTCTGAGTCAGGCGCCACGCCTTCTCCGGCTCTCCCCGGATCCAGAATTTTTCGCTTTTAGCGAAATGGCGGTACATGATGTCTTCTGAGTTCTCTCCAACATGAACGACAACTGTGTCCTTGGTGAGGAGACGGCGTGTGGTCTGCTCCATGGAAAGGAGACGGGAGACCATGGTTTCCGGTAGACCCAGAGGAGGCTCTTGGCTGTACTCTATAGTAACAGAGACCTCCTCTCCGCCTGATGGCACAAACTCTGGCCAACAGTGCGCCACCTCGTCAGGCTGGGCGGCAGGAAGCTCTGTTGGAAAGATCACCGACCCTGAGTAAAACAGGCCGAAGTGCTTCATCAGAGGAAACAGACTGTTAAAGGTGTCAATATTGTCTCCAAGTAGGTTCTTCATAAAACTGTCGCTGGCTCTGCCCGTCTTCAAAAAGGACGCCCTGTCTTTGGCAAACTGCGCTCTGGTATGCTCGGCGAGAGACTCAGCTATGCTGTCCAGATATCCCGGTAGGTCATGCCTGAAAGTCTGCTTGAAGAGTGTGAGGATGATGGCTGGGTCCGGGAAGACCAGATCTTCCATCCCCCTGATGTGATTGTAGAACAGGATCTGTCCGGTCACGTGCAGATAGCTGAGCGCGTTCAGGACGTCTGACTCCTTCATCCCTGCAGCTGCCCCTATGTCCCGACAATCCTTGACTTTAAGGCTCGTCCGTTCCGAAGTCTTGATGTTGTCTGACAGTTTTGTCCACGAAGTCGGTAGCTCTCTGCGAGCAGCAGGGAACAATCGCTCGTCCTTCACCATTTCTGCCATCTTGTTACACAGTTCCTCAATACCCTGGAACGTCTTGCTGCTGACCGGGATAACCTGTACGTTCAACAGACCTTTGGGTCGTCCGTCTAATAACTTCTCCAGTGATTCTTTCTTGGCCAAGATGTCGTCCATAGTAAGACCATAGAATGGCTCGGGCATGTCTGATACGCTGTCCACTGAATCCAATGCCTTCTGACAGAGCTGAATCTCTTCTTTCAGCTTGGTTTGTATTCTACTCTCAGCGACCTGGATGTCTCTCTGGATGGAGGAACAAGCTGCTGCTATTATCTCCTCGGCCTTGTCTGGCTGAAACATGTCAACTTTGGTTCCTACAACAAGGATAGCCGGGTTGAAGACGTGGGAAGTCACGGATGTTAGCCACGTTCCCACTCGTTCCTGGAACTCTTCTGACTCGTATGCTGGCAGGTCTACATTGAGGATGTGCAGGGCCTGGCGTGTCAGGAAGAACCGGTGCGTGTAGTGGTAGATCTGGTGACCTCCGAAGTCGTACATCGCGTACTTGACGTTATTCTCGGTGTCGTGGAAACTGATGACGTCAACACCGATGGTTCTGTCAGTTTCAGACTCCACGTGACCTTGACCCATCATCATAGAGTTGATCAGACTGGTCTTCCCTGCCTCCGTCTGTCCCAGAAACACACACTTGACTTCCAAAGGTGTTTTAGTATCGCTCATATTCGCCTCGGAGCGGTGCATCTCCGTTTGTATGAATGCTATACAGGAGACATGCATTAATATTTCATAAACATTCTTGTAATTACCAGATAGCACAAACGTAACCATATCTTATCTGCTGTAATCTACAGAACACAGTAAACACTTCAAAATAAACCCTGCTGTTAAGGTTTCATTTTGTTGCTAGTTCTACTGTGTTAGGAGCAATACAAGGACACCAATTGAGACCACTTCTTCTTGTGAAAAGTTCTCATTTTCTCATTAGGCCACACCGACTTAATTTTATGGATGACATCCTCTGAAGACCCCCAAACTAGTGCGCGTGGGCGAATAAAATAAAAATCCGGCTAAAATAAAAATGCTACTAAACCACAGGAATACAAAGCTGGTATTGTGAATTTGCGGCAGTACATAGCGACGTATACTATAAGCCGGCAAATAATGGCTTTTTGCGGAATTTATGAACCAGCACTGTACGTATGTACTGAGTTCTTGAGTCGTGGAGCTTCGGTACCCTGGGTGCCCGGCTACGTATTGTCGCTAACTATCATGGACTACCCAGGCCGAGAGCCAGGCCAGAGCCTCGGATGACGAGATCTTTTTTTTTTAAAACAGGCGAAAATCAATGTGCGCGCGGCGCGGATGTCATCCATAAAATTAAGTCGGTGTGGCCTTATGTAACAAACTGATATAAATGGAAACTGATAATGCGAGAAACTTTCAGTATAAATCAGCACGTTGTCTGTATATTACTGCTCGTAGCTAGCTGTTCTGTGTTATGGACTATATATTCAAATTTTGTTTAGGGGATTACCTGTGGAGAACTAATTGATATAATTGGGTTACGAATTAATAAGTAAAACAAAACAGTATATCAAAATTTATTTTCTTAATTGACAAACATTTTATTGAATAATGGTTATAAACAACTGTTGAAAAACTGTTGAATTGTTGCGGTCCCTGAGAAATGGAAACCACATCTCCATACCGAAGTTCAGAACTGAAAGATTGAGAAAATCTTTTCTGTTTCAGGCAATAAGCCTCAGTAACCAAGATTTGTAAATAATAGTCCGCCTCTGTTTTAATGGACCGACCTACAAATCTCCTTAAATCTTTTAAATCTACTTAATTTTAATCGTCAATGTCGTACTTTTAATGTGTATCTCTTTCAAGTTTTTTTAATATGTAATCACTTGTGCCAACAATGCATATGGCTGCCAATCAATGTGAATAAACAGTATCAGTATCAGTGAAAAATGAACAATATTTCCATTAAGGAATTGAGTTTCAAATGATGAAAAGCATTATAAACATTTCAATTATATATGTAATAGATAGGGGCGTTATGGCATTCTAAATAAGACGTTGTTATATATCATGCCTACCTTGACTTTTGTCTGATGAATGTTCCCCATGTTCCGGCTGTGCAGCATGGTGACCAGCTTGTGCCGTCTGCTGTTTCCCGATGCCGTAGACCCGCTCCCAGTCCCGCTCCCGGTCCTCCATCTCCTCCGCCAGGAAGTCCTGTCCTTCCTTCCGCAGGACCCGCACTAACCAGTCGTACGGCTCCTGCCACCTCCTGTCCCGCAGCATATCTAACAACCGGCCGGCCCTGCTTACAGGTGTCGGCTCCGTCTGGGGGAGGGAACATTGGCAGGGGTTGGTTGGCCTTACATGTACATTAACAACCGAAGTTGTACTAGAATAGAGCTAGATCGGGGAGGGGACCAAATAGCCTGGCAGGTATCAAAGAGAGATTATGAAAAAGGCTACCATTAGTCAGCCTTTTTTAATGTTAACCACCAGCACAGATGAACGGTACAGAAAATATACATGTAAAGTACTATTAATAATAAACCCTTCGGCTCGAGTGATAAATACGTAAAAGGAGCAGGAAATACAAATAGGTATGATAGACTATAGATAGAGTCAAAGATTCGTAAGTCCCATGGCCCAGTAGAGTACGTTGTACGTACTCAACATAACTCTTCAAACCACGTTTTTGTTGGAAATCTTGACGGCCCCCTGCCTTAACTTCCACAGACAACACCAAATGTTAAACTAATCTCTAGCTATCTAACCTCTGACCTGATATTGAAGACTTATGGGAAATGCAGTAAATTTTCTGCACCGTTTGGTACAGCCCGAAGGAGTCTACTAGAGGCTTTATAACGTTGAGTGGTGAAAATCTATAAAAAGGTATTCAGAGTTTTAGTATAATAAACGTGCTTGCTACTATGTATATACATGCATCCGTATTATGTTAAATGTAGATTACAGGTAGGTTTATTCAACACCTAATATGAAATATGATATCAATGTCAAGCGCATCTGGCACGGTCATGTTGTTATGAAGACTCTGACAAGTACCGGTCCCACCATGTAACTTACCTGGATAGACAGGACGTCAGCCGGACTCAGCTGGTTCTCCTGTTCCAGCCGTGTGAGAACAGCTGGGAGGTTCATGTTGTCAGACAGGAAATCATGAGTGTAGTGCAAGGCGCCCCAGCACGGGAGCCTCAGTTCACCTGTGAAGAAGAGCAGACAATCGGCACACAACAACTTAGCCTGACGTCGACTCGTTTTGTGAGACAGCACACTAAATATCTGAGTATCTGTAAAAATGCTGCAATTGATACGTACACGATAGCACTAATTTATCATTTTTGTGCCAGAGGGTCAATTCGCAGTTTGCGCTAAGCTTATTCGTACAATCTGTAAACATATTCAAGTATGGAAGAAAACACGTTTTTACGTGTAGTGCTTCTACGTATACCATGTGAAATGTTTGTCAAGGTTGTGCTCCTATTATGTGCACAAAAAATTGATTGCACAGTTGTATGTAAAGGCCACTAAATACAGTACCTTAATGCAGAAAGTAGGTATTTGCCTTGAAGTACTTGGATCTTAGTTTGAGGTTTCTACCAGGTAAAGGTTTTTATTACTTTGTATATACACATTTGAACAGACTTAACTTGGACGTGATGGCGCCAAAAAAAGAACCATCCTTGTTCGCGTTATGTCTCAGCCATGATATGTCCACCCTCACCTGTTTGTCTGCAGAGCGCGTCACGTACATCCCAGGCGTGAAAAATCCAACTGATAACACCGCCGGGTATCGTCTCCCCCACCCTGTCCCGCGGGACCCGCCTGGCCGGCGCCTCCAGGGTTGGGTACTGCCGGCTGACTAACGTACCGAACTCACGGAAGTCATCATGGTTCTGGTCCAGCCAAATGACGTATCGAGGCTTCTTGTTCCTGACGGAAGTTTCCAGTCCGACCGTGAGCGAGGACTGGTCAGCAAGCAGGTGTCTGCTGATCACGGGCACGACAAGTTTCACGCTGCCGAGGGTCAGTGTGGACGTGAGCTGTGGGCGGCTGACGGCACCAGGAGCATCTGTGACCTGCAGACAGAATATGTCTGTCTGGAGTAGATTATAACCCAGGTGCAGATCCATCAGCCCCTCCACCAGCCCCCTGACGAACTCCTCATCCTCTGCTGCGTGCAGGATGACAACATGCGGAACTAGGAAACAACAAGTTCAAAATAAATATGTTTATCAACCGTACGAACATGTCACATTTACTTGTAAATGTATTGGAAAGGGTCACAAGATACAGATGTGAACAGTACGTTGTATTCTTGTTTGTGTCGTTTCGTTGTGTAATGAAGATAAAATATTCTGCACAATACACTACAACAGATGCTGTAAAAACCCTAAGGTTACAGACTGACCCATGGTGCGGTACCATATATTATAATATTTTGAAGATCGGCGGTTGTCAACTCCAATACCAGAAAGTAGGACTTCCAGCGCAGGCCCAGCCGCAATCCATTATATGCCTCGAGTCATAACTTTGAAGTAAAAGTAAGCAATGTAGCTCACCTGTTTCCATAGTGATTTATAGTTGTGACATCAGAGCAGGAAAGTCAGACTTCTGGTAGGATCGATGAGGCGGACACAAGACATCCCAGACTGCGGTGTTCTAAACAAGAACGGTAAAGATGGGATGTTCTGTCCAATGACATAGTGTTCAATCACATCATGATATCACGATGTAGTATATGCTAATGAAATTAACATAGAGGGGCAAAGGGGGAGCGAGAGGGAGAAAGAAAGAAGAGAGAGAGCGCGTTAGGGAGAGGGAGAGAGAGGAGGAGCGATATAGGGAGAGAGAGGGGAGAGGGAGAAAGAGAGCGAGAGAAAGTGAGAATTAGAGTGTGTTTGTGTGTGACATATACCTTACTTTATATCTATATAAACATATCTCTGTATATTTCTTTATTTATTTCTATCTGTATATCTAGGTCATTCAGAGCCTGTCTTTTTTAAAAGAGTGCCAAAGCTCACGAGCAGTCAATAGAAATGCTGTTGTTATGTTTTTCGTCACCTCGTTATACGATACATAGTCCCACTACTGTATACTAGCAGTATGTGGCATTATCTGTCGTTACGCTCTCGGCATACAAATGAAAAAGTTAGTGAAGAATTCTTTTAGAATGTCTTACCTGGTCTTCCTAGCCTTCGGTTTCTACGCTGATTATATTGTCCATACTTTCTCCTACAAGAGTTGGGTTCGTTGCGAATTCGAACCTGTTGACGAGGAAGTGGGAAGGGGACAAGTTCATTGCCGCGAAGGGGGCCGAAGGTTGGTAACACGCTGTAGAATAATCCGTATATTCATGTAAAGAATTATAAATCACTTATATCTAGTCACATCAGCACTGGTACTGCAATAAGAAAGGAACCGATTTGGTCTTACCATTTAAATCCTGTATCACAAATGATGAAATCCCCTTCTCCCGTATGGCGAAGTTGGTTCCTCCCTGTGTGCGCACACACCTGTTGCGCAGTTAGCGGCGCCTGACCTTTATTCTGAGTCCGTAACGACACACCTGGGGGTGACCTTGGGGTCAACCTGACACAATGGCGTGTTGTTTGTTCGCCTACCTGGTGCAAAACACGTCTGGTTAAAAACAGTACTCGTTTACTTCTAGGCCTGAATGACTGTCTGGGGCGTAGTCTTTTCTGTCTACTGTTTAATACTAGTATGAGTTGAAACCATTTAACATTGTGTCACGTAAAACTGACACAGGTTCGGGGTATTAAATTATACAAGGGGAACCGGGAGTCAAGATGTTTATACCTTATACAAAGAAAGTCTATTGCAATATATGCAAGGTGTTGGGATTAGGTTGTTTTTAACGCGGCTCGCTCAGTGCAATACCATGAACCGCTTCCCCATTTGAGCAGTACTAGTGAACTAACACACACTGCAGCAGCATCTCTTCTCCCTAAGTCAGAAACATTAAGCTTTAATTAGTCTTAATAAAAGCTAGTTTGACTAACTGACTCGGTATATAGGAGAAGCAGGCCTAGGGGTTACGAAAACCTTGGGAAATTCCCTGCAGTTGTATTACAGTAACCCGACGAAGGCATGTCATTGGATAGTCCCTGAAGCGTTTTTTTTTTTCATGATTAAGGCCACACCTCCTTAATTGTATGGATGACGTCCGCGCGCGCATTGATTTTTGTGACAACACGGAGCCGGCGGTAACTCTGGAGGACGGCACCCAGGCTGCCGAAGCTCCACGACTCAAGAACTCAGTACATACGTACAGTGCCGATTCATAAATTCCGCAAAAATCCAGCATGTGCCGGCTTGTCGTATAGGTCGCTAATAGTATGTACTGCCACAAATTCACAATACTAGCTTTGTATTCCCGTGGTTTAGTAGCATTTTTGTATTTTTGGCCGGATTTTTTTATTCACCCGCGCGCACTAGTTTGGGCTTCTTCAGAGGATGTCATCCATAAAATTAAGTGTGGCCTAACTTTTATAATGTCACTTCTGTCCTGCACACCTAAAGGTGAGTAATGAACAAGTCTGTCTAGGGACAGACCGTGGTCTTCCATGTCATATGTGGAACATCATAGTTATTAAAAAGTTATTTGAAATGGTCACCAAAATGTTCCCCAGCTTTACTCACCTTCCCAGCCTACAAAAACTGGATTTCTGTTTAACACTTCCCATGCATCTCACAAAATGTCGGCCATTTCATACTCCACTGCACACGGAAAAAAAATCAAATCCAATAATAACTATATCCAAAGTAGCATTAACATTTACGTATTATCACTTTACTGTTTGTTTTGTTATCATGTTGTTGCCCTCGGGCATGAATTTTCAATAAACTTTTAATCATAGTGACATGTATTCTTTATCACTTATATATATTTAATGTACAAAAATTCAATCAGAATGCTTTTTCACGTTGAAGCCTTTAGTACGGTCATGTCAAGGTCAGTGATTGTGTACAGCTGGTGGCTGCAGTACCTTCACGCTTCACTGGGTGGCGTTATAAGACCACCTGTCAGAGTCCGGTGCTGTCCGTTTGATCTATTAAACTGCGAATTTTCTTCTCTGGGACCAGATGTGCTGGCGTAGTGCGTGGTAGAAGTAGCTGCCTGTGTTCCCGTGTGCCCGCTGGAAATTTTACCATCTACAATCCGTAGTTTAGGCAATATTGAACATGAAACAAAGGCTTCCAAAATGAAATTTCAGGGTACTTTTGAAATGCATAGCCATCTACACATTTAAAATCTGAAGAAAAAAACTTTAAGGAAAAGGTAGTCCCCAAAATAGCCTTTCTTGGGCTGTAGAGACAGTGGGCTTTTAATCCACTGTATCTACATGTAGGGCAAGGTATTGGAAGGCAAAGCCCATCCGTCTCCTTCCACTGCCTTTTACACGAGTACCTCCCCAACTAAAATACTCATTTTAACACCTAAGTTGAGTGAGGAAACTCATGTCAAGTGCCTTTGCGAAGGACACGACATCTAGTAGCTAGGGAACACAAAAATTGTTTCACGAAGTACAAACATGGAGAAACATGGAAAACATGTTCCATCTCCCATCAGATACACCTTTCCAGAAAGGCTAGAGGCACGCCGGTCTACATTGAGAATCACCTTCACTGCCAATATAGGCGTGAAGTACAACGAAACGGAGAGACGTCGTTTGAAAGAAATTGCCGTCTCAAGTGAATATCATGTTTATTTCCGAAACACGTTGTGGCCAAACAGCAATGTACCAAGACTTGATTCCTTCATTTCGCTAGTACATGTAACCGTCTGTCTTCAGACACAATGGTACCACATCAACATTATGTAAAAAGAAAAACTACTAAAACACAGTATCTCAAAAAAGGATCTACGTCAAAAATGATGTACAACACAGTCTGCACAAGCCCTTTTGGAATGTAGCCTTTTCGTTTTACAATCTTTGGCTATCCGAACAGACGAAAACCTGTTTAAATGTGACATTGATTTTCTCTGTTAAACATTTCTTGATTACACTACGTATCATCTGTATTCAAAAGAGATCTAAGGCAAAATGATATACGACACAGTTTACAAATGTACAACAGTACAAGTCATTTTTGAACGCAGCTTTTCCTTTTTACAAATTTTGGCTATCCGAACAGACGAAAACTTGTTTGAAAGGTTCACATGATACTTATTTTCTCTACTAAACATTTCTTGGTATGACTACGTATCATCTGTACTCAATAAAAAAAGGATCTAAGTCAAAAATGATATGCAACACAGTCAACACTACAGTTATTTTTGAATGAAGCTTTTCGTTTTACAATCTTTGGCTCTCCAAACAGATAAAAATCTGTTTGAAATGCGAAAAGCCATATTGATTTTCTATATAAAACATTTCTTGATACGACTACATATCATTTGTATTTTAAAAATGATCTAAGGCAAAATTATATACAATACAGTCAACACAAGTCATTTTTGAATACAGCTTTTCCTTTTGCAATCTTTGGCTATCCAAGTAGAAGAAAACCTGTTTAAATGTGACATTGATTTTCTCTATTAAACATTAATGTTCTTGGTATGATTACGTATCATCTGTATTCAATAAAAAGGATCTAAGTCAAAAATGATATACAACACAGTCAACACAACAGTATCAGTTATTTTTGAATGCAACTTTTCCTTTCACAATATTTGGCTCTCCAAACAGATAAAAACCTGTTTCAAATGCGAAAGGCCATATTGATTTTCTATATAAAAAAATTCTTGATTCGACTACGTATCATATGTATTTCAAAAATGATCTAAGTCAAAATTATATACAACACAGTCTACACAAGTCATTTTTGAATACAGCTTTTCCTTTTGCAATATTTGGCTAACCAAACAGAAGAAAACCTGTTTACATGTGACATTGATTTTCTCTGTTAGACATTTCTTGATATCACTACGTTTTCAAAAGGGATCTTAGGCAAAATGATATACGACACAGTCTACAAATGTACAACAGTACAAGTCATTTTTGAATGCAGCTTTTCCTTTTTACAAATTTTGGCTATCCGAACAGAATAAAACTTGTTTGAAAGGTGATACTTATTTTCTCTATGAAACATTTCTTGGTATGACTACGTATCATCTGTATTCAATAAAAAAGGATCTAAGTCAAAAATGATATACAACACAGTCGACAAAAAACTACAAGCCGTTTTTGAATGCAGCTTTTCCTTTTGCAATCTTTGGCTATCCAAACAGATAAAAACCTGTTTCAAATGTGAAAGGTTATATTGTTTTTTTTATATAAAGCATTTCTTGATACGACTACGTATCATTTGTATTTAAAAATGATCTAAGGCAAAATTATATACAATACAGTCTACACAAGTCATTTTTGAATGCAGCTTTTCCTTT